CTATATACGTTACGTGACAACTACAAGTCACGCTATGTAATTGAAACTGCATAAGTGCATATCTCCTTACTGTTCCTACCTTGGAGTACGTTATACTAAGTCTATGGTTGCTACTAACACTAAAAGCTATCACTAGGTACAGCCAGCAACAAAAGTCGACGAACTTACAAAATACGATATATATAATAATGTTATAAGTGAAACATAATCACACCCATGGTCTGGTCCTCAAGCTATGTTATCTTGTATTATGAGGCAAAGAATATCTAAGTGTATACACCCAGATCAGAGCCAATCAGAAAAGTTGGTTTTCAATTGACCTAACCGGTAACCTAACTCGGAACTTCACCACTACGCCATAGTGGTTGCCAAATCCTTCTACCAATTCCATTGCTAGCAATATAGGGTCAGGTCGACCTCCACGTGCCCCCCCTGGAAACCATCGTGCTGAATTCCAGGTTCATTCATCACGATGGGCTAACTGCTCAGCCTTTGCATTTTCATTCTCACCTATCATCCCTCACTGGTATCTCGCCAGCGTATCCCGTTAACACAGGCGGGGTTACCATTTCATTATCATTCATAAAAAAAAATCTTTTTGGTAGTTTAATCATGAAAATACTGCAATTTTACCGACAGACACACTTACCCATTTTCAATAATAATTACTAAACATTAACACAGTACATATTAATTACCTAATTGTTTTGACAAACACTGATGAAATATCTATTGTTATTGATAATGATTAACTGGTAGAGATATCGCCAAGTATTAAATCCACCATAATGAACACATATATTTATACTAGCTGTATCCCACGCCTTCATCCGCAGAAACCAGTATATAAAGTAGTAAAAGATATAACCTGCTATATGGGAGGAAGGGGTTGTTACTAATGCAGAACAGTCGCATTGCTAGCAATATACCCTATCAGCTCGACCTCCACGTGGTCCCCCCTGAAAACCATTATGTTGAATTCCATCATCACGATGGGCTAACTGGCCTGCATTTTCATTCTTACCTATCATTTATCACTGATATCGCCAGCGATTACTATTAGCGCAGGCGAGGTTACTATTCCGTTATCATTATCATCTATTAGAAAAAAAACCTATCCGTGTACCAAATTTCATTCAAAACCATTGAGTAATTTTTGCAATTATTTAACAAACACCCATCTATTCGTCCTTACAAACTTTCGCATTTATAATATTAATTTCGCGTTTACAACATTTCGCATTAAAATTAAAGAATCAAACAATAAAATAGACACGAAATTCCAAATGCAAAACCCGATACACTCAAGCCAGAGACAACTTTGTAAAGATAGTGCCTTAAAAGTAATTAATCAACCTAATTAAAAGTCAAATAGAAACCTTCTTTAAACGAATAAGTGCAAAATCGATAGGAATGATATACCTGAAGAAGGTAAAAGCCCTTTAATAAATAATAAAAAAAAATCCCATATAGCTGACGGTCCACCTGATGGAAAGTGGTAACCGTCGCCTATAAACATGAGCAGTACCATGGACATAACAGAGTATACTGTTTCGCCCATGATACCCCCCATGCGTTGCCATTCCTGAGGACTCAGATGTTATTCCTATGTACCCTGTAAATTCACGCCATATCCCACCCTTCAAACCAAAACACAGCTATGCAAACACACACGCTTCACGGTTGGAACACGAATGGGACAGAGGTACTCATGCAATCGACTTTTGTACAAAGTCTCCCTCTGGTGAAATCATATCCCGTATAACATTAACATGTTACAGCTACGCGGTTTACAATCAATTCTCTCTAGCAGTGAACATACATCTAAATTCCCTGTCTACGTAATCATCAGCATATCAGCCATTAACTGTCCACTGCTGAACATAGGCCTCCCCATAAGGGAGATATTACCAGTAGTTAGTAGTAGTAACGATTGGCAAGCGGGTTGGCAACCGCCGTTAAGCTTTGGCTGTCTTAAAAAGGACGTTGCTGTCTATCCCTCAACCATACGTAATATATTTGTGATAATATTTCAAACAGAGAAACATTGGTACAAGCGGGGGGAAAGGGATTGTTAGTAATGGAGACTGAGAATCCCATTGCTAGTTTTATACCCAACCAGGTATACCCTCGTGGTTCTCCCTGGAAACTATCATGATAGGCTAACTGGCCTGTTTTCATTCTCATCTATCACCCTTCACTGGTGCTCCGCCAGCGTATCCCGTTAGCGCAGGCGTGGTTACCATAGCATTTTCACCCATCAAAAAAAAAATATTGGTACAAGCTAAGAGGCTGCTATATATTAACAGTTTAGGCTGTTTCTCTCTCTATCATAGTAAAGTGATTAAAATAAAGGAGCAAAAAACGTATAGAGAGCACACATCGCGAATGGCATGAAAAGTGTATTCATATGTATTGAGACTACATATTAGTATACGTGTATGTTAATTATATATTATGGCGAACAATATATTATTATGTGTTATTTGTATATCAAAAATATTGAAAGCTTTTAAATTTCAGACAAAGCAGTATTATCTTAGTTAATGACGTATATTTCGTTTGCATTATGAATAAAAGTGCGAACCACGAAAGTGTGACACCACACAGAAGAGGGAAAATTGAAAGCGCTTCATTACTGACGTACGAATACTACAAAATATGCAGTGTATGTGTATTTGGGTAGTATTTATATAGCATATATCTAATAAAATTTGAAGTATTTATTGTTCTTAACTTTCGCATTTTTGACATATATTCTAAAGACCCTATCAGGACTTAAAGCGATGAAAATTTGCAAGTAAATAATACCTACATAACTTATTTTTAGCTTACACTTTGTACTGTTTTTTGTTGTTTGTTTTTAATTTTACTGAGATTTGGGTCAAAGAATACATAGCGGCAGTCAAAAACAGACAAACAAATAAAACGACGATCGCAGAACATTTATTAAACAGCTCTACTAATCACTGGATTAAGCTGCATAACCAGACAGTTCTATTAACCGAGCGTCACTATTACCCTCGGATAGTAGGTAAAGCAATTGAAATTAGGAAACATTCGAAAATTTTCGATAAGGAAGATATGTAGATATAGGCTTTCAAAAGTGTGGAAACCAGTGTTTGGTACACTAAAAACAGGCGATAACTTATTTAAAGGCAGTGTGAATGCCGTTGAATCTAGATAATAATTGTGACAATGTGAGGATACCCGAAGAGGTAAATGAAGACGCCGCTCACTTCAGTCCTGTTGTGACCACAACGTGCACGTTTCCTTGTCGACAATAAAAATCAGGTATGTAGGTACTATTCACCTGCAACTTTTCATCGCAGTAAATCCCGATAGTGTATTTAAAATATATATTGTTTCTTTGAAAAATATTTTTAATACTGATAAATACTACTTAATATGAATTATAATTAAGTTGCAAAATAAACTAAATGTAGCATGCCACTGTGAGTTTCATAAAAAAGTTATTTTGTTTAAACCACAAAGGTGGCAAACAAACCCGTCTGATGGTAAACGTTCATTGTAGCCTATGGACGCCTGCAACACTACGGATGTCACGTGCGCGTTGCCGACCCTGAAGAAACTTTAATATACCCTTTTTGAAGAACCCAATACTGTAGTCCCTAGGGAAAACTTTGACAGAGAGCTCGTTCCACAGCTAAAGCGTTGGTGGAAGAAAATTTCTCTGAAACCTCACTGTACGTGATCATTTAGATTCAAATTTATTATTCTCAAAATTGCATATTATGACACTTTTTTCCCGGATTCTACGTACGAACAAATATTTATAAATGACCTCACACGTGATTTTTTTGTGTGTACTTGTATTTCTTAAATGGCGATTCCGGCATCAATATATGTAGTGGTAAAATTAATAGTTCAGAGATATTATTTATCTATTCGTGCAAAACTGGGACCAATCAACAACTATTATAAAAATCTTATAAGAAGTGCAACGTCTTTCGATTCGAGGTCAAATTTATCGACATCAATTCTGTGATCCCTAACAAGAATAATAAAACTTGATTTAGTCACTACTTGACACTGATTGGGGTCTAGCAGCTCGTTTTCTCATCTTCGCAGTATTATTTTTATATGTTACGCGATCTCTCCAATTTTTTTGTGAACCAATGTTTTAATCAGGAAGTTTTATACTTAACCAGCTTTTCCCATGACTTGGTCTGCGTTACTGAAATATTTTCAATAAACGGGAGGAAAAGCAACCTATAATCGTCTCCAGGTTCTCATCTATCTCAATACCAAAATTCATTATAATCGATTTAGAGGTTTTAACGTGAAGTCATAACAAACAAACAAATTCACATCGCATTTATTTTATTAGTTAAAGACAGTCCATCCATTATGAACTATTTTGTTCCGATTTAAAGTTTTTATTCTTAAAATAATAAAATCAATAAATCATATCAGTGCCCCTTAAACCTCTTATTTCTCAGATAACATTCCTTCATAAAAGCTTCCAAGTAGTACATAAAGAAATGCTCTCATCGAACGGTACCACAGCGACATTCATATTCGATCTAAGTAAGTAATTACTTACTTTTTTTTACTAAACACAAAATTATCTTTAAGTATTTATTGCAAGCTTACACGGTATAAATAATATTATGTCATTCATTTAATTTACATGGGACGGTTGAGAAAAATTGATAAAAGGTTCCTAAAAATTTTCACATAAAATATATCAAAAGAAAATGTTGCAATAGAGAGCTAAATTATTTGTTTAATTACATAAACACTTAATTCAATCAATCGAATCAATTGGCAACACATTGTACAATTCACACAACATTGTTTTAGGTAATTTGATGCGAATATCGTCGTATTTGTTTACGAAGACGCAAATATCGCTGCTCACTGCAAAATGTGCTTCAAGTTATCAATAAATTAATACAAAGTTACTATATTAATTTATTGATAACAAACTAGAACGTGTCACTTTAAACATAAATAATAACTATAATAATACATACTTGTTCAATATCGTCTTTGAAATAGCAAAACTAGTTCACGGGAGCACGCGGAACGCGGGAAAACGGTATCCGATCACTTGATATCGTACGGAGACGTGCGAATACACTGACACACAATCCGCGACTGGCTGCCAGTTGCTACGCCGAGTCACCACAACCTTGTACAACTTGAGGTGGACCGAATAAAAGTTTAACTTTCTAATTTCCAAGAGCCACTCGGGCAGGTGTAGACGACGCGGCATCAGTCATCGCACCTAGCACAAACAATACCACCACAATCCTAACGGATTCTGAGCTATTAGGTGAGGTCAAGTTCTCCAGACGCTGACACGAAATGCTCGGACACACGAGGACAATATAACGCTATTAAATAATAATTTCTGTCTTAAATAACTGCATGTCTTTTCTTAATGCACCGTGTTCATAGACATTAGATACATGTGTACACTGATATTAGCCGTATTCCGCGACTTTGCACGCGTATACGAAGTATCCTATATATTAAGTTAGCATATAACTTATCCAAGTACCAAATTTATTTTAAATCCGTTTAGTAGTTTTTTTTTTTTTTAAGTAACAAACATCCAACAACAAATACCTTGATAGCGCACAGCTTTTTACCGCATCGCGGATACCATAAGCGACACTTAAAAAATGTAGATTAGGATTTATAATGTAGCTCTTACTTGATGTACTTCAGTTGTTAAAAACCCATGACAGATATCTATCATCGGCTATTATAATGATGTCCTATGGCACCTTAAAAAAGCAGCAAAACAATGATAATAGCGTCTTAGGTGAGACCTTTATTCTTCCATTACACAAGTTTCTATTGTAAATTTCGAATGTGTTTCGCATAAAAGGAACATAATCGATATACATTGTAACCACAGATTACCTTTTTATAGCGAAAACTTGTAACAATAACAAAACAAGCCAATTACGAATTGAACCCGCTGATCAAGGGTTCCATATTTAAATTAACGTCTAAATATGGTTTGTTTTATTCTTTTTAGCGACATATGTATAGTTAAATTTAATTTATATCTACATTATTCAATAAATTGTCATCTAAAGAAAACAAAAACCTATTTATTGGTTAGTTTATCTACGCAACCCTCGATTCCAAATCACACTTGTTCGGTTTTTATAATGTAAAATTTTTCAACCTCAATTTCAAATAGAAAGTCGAAACAGAAATGTACAACTTATGCTATTTCCGCTCACTTATTATAAAAAAAAATTGGTATTTTAAGTAGACAGAATCGCGTCATTCTGCCTATAAGAACAATTTTAGATTAACGCAATAATTGTAGTGATTATAAAGATGATGATGATGATGATGATGATGATGATGATGATGATGATGATACCATTATAATACAATATTACGTTATTACATACAATATTTAGAATATGAGGTACATATTACAATGTATCGGCTAATTCCAACTTTATATTTTCAACACAATGTAAATTGTTATAAGACAAATGAATGATTGATGTAAAAGCCCCTTGCATTGTCTGAAATTCCTCATCGATTTGCATTAGAAATATTACTACAAATAAAAGCATTGTAAGCTAAACAAACGGACAAACATCTCACAAACACAAACCCTCTTGATAACGGTTCCTATTATTACTTCACCGAACCCTGAAAATTAACGCCAAGCTATATGTGAACTACCTACCTATTAACTGGAAACATAATTTCCCACAGGTAAGTATATACAATATATACCACGGAAACAATGGTTAACTTAAACTACGAGTGCTATATGGGTATGGGTATATGGTTTTTTTTTTTTTATGAGTGAAAATGGTATGGTAACCCCGCCTGCGCTAACGGGATACGCTGGCGGAGCACCAGTAATAGATGAGAATGAAAACAGGCCAGTTAGCCCATCATGATGAATTAATCAGGAATTAACCATGATAGTTTCCAGGGAGAACCGCGAAGACGTCGACCTGGTTGGGTATATTGCTAGCAATGGGATTCTCAGTCTCCATTACTAACAATCCCTTTCCCCCATACCATATGGGTATGAGCTTCAAAAACGCGTCAACTTTTGGTCAGCTGATTGTCATATTAGCTGACTTGTTTTTTTATTATCAGTGTTTTATATACTTACGCATAAAATGTATCTTGGCGTATTATTTAATAAATATTTGAGTGTTTACGCATTAAAAGATGCAGAAATTATGAAAACAAAATAAATATAGAAGTTATAAAAAATCACTCCTAATTATTTCTCACTCAAAATTGTATGCAAAAGTTATGTGTGTATTTTAACTTTTAAGCACACTCATAGAAAATTGTGTATTTTACAAAAACAATCTTCAAACAATAATCTATCGATAGAATCGTTATCGCTAGCGAGTCCATAAGACAGAATGAAAGCCGATGCTTGATATCTTGTCGTGTTGAGGCTTTCGACAACACTGTCACTTGTCTAAATGGGTACATTATAATCTTTCTATCTACATTTATAGATTGGCATTATAGCCACAGAATAGAGAATACCCAGAAGGAAAGCTCTTTTGTTGTACCAGCAAATGTGTATGGGTTGTCAAGAAAATTAAATTAATAAATAAAAAAAACATTTTTTTTAATCACCAACTTAGTCAAAAAGCATACTCATGATGAAAAAAATAAGTTTTATAATAACTATCTTTTTTATAAAATCCACTAATACTTACAACTTGATCACCTACATATTACAGCATACGTTTATATTCAATCACGCAGTATCTACTTACTTGTAATAAATATATTGTCATATTATAATTAAATAATATTATATATTCATTTATTTCATCAATTGAATGAGCTTTACAATCTCCCAATATGCACCCAGGAAAGCATCAATACAGTATCACATATAAAAAGGAATAATATTAAAAAGATTTAACTCAAATAAACATAACATTAGATCCCAAATCTCCGAACACAAATACTCTGTGGTCATCCAACGAAATTCTAGCCAGGAAGCCAGTACGTCCAATTGTGGATTATGTAATTACCTAGTAATCTTTAGACTAATTAAAAAAAATTAAACATATTTTTTTTTATTTTTGTTCTTTCACATTGTACAGTGCATTCAAAAATTTTGCTCAAACAGACGTGAGTCATGTAAACCTAGATTTGTGTACGCAACAAGTGAGTAGTAACCTACGCACACAAGCATCGCTAACTTGTAATAATACTCTTGTCACAGCATATTTCCCAATATATTATCTTCTAGGAATTTTCTATTCTGTGTTATAGCTTCGGCCAGTTGTCAATGTTTACCCAAAAAATAAGTTTTTAGGATCGCAAGTACTATTCTTAATCTATAATTATATGTAATGGACCTGCATAAATATAGTTGCTTTTTTTTTATTAGAATACTAATAATTGGTACTATTTATTTATTGTTTGAGTACTCTAAAAACTCGTGATTTCATTTTAGCGTAGTGGATATGTATCTATCATAAGAATAAATATCAAGTAATATATTGATAGAGGAAATTAAACAAGTATAAAGTAACGTATTACACAACAGTAACGCTTGAGCAAAGAATAAAATGCACATTACGAGTATGTATTTGTTTTTAACTTGTGATAACGGTAGTGACGCACAATCTTGACGTTAAATTAAAATTCAAAGAGACCAACCATTGGATAAGCATTAGTTTAAAACCTAATAGTTACCAGCTACCACATTTTATTACACTAGATTTACGACGATATAAAAGTATTGAGTATAGAAAAGGAAATTAGATTCTGTTATCGCCGTAAAATTGTATAAAAAAATGTCTTAAGATCAAATATATTTTTATATCCATTATGTTAAATGTTTACGACGTATTTTTGTGGATATTTATGCAATGTATGTTAGTACAATGTATAATACCTGGGTTAAAAGTAAACAAACGTAAGTTAACTTAAAGTTAAACTTTATATTTATATAAAAAATATTTTCTAAAGTACATCTGATATACAATAGTAGCTATCGACTTGTTCTTGGCTCTACTGAACTGCAATTCTTGAGGACTAAAGTTATCACGAATTGCAGCCCAATAGAGTATCTAATGTTAGAGATTACAGTTTTCCCCTTTAGACTATAACATTACCTTTTCATGATAGAAATAGGTAAGACAGTAACATCCGAAGCAAAAGTAACATAACCAGTTTCTCCAACCAAAATCTTAGTAATTTTTTGCATCCCTAAAATTAAAGGCTTCAATTTCTTCTTGTTTTGCTTTATTACATATTATAATTACAGTCGACAAAAAACTTATTGAAAGAAAACGCCAAGACACTTTAGATATGTGTAGACTATTTGCCGCTGAGGGTGAAAAATTATCCTCCAATCTAAATCCAATTAAAAAGATTGCGAATCATGAGAAAGAACTTAGCAGATCAAAAAGGGAAATAAATTTTAAAAAAGAAGGCCTTGACGTGAGTAATGCGAGACGAATTGAAAGTATTGTGGACAAATTATATGACGACATAACAGAAAATGGTAAGAAAGTGGCATACAGGCGTAGGGATTTCGGAAGTAATGATAAGGTAACGGAACTATTTAAAACCAAAAATATAATATATACTCCTACGAAATTTAGAGATTATTTATATTATTTCTGGTATATTACAGGATTATGAATAAAGTGTCTATCTGACTGCATAGACTAATAAATTATTATATTTGTTCGTCCATACATTTTGTATTTTATTTTATTGCAAATAGCAAACAAGTAAATGATGGAAAATAAATATTACCATATGTATATATTTAGTTTATAGAAAGTATTACGTAATTGTCGCTTACACTAAACATGAAAAACACACCCAAAGCACTTCTCATAAGGAACAAAGTTATAAGTCAATGCAAAAAAAAAAATACTACGAATTATCAGCTTTAAAATCTCAGGAAAATAAGAGAAACATAAAGAGAAGTTGTCAAAATGTCTCTCTATTAGATATATGAATAATTACAAAAATTTGTGCGTTGTTACATATTATAAATATTGAATCTAAGAAATAAATATAAATTATTTACATATTAGATCTAGCTCTCCATTTCCACCAAAATACATGTCATAAAACATGTCTAAAATTATATGCCTATGTATACTAAATACGCCAAATATATATATATATATATATATATATATATATATATATATATATATATATATATATATATATATATATATAATATACATCTATTATTATATTATACAGATATGTTATCCCTCATCAGAGACATAGGGCTCGATGAAGAGATTTCAATTATAACGTATTTATGAGCAAAATCTAGACCATTCCAAATGAAAACTGTAGACCAACTTACATTATAATTGTTATTATTCTGATTTTATGCACTTACTAACAGGATCACTTAAATAAAACCATACGAAGATTTAACTTTGCTCCAGCCGAGTTAACTGGATCTGCAAATGCAATGAAGGTTTCAACGCGCCCACCCAGTACTGAAGGCGAAGCTCCAAGAATAGCATGGCCAAAAAAATGGAAACACGGCATTGTGCCTTATTTTATTGACTCCAAAACTTATGGCAAGTAAAAAAAAATATTTGGGACAAACATGGCTTAAGATAAAATCAAAGAGCCAATTATAATAATTTTTAAATTATTACCAGACTCTGAACTCGCTGGCATTTTAATAAATGCCTTTGATTACTTCGAGAAAACTACATGCATTCGTCTTCAACGACTCCGCGATAGACCCACCGATAAGAACTCTTTGCAGAATGTTGAATGGCTGTATATCACAAATCCTTCAGGCATTAGACAATGCGTACACAGCAACGAGCGTAAAGCCAACAAAGGTGTTCAGGTATGACATTTCGTTACAAATATTCTTCTATATGTTCTTGTAATCATATAATTATCATTACGGGAATAATTACTTACGATAAGTTTGTAATCTATGCTTGTGAATTTTTTATAACACATAATAAAATCCTTATTTATAAATAATTAAGGCGTTTGCTTATCCATAAATAAGCAAACGCCTAAGATTTAAGCTTCTTGTGTCTAATATACGGCAAAATTTATGTAAGCATAACCATTAATAACCATTTACTTGTAGAATATGCAAAGAATATGTTATTTTTTATTTTATTAAGTATTATATAATTTATGTCGTTAAATATTTACATGAACAGATGGTGGTGTTCGGCTACGATTGCCTCTCTGTAGGTGAAATAGTACATGAAATAATGCACGTACTGGGATTTTCTCATGAGCACATTCGACCAGACAGAGACCAGTATATCACTGTTTTATGGAATAACATTAAGTCAGGTAAATAATTACAATTATGTCCACATGAATGGGATATATTCATTGACTAGGATAAAAAGAGTAGCCTATGTCTTTCTACATGCCATGTAATACGGTAATATTCAATTTTAGCAACGTTACTACTGTTTCATTTAATATAAGAAAATTATGTAATTTTGTATTACAGGTTATAAAAAATACTTTGAAATTAGAACCGACGATCTTCTACAAAATATTCCATATGACTATGCTAGTGTACTGCATTATCCACCACGTGCATTTTCTAAAAATGGTAAAGTCACTATATTTACTAAGGTAAGGCCTTATTTTATGGTTTAAGAAAAATTTAAATGGATAAAAATATTTTGCAATTAAACAAGTCAATAGAACTTTTTTTTTTATTTTTTTATATACGACTTAGAATGGCAAACAAGCTGGCCCACCTGATGGAAAGTGGTAACCGTCGCCTATAGACATGAGCAGTACCATGGACATAACACAGTATACTGATTCGCCCATGATACCCCCCATGCGTTGCCATTTCTGAGGACTTAGGTGTTATTTCTCTGTACCCTGTAAATTCACGCCATATCCAACCCTTCAAACCGACACACAGCCATGCAAACACAACTGCTTCATGGTTGAAACACGAATGAGACAGAGGTACCCAAGCAAACGACTTTTGTACAAAGTCTCCCTCTGGTAAACTATAGACAGCAAGAAGATATAATAATAATAATGTGCAAAATAAGAACTTAATGTAAAGTAACGAAAAATTTTGATAAAATATATTTCTAACTATATTACAGTCTGGAATAAAACTTGGGCAACGCCAAGGACTAAGTGAAACAGATGTTGAGAAAATTGGACTAATATATGGAAATGAATGTGTGGATCGTAACAAACAATATCTCTTAAAAACTTGTCCAAGCGTTGTAAAAATAAGAACACAACCGAAAAACGTAACACATAAAGAAGTAGTTGAATATTTCAAAGATAGATTGTGGCCATATGGAGTGGTCAATTATAAAATTAAAGACAAAATGGAATTTTGTGAGTTAATAAACAGAATTCTACTATATTAGTAAAGTTGTGTTCTGTTTCTTCACAATTAATCATGAAACATATTTTACAGCTGCAGAAGAAATTGAGAATATTAAAACAGTTATTCGTCATATTGAACAAGAAACTTGTATTAAGTTTCGAGAGCTTTATGATAAAGATGACAAAACACCTAATTATAAAGATATTGATAACAAGGAAAATATTTATAAAAGTGTGTTAGAAAATGAAATTTATAACGATGACAACAGTAATAATAGATTTTCTCATCAAATAAGGAGACAGTATAAAAATAACCCCGAAATTGATGATAAAAACCAATTTGATAATATTATAACTAATAACATACAAAATGACACTAGAAGTACATCTGTTCCGACAGAATGTTAGTATTGAGATATTAAATAAGATACAATTAAATATGATTGAAATACAAGTCACATTATTGCCTAATGCTACTACTTGTAATATCATTTATTTTTTAGCTACTGTACAATACGCAACGACGTCAAAAAACACGCAAGGTGCAGACAATAAACTCGGGTCGCCTAGTCGTCGACACGTTGAAAATATACTAACATTTACGAGATCACTTAAGCCAGGGTGTGCATGCCCGGAACCTGGAAAACCTAAAGGAAATAAAGTATTACTGTATTTAATAGCAGCTTAGAAAAAAAATTTACATTTGTTTATATATAAGCCGACTCTTAATTAGAGTTATAACCGTAGTAATGATTTTATAATCAGTACACCTACTGTTAAAATTCAATTTTTAATATACTAATTGTTATATATTTTTAGGTATTACAAATTAATTCCGATTGTTTCAACTCAGTAAATGATCTACTTCACTTATTCGTCCATATATTGGGTCTAGATCATCAACACAATATGTACGACCGCGATTCCTTTTTGCATATACTTTGGAAAAATCTTACCGAAGGTTTTAATTTTTTTTATTTTCTGTCATATTATTTTCAAAATTTTTATGATTAACTCGAGAAGAAATAATAAAACCTAAAATTATGTTTTAAAATTTCATTTATTTAATGACAGATATCAAAACGGATTTGCAACAAATTTTACCTCCAGCTGCATCTGTTGGTTTTGCATATGATTACCAAAGCGTAATGCATTATCCATGGTTACAAATAAAAAATGGCGTTTCTAATATTATGTATCCAATTTGGGTAAGTTGTTATAAAAAAATTTAAATCATTCAAAATGTTTACTAGTTCACTTTTATTATTATACTATTTGCGAATTAAGTAAAGGGATAACTATAGTCTTAGGTATAGGTATAACCTACCTGTACACCAAATTCATTTAAATCAATTTAGCCGTCTAATCGTGAATTCATATGTAAGTAGGACTAAATAGTCCTACCTACATGTGATAACAACAAAAGTTGTTAATATAAAGGTTTTACAAACAAAGACTCCGGAGTTCACGGAACAAATCCATTATTTTCCTTTAAAATTACAGAAAATCGCTTCTTAGTGACCAAAGCTCGTCTATGTTATACTCGTACAAAATTTTCCTGTGCAAAATTCACTTCATACATTTACACTTACCAGTTTTTGCTACACGTTGTGTCTTATTTAGTAATTATAGTTTTAATAAAATACCTACTACGGAACTACAGATATAACGGTAAATACTTAGGTATTATTTTAAGATTTATAATTTCAGAACGATGGTTGGGCAATGGGTCACTGGCAAGGTTTGAGTTCGACAGACGTAAGCAAAATTAATCTGCTGTATACGAAAGAATGCCGTGCACTTGAATTTGCAGAAAATCAAGTGCTTGCACAATAATAAAATATATATATTTCTTTACCTTTTTCTGACTTTATTATTTACATCAAACTTATATGTCACTCTAAAATTCCACTTTGGTACAAAATTCAACTAGTCTAGGTGTAAGATAAAATATTATAAAAAAATAATAGATTTAAAAAATTAAAATATTGTTAGTGTGTCAAATAGACATGTTTATGTCTATTATTGTCATAGTATAATAAAGTAATGGCGCATGTTAAATATGTAAAACCTACATCATTATTTTAATGGAATATTACACTAAAACAAAAAAACCGGGCACGCTTTATTTGCTCAATCGAGTAATTAAGTACCTAGTTAGTACTTGAAGTTTGTTTACATAAATCTCAGAACGTAGTAGTCTCATTGACTGAAGGTAAAAACATGTAACACAATCGAAGAAGCTTTTAACAATATTTATTTTAAACATTATTAAGAAGTGTTTTTTTTTTAGTTTGCTCTACATTAAAAAATTTATATAATATGAAAATTTGGTTAACTGAGACTTCTTATCTGAGACTTCTTTTGTAATACTTTTTATTAACGTTTTAATTTTTTGAGACATCATGTCTTACTTCGCCTGACTTCTCAGATTTATCATCATTCTTTTAATAATTTTTTGAGCTTTCTATTCCTGCTTCACTTTCATTGTCGTTTACTTTTTTATCTTCACTATCAGAAACTTCTACATTGTCATATTCAGCAACTAGATCATTTTTTATCTCATTAGGTTTTTCTTCATTAATTTCTTGGGACATATTTGATTTTATTTCAATTGTCTCTTCTTCTTTCTTTAGATAATATGTACCGTTATGATTTTTATTATCGTTTTCTTTATTAAATGTATGATCATGTAAAGCATCTTTACATGAATCCAATAGATCACCTACTTTTCTTCTATTGCATTCATGACCAAAGATTATACGTAGTTTCATTTTATCTAACTGAGAAAGTTCATCCGAGGGACTTATAATCAGGCCGGACACCTGGAAATTAAAATCTTTTGTAACTGCAAGTTGATACCGACTTTTCGATTTCTAAATACAGTCTAGCTAACCCGATTGGGATTTCATACTAAAAAGATATAAAAAAGCCCTTATAGTACGCCCCACCAGCGCATATCAATAGCGCAGACGGAATTATATTAACTAAATTTCATTATCATTCATAAAAAAACTCCTTATGTTGCGATTTTATCTGTCCATCCGTCTGTCTATTACAGCGCTATATCTCAGCAGTTGCTGAATAAATGCTATGCTATTAATCTGAACTTGTTTTATATATGTTATTTTTACCTTACATATTGCAATAGAAATAATTAAAAAATATTTTTAATTTCTTTGCTAGAGGGATACTCAAAATTTCAATGTGGGCTTAATGGTTCAAGTGAAATATTACAAAAAATGCTTCATTTATATAGTCAAAAGTAATTTTTATTTACTGTTATACTATATAGTTTTTGACTTATGAAAAAATCTATATCTGAAATTTCTAAAGCTAAAAATCTAAAAGAATATTACAAGAAAAGTAAAACGATGTTTCTAACTAACATAATTTTTAAGAATTTATAAAAAAACTTCCAAAAACAAACTTAATTTTCAGGTCGGATTTCTAGACCCAGACACGACTAAAATATGGATTTTTAATTAAAATAACAATAATTTTTTTTATTGTCACTTTATAATGAGAAGGTCATTTTATATCATAATATCATTAAATACATATTTTCAATCCTTCAATTCCTTTTTAGTACTATATTTACTCAATAGGTGGAATTATTAAAATTTAGGTCACAAATGGTATAAAAAGTCTTTGTAATGTATTTAGATTGCGATATGATGTTCTGTTCTTTCAAGGAAATGTAAATATTGTTATATTTTTAAACCTCTACTCATGTACCGATTAAGTTTTGCATGTAATGATAATTACAACCTTTTAACACGTTCACGTTCGCCTTATAGTGGATAAATACTTCTATTTTTCTAGGCGTTTCGGTTTATTTTTGAAGCAACTACGAATAAATAACGTATTTAGATAATAATCTCATATACATATAATACAAATATTTTTTTGTATCAAAAGAAAACTTTTTAGAGGCTATTTCGTGTACGGAACCCTCAGCGAGTGAATTCAACACACAGTTGACCATTTTTTTTTTATATACGGTACACGGATCAACTTCCTATTACTATTATAACGCAAAAGTTTGTGATGAATGGATGTTTGTAATTCTTTTATTTATTTATTTATTATGCAAATTATTATGCAAAAACTACTAGATTTCATTCAAATTTGGTACACGAATATATTATATACTAACTTAATAATTAGGATACCCTATATACTGATTACGCGGGATACAACTAGTATACAATAAAATTTAACATTTTATCTTTCACTCTCTCTCTCTTTCATTCTGCAATATTAATATTAACTAGCCATTGTTATGAAAAGTATGTATTTATATACATACTAAAACATATTTACCAAAGGTGTAATCGTTGGATGTCCGTTATTGCTGTAAGCTCGATCATGAAAATGCATTATACTCAACGGATCGTACTCAACAGAATATTTAGAAGATGCCTCATTATTTTGTATGCGGAAGAGAGGACGATATTCTGAAAAAAAAAAATTAATTAATGTCTTAATAATCTTGTTAATGTTTTTTTTTTGGGAATTGAATAAGGCCAAGACTAAGCTTCGAGTGATTCAGATTGATCCTTGTAATTATTAATGTCGGCTTTACACACGTTTTAAAATTTAAGAATGCCCGACTTGAAACTACGCGTTTCGCGACTGTGAACATGAGCAGCACAACGCGACATAAATATATACAAAAACAGTATGATTCGTCATTATCATCATTATATAAGCCATTAACTGCCCACTGCTGAATCTAGACCTCCCCTATAAGGGGAATTTTGCCAGTAGCTGGCAACTGCAGTTAGGCTTTTGATAATATCTTAAAAAGGAAGCTGCTGCAGGTCCCTCATTCATTAACTTCCCTCAGTCGCGTCTTAAGACACCCACGGCTAAAGACAGGGTAGCCCATTCTATACCTGGACCACATAGTATGTCTCACGATAGTTTTATAATAGGCTGATTATGTAAAGAGATCAGAAGAGTCTACGAAATCAATATTTACATATTGATTATTAATTGATATAGTAGTAGACCTACATAATCACAAGGGTATGACTCTTTTCTGTTTTCTGATGATGATGTTGCTTTCTACCATTCTAAGTTATGTCTAAGTTACATCTAGGTATCGAATGCCAGGTCCACCTGGTCCGATATCATACATCGGATTCTTAAAAACCATTACTTCTTTCGATGTCGTCCACACTGGGTGCACGCCTCATAGATCTCATAACATGACTCGGCGCCCCTTTCGGACCTCGACGCCCTTGAATCTTGGCACCCATGGTCACCGTCCGATCACGCCATGACCTAAAGTCAGTACTTTAGCCAATTCGACTTCTATCCATTATCTTAACAATGCCGGTTGCATTCTGGAATCATTACTTGAAATATTTATATATGTAGGTATGTAATTAGTCGTTATATCTTACTTGGATGTATATTTTCCCACATTACCCGAACATACTGATCCCTTTGTGAATGTGACACTTCATCTTTAAATCCAATAGCGTGCATCAAAGAGTGCAGCAACTCTCTTCGTTGTAGGCAATCGAACCCCAGTACCCATATCTGGAAATCCAAATTATATGTTAACAAACTACAACAACTGGAAATAACAGTCATAAGCGTATTTAAGGATGGCATTTAAACAGTTTGTGAACCGTGTCTGGTGAAACGCCATGTAAATGGTCACTCTATACGAAAACTCAACCCATTCTACAGGGGTGTTATTGTTCTAATAGTGTGATTACGGAACAACAACAACCCATAAAATCTGACCTCGCAGGTCCGATCCCCAGAATGTTAAAAATAGCACACTGAAATCAAAGTGACGAAAGCAGCCGGCTATAGGATATGGAAATAGTGTATTACGGAAAATTAAAAAACACTACAAATCTATCAATAATCGTTCGCAAATAGTTCAACTATTCATACGGCGGTATCTTCACCAAATACACGTGAAGGCACATTAAAAATGTATATTTTCATAATAAACAGTAAGAGAATATGATGTATTTCTAAGCGGGAAAATTGTATTAATAATAACAAATTGGAGAATATATTTTTTATAGAATATAATGAAATTCATTTTTATTAGTGGCCAGTTATATTTACTATTTTATATTTCACAGGATACTTGGTCAAGAGAATATAAATTTGTGGAAAATAAAAATATCCTAGCACCTTAATCAGTGCCCACATTAGAATTATCTGGTGCCAACTCCAGGACCCGAGGGGATCTTCTAATTATGCGCAAAGATATACATATATGATATACATATATATATATGTTTGTGAACTAAACTGCTAAGACTTAAAATGTTAACAAAGGATGCAAACTGTGCATAGTCTAATATGTAATTGGGAACAAATTGAAATTCATTCAAACTAATATATATCAAGGGATTTTTTAATAATTTAGCAAAAGCCATTGTTTTCAAGAAGAACATCGCTGCATGTCCCTCGACCATTAAATTCCCTTAGTCGCCTCTTACAACACCCACGGAAAAAAAAAGAAATGGCCTATTTTATGCCGGGACCACACTTTTATGACCACACGTTAAATGAAATTAAAACTTACGACAGCACCAGATCCTTTGTCTTGATACCGTGGTTCATGAATACATTCTCTCTTCTTCTCTGGATTAGTAATATGAATCCAAGATGAAGCGTTGGTCGGTTTTACAGTTAATGGTTTAAACCTTACACAAGAAGCTTCTTCCAAAATGTCCATAGCCGCTCTTACACGGTACCCTATTAAATAATCTAAAAACAAATATGGTAAATCACTATCATACTTTTTTTTATAAGACTTTTTTTCAACACAGGGGGCAAACGAGCATGCGGCTCACCTGATGGTAAGTGAGTACCGCCGCCCATGATCACCCACGACACCAAGGGCATTACAGGTGTGCTGTCGGCCTTTTAAAAAGGAATATGCTCTGTTGTCGTATCGGTTCGGAAATACTGCTGCTGGAAGTTGATTCCAAAGAGTGGTTGTTGCGTGGAAAAGTGTCTTGAAAAACGCACAATAGAAGACCGCCACTCGTCCAGATAGTTGGGACGAAATTTTAATTTATGGCGGGTTGTATCGATTTGAAATAAAAACAAGGTAACTGATGTAAATTGTAATTACAGCCTATAAACACGAATAGCGCCATAGGTATCACCTATGACACTCATGACTCTCATGCATTGCCGTTCCTAGTAGTACACTTCTGTCTATAAATAGAACTTATTTCGTCATCATATCAGCCATTATTTGTCCACTGCTGAACATAAGGCTTCCCCATAAATTGGGAGATATTGTCAATAGTTGCCATGCTTAGCAGGCGGGTGATTTATCGCAGTTAGGCTTTGTTGATGTTTTGAGAGGGACGCTGCTGTCCCTTTTTTTTTTTTTTTTTTTTTTTTTTTTTTTTTTTTTTTTTTTTTTTTTTTTTTTTTTTTTTTTTTTTTTTTTTTTTTTTGGGGAAATCCTCATGGAGACCCACACACCCCGCGGGAGGAATGTGGATACTGCCGGACTCTTACCGACTAAAACCACCACGTGTTCCTCGGCTACGACTAACGGCAGCGTTGCTGCGGTTCCGGTTTATTACTACTCCGCAACAACGCCAACGTCGTTGCTCAACCCCATTCCACGAAGGGGGAGCCCGCCTCTAGGAGCCTAACTCCCAGTCCATCTCTGAAGAAGACGTGCCGAAACAAGAGCACGTTTCCCGACTCAGAGGCCTTTTCATTATAGTGCATCGGACACCCCCGTGTTCAGCGCTTAAGGCCCCTCTTGAGAGGACTGACTGCGATTTCGCTGTCGGCCCCGTTTTCTTCGGAGTGGATTTGAAGTTGGATCCGACTCCCGGTCCCGTTCCTCAGCCTGACGCTGCTGTCCCTCCCTCAACCCTTAAGTTCCCTTAGTCGCCTTTTACCACACCCACGGGAAAGAAAGAACTGACCCATTCTATGCCTGGATCACACCGCTTTAGAACTTAGAAATTATCATTATATATAAAAAGATCATAATTCTAATTACAGTCACAGTACCCATGTATTTAGTCACTGTTTAGTTTCTTGCGGATTCTTCTCAGCAGATAACAATATTCCAAACCCAGGAGAACAATCATAAAACAATTACGAATCAAAAAAGCTTGTAAATTGAATAAATAATTGAATAAAGATTATTTTTATTTATATAGACATATTCTAATAATTTAATTGCCATATTCTACCTTCAAATTGAAACACAACCGTACAAGCACGGCTGTATTACTTATAAATCGACCGGCATTTGACAAATTTAGAAAATATCCAAAAATTAGCTTTCTACTTTGAGATTTACATTATGATCCTTGAATAATGTTGTTCAGTATCATTTACACCATCATTTGGTTTTGTATACCGCTTGAGATTAACCTGTATTTTGTTATAAACTTACCATAACTTTTAGTATCAAAATAGTAAGGTATGTTTCCCATTGGCCAATGTAATGTTTCCTCTTGGGCGATATTTATCTTTTGTCCTGTAAAAAATTATTTAATCTACCGAATTATTATTTATGTTATCATATATTTCTATAGTTCTTTATACTGTTATTAATAAAATTTTAACTAAACGATTAGGGCAACCGAAACAATATTTTTAGAAATTTTGTCTGTCTGCAAAAACTATTACATCGAATAAGATACTGTTTTCATAGTTGAATTCTTGAAAATCTAACTTAAAATCTGGTGTATGCTAGAAGTGGTCTACTTCATTGATTATCCTAATTTTGAAACGATGTATACGAAGAAGCTGGCAATAAACTAGTCATAAATACCTATATGAATCACTAGTTGTAAATCACGGTTTTAGGCGTATAAAAGGAATAAAATCTATACTCCAGAACGCACTCTATTATATGTTAATAATATACGAAATTTTATTAAATCCGTTTAGCCGTTTATCATATGGTAGTACAAACTTCGAATTGAAAAAAGAAAGATTAAATTTAAGTAAGAACATTCAGTGATTTTGAGATTTGAGAGAGGTGAAATGGGATTTTTACTAATGGGAGTCTTATAGCTCCATTGCTAGCAATATACCCTATCAGATTTACCTCCACGCGGTTCCTCCTGGGAACTATTGTGGTTAATTCTTTTGGAATTCGTCACAATGGGCTAACTGACCTGCTTTCATTCTCACCTATCATCCCTTACTGGTGCCCCGGTAGCGTATGACGATAAAGCAGGCGGGGTTACCATTCTATGTTCACTCATTAAAAAAGACACATTTGAGATATCCTGAACGATTACATAACAATTTGAGACTCATTATTCGACGTATGTTTTGGATAACTAGTAGAAAAGAAAATTTTAAACTGTAATATTATAATATAAATAATAATATAAATGCTTGAAGAGGTAACAAATGACTAAATTCACTTTCGCATTAAAATTTATCTAAGTAATATTTGTAGTACTATTACTTATACTGTGTTAATGTATAATGGGATGTTTAAGCATGATTAACTAATTCAAATTTGCAGTATGATGATTCAAGCATGATTAAAAATTCAATCTAAACGTTCATATTATATAATAGAGACTATAAAAATAAATAAAACGATGATTCAGCACGACAATACGTAGGACATACTTACTTAATCTGTCGATTGAAATAGCGCAAATCTTATCTAGGAAGGGGATTATGAAACTCAAAAGTATCGACCACATTGTGCCTTTATTTCGTTTATACTTATTTATTTTAACAATACGTATAAAAATATAAATACATAGACAATAAAATTTTGCAAACACAATTTGCTATTTGTGGTGCAATAAAAATTACGATATAACTCTAGGTTTGTAAACTAAAAAAGCGATTTTCTTTCAATAATGCTGCCTGGTAGGTAGACGGCTACAATACATTCGTATTTTCGGCTTAATTTTTTTCTATTTTATTCAATCCTTCTTCTTATCACTTAGATATTTTACACATAATCAAGTGCAAAACAAGCAAAATTATATATGGGTCGGTTATAGACAATACATGGTAAGTTTTATAAAAGTTTTATAATATATCGTCCTCGTAGAGTGTCTCTACATGGACGATATAAAACGGACTTGTTTTAAATTGGTTGGAAGCCATAGTAAAAACTCATATGCAATAAACTCTTCCTTTCGTAACTATACGGATAGATACATTATTTGTACTACTTGATAATACCTGAATTTAACTGAAATAAGGATTTAAATTACTACGATTTGTATATCTGTATATAAAGTATCCAATGTATTAAGTTAAGATATAACCTACCTACATACAAAATTTTACCCAAATGCGTTTTTGCGTGAAAGAGTAACAAATATCCAGTCATCCATCAAGATGAGTGAATATCCAGCCTTGCAAACTTTCATCATCATTATTGTCATCTTATTAGGGTGTTTTGCCAATAGTTGCCACGCTTGGATTGCCAAACAAACTTTTACATTTATAATATTATAATAGCATCATCATTTCTACCGTTAATTATCCACAGCTGAACATAAGCCTCCCCGTAGACTTCCATAAGAAAATCACCTGCATCAATTGACTTCCTGCAATACTTTTGAAGCCGTCGCTTCATCTAATGGATGATCATCTGTATCTTATAATAAATACCAAAAAAAATATTTTCATCCAGCTTAAATCCTGAAAGACAAATTCATTAGAATCCTAAGTATATATTGATGTTTGCCATAGACACAGAATAGAATCTTTTAGAATCATCGCTTCAATATTTTATCTATGCTATTTAGAAATATTCAATAAATGAAAACGAAAACAAACTAGTGTATTTGGACCAATAATAGAAACACACGAAAATATTATTCAGTTTTATTAGCCTTTCAGAAAGAAGGTAGGTTACATAAAACCAAAGATTTTGGCATAAAACTTAAACTGAAATATATATAAGATTATTTCTATTATAATATTGATTATTTCAATAAAATTCTTATTCATAGTAAAATATAAGATAGATTATTTAGATAGAATTATATTTATTTGTAATTTATTACTACCTATTATATTTTAATTACTATGTAAAAAAAAACGCAAATCAATCGTTATTAATTGATATAGGTACATACAATTTTCAATTATTTTGAAAATTAATACTGATTTGTAAAATATTTGCTCTTCTGTCATTTCCGGGTAGATACAATAAACAAGGTTGAAAAAAATGCGTTTAACCCGCTCATTAATTAAAAAATATTTAATAGTACTACGTAACATTTTTTTTTTACAAATAAAAAACGTTCGTAAATGTTAATACATTGTTAACTATTATATATGGTATAGAGAATAAGGGAACCGCAAAACCAAACCATAAAATAAAGTAATACTAACCAAACACAGACGGTCTGGGGGGAAGGGATTGTTAGTAATGGAAAGGTTAGTCCTCATATAAAGTTGCTATCAATAGATTAGATCGACCTCCATGCGGTTCCCCCTGGAAACTATTGTGACTTGATTTCGTCACGATAGACTAACTGACCTGCCGGGGGGAAAAGGGATTGTTAAGAATGAGACCTAACTGCCCCATTATTAGTAATACACCCTATCAGGTCGACCTTCACGTGGTTCCCCCTGGAAACCATCGTGGTTAATTCTAGTGCAATTTGTCTTGATGGGCTAACTGACCTACTTTCAGCATCACATATCATCCCTCACTGGGTCCCCGCCAGCGTATACCGATAGCGCAGGCGGGGTGACCATGCCATTTTCACCCATTAAAAAAAAACACAGACAGTCTGACTTACTGTAGAATTTGTGTATATATTGTATTTGAAATGTACAATACAAATAACATTTATAAATTTTTATTAGGTAGGTGTTTTAAATCCTTACTAATATTATAACTGTAAAAATGAGTTTTTTTTTTATGGGTGATAATGGAATGGTAACCCCCTCGCGCTATAGGTATACGCTGGCGGGGCACCAGTGAGAGATGATAGGTGAGGATGAAGCAGGTCAGTTAGCTCATCGTGACGAATTCAACAAGAATGTTCACGATAGTTTCCAGGGGGAACCACGTATAGGTCGACCTAATAGGGCATATTGCTAGCAATGGGGCTGTCAAACTCAATTGCTAACAATCCCTTTCCCCTGTAAAAGTGAGTTTGTTTGTTTATTACCTGTTAGCACCTTAACAACTAAACTAATTATTATGGAATTTAATGTACACATACTACATAGAATGGATAAAAATTTTACCGCGGTCACGCGAACAAAGTCATGGGTAAAAGCTAGTTTCTTTTAAATGTAAATGAAAACATACGCATTCAGCCAGTGACATTGATAGTTAAATGACAGCACAGCAGTAATTGTATATATATACAGGTACTTAACCGGTTAGCGGTTAAATTATTTTATGGTAAATTTAAGTATACGAATTGTGAAATATTACGAAAAAATCTCTTTTCATTTACTTCAATTGTGATTAACTACGTACTTGTAAATAAATTGTTCAATTTCAAATTCTCAGATGCTGACAATGCAGTGGCTCTTTTTCGTACTTATTGTTTTAATTGCACCTTCCGTTTATGAAGCTTCGAATGCTGCAACCGGTTCAGTTGGACTAGACGAGCTTTCATTTGATAAAGTTATTAATAAATTCGAAGCTTCACTGGTGAAATTCGATGTCGCGTTCCCGTATGGCGACAAACACGATGCTTTCGTGGCACTCGCGAAGGATGCAAAAGATTTGGACGATCTTCTGATCGCGGAAGTAGGAGTAAAGGATTATGGTGAAAAGGATAATGAAGAACTGGCGAGTAAGTACAGCGCCACAAAAGATAATTTTCCTGTCGTGAAACTGTTTATTAAAGGTAGGAAGGAACCCATATCCTTTGATGAAAGTAAAGGCTTCACTAGTGATGAATTAAGGAGGTTTATTAGAGAGAAGACAGGGATGTACCTGAGCCTACCAGGATGTGTAAAAGAACTAGATAAATTTGCTCAAAAATTTATGAAGGCCAATGTTGATGATAGAAAGAAGTTATTGAAGGACACTGAAGATATCCAAAAGAAATTGTCAAGCAAGGTAATGTTTCCTGTTATAATGAATTATTATTTTCATTTAATCACTGGACATTTATCCAAGATACAATGAATTGACATATTCTCACAGTGTAATCACTGCTGGAACTAGGTAAATTACTAAAATTTACTGTATTTTATTTATTATTAGTTAGAAAACCAATACAATAGACTATTTCTAGGTGATGTATAGATAAAATATATACCGGTTTTTAAGTTAGACCTTTAGGAACATCCTACTGAAAATCACCTTCAATTTGGTGCACTAACTTTTGTGTGATACTAGAACAAAACACATATATACAAAATTTCTAAAATTAACTTTTGACTTGTATTGCTCTTGCTAAAACCTCTTACATCAAATCGCCTTTCATATACAGACATTGTCCAGTTACAATTTTGTTACATTAGTAAGATAATATTTTTTGCAGGATGCTGCATCTGGAAAAATTTATAAAACAATAATGGAAAAGATCTTAGAAAAAGGTGATGATTTTATCAACACAGAGAGTGAACGAGTGAAGAAAATCCTCAACAGCAAAGTATCAGAGGAGAAGAAAAAAGAACTTGGAATCCGCACTAATATATTGCAAACATTCCAACTAGCCACAAATATTAAAAATGAAAATGATGAACTGTGATGAAGAACAAGACAGTTCCTCATTAAAAAGTTTTAAATTCATATCTGCTTATCACTGATATGTAAAAAAGTAACTTTTGACAACTTTGATTTTGTCAACCTGAGAAGTGCTGAATAAAGTAGTTTAAATATTTCAACATTCCATTTTCTATCATTCTAGACATATCTTAAGGTGTTTACGATGACATGATATAACCAAATATGGCCATGGCTAACTGTGTTGCCAAGCCACCATAGTTTGTAAATTTTAATATATATATTCTTTATTGCTCTTGTGAATTACATAGATAGGACAGTTATAAATATTGTAAGCAAGGTTGGACTTACGTCTGAATATCTTCCAATATTTATTCATTGTGCACAATTAGGGTTTTATTTTTTCAACTTGCTGCTGAATTAATGAATTTTAATTTTGATATTTAAGTTTTTTTATAATTAAACTGTGATGGACATATGTTTGTGAGAATAGATTGCACAAATGCACTGAATGTATGCAAATAAAGTGTGATAAAATTTCTTGTTTCATTTGACATTTGGGGAGAAAATAGAAATATAATACACTAAACAACCTGAAAATCCTTATATACAGCACATGGGTCTGTTCTGTGACAAAAAAAAACTAAGTATTTCTAAGTTTACCTTTCCTTCCTTTTATCACAAATATGGTGACATTTATGCTGGCACAGTATTTTCTTTTTACACTAAACTCCCAAACTTAAGCTCGCACTTTGTCTTATAGGAAAAATAAAAAAGCATTTTTTCCAATACATCTATTTTAATGGCTTAATCATTGTTTAAAAACAATTTTGTCACTCAATTGGACCACATTTTTTCACATAAAAAACCGGAATGTTAAACTGATAGTTGTCATAGGTATACTTGTATTTTCAATTACAGATAAAAATGTTTCCATCCATGCCCTAATTGATTTACTGCCACAGCAGCAGACCAACACTACCATTTCCATAAAGCATTCTAACTCACATCAATTTGGCTTCTAACTAATTACTTCTCGATATATGTATATGAAGATTTATAATTCACAATTTTGTAGCATTACTCCTGCAAAATATTTATCTTGAAATCTGAATATTACATTTATTACTATCTTGTTCTAATTATATTTTTCACAAAAAAAATATGAGAACTAATACTGCAAATGTACAAACACATAGCCATATGCTAGAATGTTGTCCTTTATTAAATTGAAGAGAGATCGGTGTTGTTTTCAATTTAATAAAAAATACATATAGTTTTTTCAATTAAACATTCGACAATTGCCATATTATTACAAGTATTTCGAAAGTGAAACTATAAATACATCGCCATCATTTCAATGATTTATTTATTATAATAATCTTCAACATAAATGAATCTGTTGATTGATATTCATTTCAACATATCCAGATATGAATGTTGAATAAAATTTTATATAGGGTATTTATATGTAATTATATGAAAATTAAAATACATAACGTCTTTCTGAATTAAATTCAATATAAAACCCCATATAAAATCATTTAAGTTATTTCCATTGCACCATTTTAAGTTACAATAAGTGACAATATTTAATTGTAGTTTGTTGATCCTTCTCAAATTTCAGTTTTTATACTTATAAATTTCTATTTGGTGTTTGGATCATTTAAAAGTTATTGTCAGTACAATATAATATAATTACTCCATGCTTTGGATGACACTTCCTTAATTGTACAATTAATGAGACCTAAAAACTTGACACCTAGGGTAGCCATGAATTCGTATATTCAGTGCAATAAAAAATTTGTTATTACCATTTGGTGCAAAACAAACAACCCACACAACGATATCCACCATTCCTAATTACCTAAACTAGACTTAAGACTTATTCGAGTGATGTACAGCAGGAATATCAAATCCGAACGAATTACAGTCAGCTCTGTTCATAACTAAAATTTAAAAGCAAATCCTAAATGACATGTAACATACAGCACAGAAAATTATAAAAACCTTTATTATTACAATAATTATCTCAATCTTATACATCCATTAAGAATATGAATGTATTTATTTAGTCTACCAACTGTTAATTTTTGTTACGTTGTACTTTATTTTTGGCTATAAATATTTTTAGTAGGTACTATTTGGAACACAACTTCTTTTTGATGAAGAGCTTATACATCATTCCCAGAAAGTAAGGGGTTTTTTTATTTTATTATTATTAAAGTATTATCAGCTGCATAATGAATTAGTTAGACAAACTTATAGTTAGTGACAGTTATATAAATAAGATCACTATTTTTTTATATAAAAAATTAGATTGCTTTAGTTGATTCAGGGATAAAATGGATTGGGTGTCTCAAAAGAAAGGTGACATTTGTTTTGGTTATTACGTGAACGCAACTATTCTGAGGGGTGCGGGGGGTATGTTATTCGGTAGCCTAGCTTCTGGGAATTTAGTCGCTATGGAGCGTTTCTTGAGAGTGGACCGTGCGTTGTGCGTACGCGAGTTTTACAAAAACGGTAATTCAGCGACTGTAGCGCGTATTAAATTTTGCAATATTCGACATATAAATGACGCGCCAAGCCCTAAACTCATTGATAAATGGGTCAAAAAGTTTGAAGAGACCGGTTCAACGCTAGAAAAATTAAAACCCGGACATCCAAGGTCTTCGAAAACGGTCGAAAACATAGACAGTGTTTCTCAATCTGTTCGTGACAATCCAGACCTTTCAATTCGGAAGCGTGCTGATGCTTTAAACGTGCATAGATCATCGTTATTCCGTATTTTGCACAAAGATTTAAAGCTGCACCCCTACAAAATTCAATTAATGCAAGAATTAAAGCCTCAGGATGCTGGGCAGAGCCTCGACTTCCTAAATCAGATGATTAAGCGCTTTTCAATGTTTACCAACATATTCTTTTCGGATGAAGCTAATTTCCATCTCCATGGAATGTAAACAAACAAAATTGCCGATACTGGAGTGCAAGTAATCCAAAACACAAACATCAGAAACCCCTACATTCGCGTAAAGTGACAGTATGGGCTGCAATGTCGGCGCTTACTTTTTGAAGATGAAAGCGGACGCACAGTTACAGTGAACTCGGAGCGTTATGTGGAGATGTTAGACAACTTCTTCGTGCCTAAACTGCAAAACTTTCCTGGTTATAACCAAAGAACATGGTTCCAGCAGGACGGAGCAACTTCACACACGTCCAACAGGTCTTTACCACGAGTTCGTGAAATTTTTCCTGGCAAATTGATATCCAGGAGAGGTGACATAAATTGGCCTCCACAAAGTACCGATTTAACCCTTATAGACTTTTTCCTGTGGGGTTACGTCATATCTAAAGTTTATGCCAACAAACCGACTTCCTTGACACAATTAAAAGAAAATATCCATCACGAAATGGCAACCATCACGGAGAATACATGCCGAGCCATCATAGACATTTTAAGATCTTGAATAAAAGAATGTCGTGAACACAACGGTTTACATTTGGACAATATCATTTTTTAAGAAATAAATTCCCAAAAACTGTATTTTAATATGTAATAAACATTTTTTTAATAAACTCCTTTTTAATTTTTTATGGATTTTTTAAATGTGAACTTTCTTTTGAGTCACCTTGTATTAATCATGATAGATTACAAAGAAATAGCTGCAATATATTCTTACAATGTGGTTGACAAATTAATAATTGGTAGACTTGAATAGTCAATATAATATCTTAAATTCCAACTACATTTTTTAAAAAGTTACAAAATAATAAGGAAGTAGATATTTAGATTGATTTAAAAGATATGAATAATAATTAAGACATTATGTGTAAAAGTAAATAGATGCTTTTTACTATTATAAGCTGACAAATCATATAATATTTGAGAAACCAATACAGCTCTTTTATTTATTCTGTGATGACAGAATAAAGTCAACATTTCAATTTCAATAAAAAGCATCTAACAATATTGTAAAAACAAAATAAATTGTCCCCTAATGTTTGCAAGTTTTACATGTATTCAGTAATTAACTACTAGCTGTAAAATAATAAAAACATTAAAAATATCTTCTTTAGGACATAAGAATGTTAAAAATCATTTGTAGAAAAATACTACACATTACAGCTTGGCCTCTTATGCAGATCTTTACAATAACATTCATTCCGATTTTTCACTTTCCACCTTGAGTTCTTTAAGTTTTAAAACAACACCTTCAGAGTCTGTCTCCTCAGGCTTGTCTCCTTTGTCAGGAGACTTTTCACCAACCTTGGGTTCTGGTGTATCAGTATCTTCACTCCTGGTAATGCTACTCTCATCATCTGAAAATTGGTCTTGGGTGTATAGACTACATTTCGTTCTTACAATCTCCTGTGCCTCAGCAAATTTTGTTTTCCATAATTCGGCATCTGAAAATAGTAGTGTTTTTTAAAATATGTTAAATAATGGATTCCATGGATCTAAATAAGTTAGTCAGTACATTGATATAAAATATCTAAAAAAAAATTATAGATGTTCTAAAAACCATTTAAAAAATTATGTATTACATGAAAGCTGACATTGTATTTGTCATTTTACTTACACTTAAGTTTAAATTATTTAAAAAATTCTAATTACCATTTTGCTTTAAAATATCATATTACTCGTGGCAAATTTTCAACTAACACAATCTCATAAATATATAATAATCTCATAGATACTGAATCATGTTTAACCTTTATAAATACTATTTATTACATATAATTTATTACTATTTAATAAATAGCAATAAATTACATGTAATGAACTTGGCCACAGAAACAAATTATATATCTCTATAAATAAAAAAAATATACACACACCTGAATTTTTTTTTTTTTTATAGTACAAACTGACCATATTTTAAAATTATTAAATGTTGAAACTTAATAGCACTACTTACTCTGTGGATTGCCAAACTTAATAGCAAGAAGTTCTTGTTTGCAGGTCTCATCTGCATAATCTGCAAACACTGACCAGTTAAACGCTTTGTCCGAACCACAGTGAACATTCATCCTAATATCTGGTGTGATGAAGTGGTTCGCACATACTTTCAGTGTTTTGTCTCTTCTCATTACCACCCGGACAGTATTGTTAATTCTATGACGCAACAACTTAATGTCACCCGTGCCACGTTCCTTAAAAAATTAAAATATTTGAAATTAAAACAAAAAATCACTATTTATATATAATTAAACCAACATTTAATTAATTTATTTTAAACATTATTTATTTGATATAAATTCAGATTTACTATGATATCTACATATATATTATTATTATTATAAAAAAAAAATATATTATTATTGTAATATAATTAATAGTATTATTGCAAGTAAATATAAGAGTACAATTAATGTAAATAATTTTCAATAACAGACACTCAGATTTTAAAATGATTATTGGATTTTATATTTTTCTTATAATTGTTAAAGCGGTCACAAGTACATACCAAATTCTGTATTAACAATTAACAAAAAAAAATTTATGAAGTAAATGTCTATAATTAAAATAAAGTTAATTTTATTAGTGTATAGGTTAATATATAAAGTGGTCAAAAATCTCTTGACATCAGAGGGGTGAAGGAATGGGCAATATATGGCCACCACCGCTTCAAAAGTCTGAAGGGTCTTTTGCCCTACTAATTTATTAGTTAGAATTTTTTTGAACCTTTTTTTAAATCTTTTTTGCATTGCCAAAGGTCATAGTGTGAAATACATCTCACCCACAATATGTGTATTGCCTCAACATTAAGCAGCATACTCACATCAAAATAAGGAAATTCAATGAACATACTATGTTTGTCATTTCTGAAAATTTATTGCCATTTTGTGAAATGCAAGCAGCGGTTCACAATTCAAAACAAGATGCTGCAACATAGGCAATGTACCCTGAAAGTCTACTGGATGAAGATCCCAACAATTGTTGGAATTTAATAAACATAGTATATTTGCTAATCTCTTGTGTTTCTATTATAAACACTGATAAAAAAATAACATTATTTTTAGTATTATCTAGATTTAGAAATGATTAAACTTTTTCTTTGTTATGATGCATTAAGTAACCTCTATCTTTTTGTACACACATGACTATATTATATGCATTTAATACCTTCCATTCGTGATCACCCGTATCGTATCTATAAAGCCTAGCACGTATCTTCACGAGCTCTTCTTCGTCTTCCTCATTAGTTTGTACCTCAACAAGGGGCAACGACACGATAGGCTCGAAGTGAGGGTCGTGTTCTGGAGTCTCCGCTTCAGCGCCTTCGCTTTCACTATTGCGCCTCACACTTTCTTCTGTCTATATACAAAAATATAAGATACAACATTAATTTCAGCGAGCGTAAAGTTAAGAACCATTGTAATAAAGATCCACTATTAATTCACAAAGTCAAGCCACTATAAATAAAATAAATATTAAAAACATTACCGGCGAAGACATCTTTAGAATTATCTGCTACAATGTTTTAAGAAAATAATTGAAAAAAGTTTTTCTAATAAATTTCGAATTAGACTTATGAAGTTAATTATAAAATTATTAAATTCAGTTACAAATCGAATGAATTTGAATGATTATTTGAATGATTATGTTTTATTTTAATGTAGTAGTAGTATTAAATTATTCGCAATGGAGAAGGCAAAGGAACTCAACCATGCAGCTTGATCTTTAGTTGATTATGTTTGATATATATATTTTTTATATATTTGATAGAAGTATTACTGAATTAATTATAATTAGACAAAAAAATTAGATGACTACAATGTAATCTTTTATTCATATTACCTATAAATATATAATAATGGATTTTTATGTATCCGTGTTATATACTACGAAATGGTCACTTAGTGTCAAATTATGCACCAGATAACTTCATTAGTTAGTGTTTTATATATACTTAAGTATTAATACTACTTATCTGAATCTAAACTTTAGATAAAATAAAAAAAAGCGAGGAAGAAGAAATATTTTAAATAAGTCAAAATGTAAGGTCAGAATAAGTTAATCATTATTGCATGAATTACTGATTGACGGCTGACTTTACACTTTGACAGATATTTGACTTGAAACTTGAATGATTGATTGATATTTTGAATACCTAGATACCTTTACCTGTTCGTTTAGTTGATATTTTATTAAATGCTCTTTAATTGTTTAATAAACAACAGCATTTTATTTCAGTGCTAAATATTTTAAGCGTTTTAAATTTTTCCCAAAAGTCCAAGGTAAAGTCTTATATGTCAAAGTTTATATAGATTACACAAAATAATAACCGGTCAAAAAGTCATTGACTATTTTGACGACCCATTTTTATAGTGTTCCCAGTTTATTTTAAGATTATTTTATTTTCCGGGTGTGCTGAAACATTTCCAGTCTTGGCTTTAAATCGGTAACCCAGTTAATATCTATTTTAAGTTTCTCATTCGTATAAATAAATACCCTAACATTTTTATGAGACAGTATCATTAAAATAATATAGTCCCATTTATTAAATTTATCCTATTTATATTATTACAAATCTACATAAGAATGTAAAATACAGTGACTTTGTACAATATGTTTAATTATAAAATTACTTATTATTGAATACTTAAAAACAATTACCTACCATTTTAGAAAACCGCCTAAATGCAAAACATAGCAAAAATGATAACGGAGCAACTCCGGAACCCGAATGAACTAGACATCAATCTCCGTATGGAGTTTGGTCCATTTGAAACGGTGCACAAGTGGAAACGGATGTCTGAATGCTATGAGTTTGTTGGTGCCAGGTATGTTGTTTGTTTTGTATATTAATTAAACCAAAAAGCATATCTATTGATTAGTATAACTAACTGCAAGGAAGAGAAAGACTTAAATAAAACTTATATCAATGGGTATCTTTGTTGTTTAAGGTGTGAAAATGGGGTGGTAACCCCACCTTTGCTATTGATATATGCTGGTAGTTTACCAGTGAGGTGTGATAGATGAGGGTGAAAGCAGGTTAGCTAACTCAACCATTTTTCATAAGAATTAACCTCAACCTCATTGCTAGAAAGATATATTTCCATGGAGTTTCCCCTGGAAACCATCATTGTTGATTAATTTGTCACAATGGACCTACTGACCTGAATTCATCCTCACCTATCATCCCTAACTGGTGCTCTACCAAGTGTAAACTGATAGCAGAGGCAGAGTTACCATTCTATTACCATCTTTAAAGAAGATTTAAAGATTTCATATTTAAAGAAGAGTTTGTTTGTTTGTTTCATAATATCTTATATAAAGTATATAGAGATAAATTTAAATTTTAATGGTAAGAATCTACCCATACTATAAAATATATTATGGACATAAATTTCATGAGCCAAAAATAATATATTTTATAGTATGGGTTGATTCTTAGTATTTTTTTGTTGAATGAAAATGGATTTGTTAACCCCGCCTGCACCAATGGCATACACTAGTGGAGCTCCATTGAAGGGTAATAGATGAGAATGAAAACAGGCCAGTTAGCCCATCATGATGAATTCATCAGGAATTAGACATGATAGTTTCCAAGGGGAACCGCGAGGAGGTAGAGCTGTTTGGGTTGTCCCTTTCACCCCCCAACCTGTATATTAATGATATATTGCTACATTTACAGACGTAGTAAACACACTGCTGTTGCATATAAAGATGCTATATATGTGTTTGGTGGCGATAACGGCAAGTCCATGTTGAATGACCTCATACGATTTGATATCAAGGAGAAGTCCTGGACCAAAATGGGTTGTATGGGAGTACCACCGGCACCAAGATATCACCACTCAGCAGTGGTAAGTCATGAAAATTAATTTTATCAATTCTTATGTAAACAATTTATATACTTTATTTACAGCCCTTATAAATTTTCTTCAATATTATATTAAGAATACAACTGCCAGCCATATTAAATTTTATTTTGCCTTAAAAAAAAGATGGCTAACAAGAATATACAGCCCATCTGATGGTAAACAGCCACTGTAATCTATTATAGAAGAGAAAGCAAATAAAAAAATATTTCGCTTTTTCTTCCAAATAAAAAATACAAAAAATTATTATTTTGTCTTCTAATACTCTTATTAATACTTTGTACAAATTTTTGGGGTTCCATGCCAAATAGGTACAAAGGAACCCTTATGACGCAACTTTATCCATCTGTCACAACACTATATTTCAACAAGTACTAATACTATTGATTTTAAATTTGGTAAATAATAAAAAATATTATTAGTTGGCACATATTGCAATGGAAATAATTGAAAAATATTTTTACTTTTTTCTTAAGAAGTTCAAAAGGGGTAAACAAATTTCAAAAAGAAGCTAATAAGTCCATGTGGGGTCCACATGGTCTTCATTTGTACCTAAAAGCTATTAATGTTAAAAGCTATTTTTATTTTACTTATTATTACTTATTTTTGTAGTGTGTAGATTTTGACTTATCGAAAATGTGATAAAAATACCTTCCCCTTCCCTCCTCTCGCTTATCACTAAGTTTATATTTATTAGACGAGAGAAATCTGAAATACAGTTTATAAAGGTATATGTGAATATTACAGAAAAAAATAAAACAATGTTTGTAGCTAACACTGTTCTTGATTAATTATAAAAAAACCTGCAAAAAACTTCAATTTTTTAACCAAAATTATGATCCAAAATATGAAATTACGAATTTAAATATCAATAATAATAACTATTAAGTATCATACAAAGAAAACAAAGAAGGTAATTTTATTTCGTATCTTTTCTATGCACGGAACCCTCGGCGTATGAATTTAACTGACATCCAACCGTTGTTTTTTGTTATATATCTTTTATGTTCTGTAGGTTAATACATCAAGTTATTATACAATTTTATTATTTGCAATGTTATTACTTATATATAAGTAAGAAAATATTAAATAGGGTAACGAGGTTTCTTCTGGGTCGACGACGCGTAATACCCTTGGTATTACAAACGTTTATAGATTGCGGTAACCACTTATCATCAGGTGGGCCGTGTTTGTTTACCGCCTTAGTGGTTAAAAAAAAATATTAATTCAGGTGCACAGATCATCAATGTTCGTGTTCGGCGGGTACACTGGCGACATCCTCGCTAACTCTAATCTCACCAATAAGAACGACCTGTTTGAATACAAGTTCCCGAGCGCACAATGGGTCCAATGGAAATTCACCGGACAGTGAGTTATACAAATAATTTATTTATCTATTTATTTCTTATTGCATTCCATAATATGCTTGGTAGATAACATTCCAATTTCAATTATGGACCCCGTTGGGCACAGCAAGTAGGATCTCTCCTCTCGGAAGACAACCCTTCACTTATTCAATATTTATTTATGAGTAGTTATAAAAACTTACAAAAATCTGAAACAGTTACGAAAAAAGGTTATCTAAATCAGTCGGTCGAGCATCGAACCTAACGACTGCATTAATGAACAGCGATGTACTAAACAAGAACAAGCCACTGTTGTACCACATTAACTATTTATTATAAACATGAATAGGTATATACAATGTATATAGTATTAAGTATGAGTCTTTGTAAATGAATGATATTAGATTACTATTACCACCCTAATAAGGTGACTTTATATTTTAGTTTTATTTAGAGTTTTCCTTCTTTGCGCTGATGTATACCACATATGTATGTGGTATACATCACATACATATAAGGGATGTCCCTTAGTTGTCTCTTAAATGAAGTTCCTGAAAGAAGGTGACATAAAAATTATTTGTGACACTTAATATTATTTCTTTGTCAGCAAACTATAAGAAAACTATACCAGTAATTTACTAAAGAAAAAAATAATAAAAATAATACAGTTCTTTATTCAACATTATAGTAATTTTAAATAAAGAATTGTAATTTAAAACTGTTCTGAAATATTATCTTCAGAGAGCCAGTACCGCGGTCGGCTCACGGTGCAGCCGTGTATGATGACAAGCTATGGATATTCGCCGGCTACGACGGCAATGCGCGACTTAACGATATGTGGACTATCAACTTAGTTGTATGTATTGTCTAGATTTTTTTAACTCACAAATAACATTGTAACGAAAATTAAAAAGAAAAATGCGTTTTGTATTTTTTTTTTTCTATTTCTATCGTAAGTACCGCTGCAACCAAAAATTACTGTCTCTCTTTCTGTATTATTGTCACTTCATATGCATCATAAATTATACGTACAAATTTCAAATAAAGAAGGATAAAATTCCAATTTCAATTGAAATAATCTAATTACGCTATTTTTTGTTTGAATAGGGTGAAAACCATCAATGGGAGAGGGTAGAACAAAAAGGCCAGTGTCCACCAACTTGTTGTAACTTTCCCGTGGCTGTAGCGCGTGGCAAAATGTTCGTGTTCAGTGGTCAGAGTGGTGCCAAGATTACCAATGCTTTGTTTCAATTTGATTTTGAATCACACACGTAAGTATTTACCTGAAGGGACAATATGTTCCACTCATTATGATTGATGTGTCTACATGCTATTCGTACAAACAAAACCCTTTTTTTTTTTTTCAAAACCAATCTGTTCAAACTGTCCACTGCTAAACATTAGCCTCTCTCTATGGTGGGGGGGGGGGGGGGACCTATGCTACGCTTGGCAGGCGGATTGGTTATTTTATTTATTTATTTATTCTTTATTCCACAATAAAATTTTGTACAAATGGCGAGCTTTATTATCTATATTTATTTATTATATTTATTAGCTATATTTATTATCGCAATTAACCAAATTAATCACTAGGTTAGGTTTAGGTTTTTTTTTATGGTTTGCGGTACAGTATTTAAGGCATCCTGTCCTCGCTATTGGATACGGGTGACGGAATGCCTATACAAGAGGGTACATGGTGGACGCAATTTAGACGCAATATTTGAGGAGCATTTGAAAGGTACTACGGCCGGATACTGAGTAGCTGTCGATTTTCACATTAAATGAGTTTATAAAATGAGTTGCGCGTGTGGGTATCGTGGGCGTGCGTGTGCGTGTGCGTGGATGCGTGTGACGTGTGTTGTCCGTGGTGCGCAGGTGGAGCCGCGTGTGCACAGAACACCTGCTGCGGTGCGCGGGCCCGGCGCCGGCGCGGCGCTACGGCCACGTGATGGCGGCGCACGCGCGACACCTGTACGTGTTCGGCGGCGCCGCCGACAACACGCTGCCCAGCGATCTGCACTGCTACGATCTCGACACGCAGATGTGGTTAGTAAAGTTTATACTACGACGACATAAACTTTCAATTTTTTTTTTTTACTATTAATATTTACTATAAGCAGAGGTAGTAAAACAATACACCCTTGATTATATAATGATGAAATATGGTCGGGTGTAGGTCTGTTGTACAGCCTGCGGCAGACTCGGCGACCCCTTCGGGCCGTCTGTTCCACGCAGGGGCCGTAGTGGGCGACGCGCTTTATATTTTTGGTGGGACAGTCGACAACAACGTACGGAGCGGCGAACTTTTCCGCTTTCAAGTAAGTGCAACTCGATAACTCGTCAATACAAAGCTAAATAAAAAATAGTTTTATAATATATCGGATGAGAACGCGAGTTAGATTAAGAATAAAGCTTCTTATTAAGCCGTAATTTTTTAATTTAAAAACCATAAAAAAATAGACAATAAAATATTTTCAAAAAAATAATTTTAAAATCCTAGATCCTATACTAGCAATAGCAGTTTATATGGTTTTTCAGCTATCCAACTATCCTCGTTGTACACTACACGACGACTTTGGCCGAGTGCTCAAATCTCAACAATTTTGCGACGTGACACTACTGGTTGGTGACGAACAAACTCCCATACTGGCCCACCAGGCGATGTTGGCCGCACGCTCGCAGTATCTCCGGGCTAAGATCAAGTAAAGTGCTTTCCACTACAGTTGTGCAGTACAATCCTTACTACTAAGGGGAAGGGATTGTTTGCAATGCGGACTACCAGTCCCATTGCTAGCAATATGGGGTATATGTCAGGTCGACCTCCACGTGGTCCCTCCTGGAAACCACTGTACTGAATTCCAGGTGTGTTCATCATGATGGACTAACTGACCTGCCTTTTCATTCTCATCTATCATCCATCACTGGTACCCCGCCAGCGTATACTGTTCGTGCAGGCGAGATTACCATTCCATTATCATTTATTCAAAAAATCCTTACTACTTTACTAATATTATAAATGTAAAAATGAGTTTGTTTGTTTGTTATCTCCTCGTGCTTTAACAGCTTAAACAATCAATACGAAATTTGGTTTATACATACCATAGAAGAGAAGAACATAAGTTATTTTTTATCCAGACCATACATATGATCAAGTTTAAAGAATATTAAATTCAAATTTCTATGGATGGATCATATAAACCATATTAATTCAATTTACTCTCTATTACTATAGTACATACATCTCGTTCACAGGGAGGCTCGTGAAGAGTTGTCCAAACGTATCGCATCTGGTGAGGAGAAAGCATCCGAAGTATACTCGTATAAGGCCAAACCTCAACTAACAGTTAAACTACCAGAGGCCACGCCCGAAGCTTTCCAGATGGTGCTCAATTATATATATACTGACAGGATAGATCCTACAGAAAAAGGTGAGTAAAGAAGGATCTTCTCTTGTATTTGCCTCTTTCCATATAGAGGGAAGTTCAAGTATTACGTAATGCAATTTTTAAAGATTTTTGACCCTTCCTCCCCTTATGTAATGCCATAACATTTTTCTGTAACCTCCCTCCTCTTCCCTAACAACGAAAACAAAATAAAAATGACATATAATACCATCAAAGGATTGCCCATAAAACATAAACGAAAAAGGTTACCAATTTGGTAGATTTTGTACAAAAGTCGATTGCTTGGGTACCTCTGTCCCATTCGTGTTTCAACCGTGAAGCAGTTGTGTTTGCAGTTGGTTTGAAGAGTGGGATATGGCGTGAATTTACTGGGTACAGAGGAATAACACCCGAGTCCTCAGGAATGGCAACGCGTGGGGTGTATCATGGGGAAACTGTATACTCTGTTATGTCCATGGTACTGCTTATGTCTATAGGCGACGGTTATCACTTTCCATCAGATGGGCCGTCAGCTTGTTAGCCATTCTAAGTTGTATAAAAAAAAAGATTACAATTTTTGTTTTTAATTAAAAAACAACGTTACGTAACGCGTTGTTCTGAACGCCCTTGTAACGCATTGTAACGTTTTACACGAAACCCTCCTGCCTCAAATTGTGTTACGTAATACTAGAACGTCCCTTAGTATAGTATACGAATATATAGCAACTTCAGTATTACTTTATTCTGTAATGCGTGTGCAACATGGGTTTTTTATACCACTGAGGTGGCAAATAAGCATACGGCCTAGCAGTTACCGTAGCTTATGAATATTTGCAATACCAAGGACATTAAGCGCGTGTTGCTGGCTCTGAAGAAACCTCTTTAACCCTTTTTTTAAGAACCCAATACTGTAGTTTCTTGGAAAAACCTTGACAGGGATTTGTTCATTACATAACCTGAAGAATGTTCCTGGGAGGAAACATCTCTGAATATACATCATACGCTCTAAGGTATGGGGGTGAACTCCCCTATCGATGGTGAGTTTTTCGAAGATAGAAAGTGGCCGTGGTCATCATATTGGCTCTAGCAAAGAAGAACACTGTAATTTGTGTGGTTATATTCCATGATCAGATGAGGACCCAGCTTCACCTGCGACGATACTGCTGGTGATGGAGGTGCTGCGGCTGGCGCTGCGGCTGAGCATCCCGCGGCTGCGCGGGCTGTGCGCACGCTTCTTACGCGCCAACCTGTGCTACAGCAACGTGCTGCCCGCGCTGCACGCCGCGCACCACGCGCAGCTGCACTGCATCAAGGAGTACTGCCTGCGGTGAGTCTCATGCTGCCAACCTGTGCTACAGCAACGTGCTGCCCTCGCTGCGCGCCGCGCACCACGCGCAGCTGCACTGCATCAAGGAGTACTGCCTGCGGTGAGTCTCATGCTGCCAACCTGTGCTACAGCAACGTGCTGCCCTCGCTGCGCGCCGCGCACCACGCGCAGCTGCACTGCATCAAGGAGTACTGCCTGCGGTGAGTCTCATGCTGCCAACCTGTGCTACAGCAACGTGCTGCCCTCGCTGCGCGCCTCGCACCACGCGCAGCTGCACTGCATCAAGGAGTACTGCCTGCGGTGAGTCTCATGCTGCCAACCTGTGCTACAGCAACGTGCTGCCCTCGCTGCGCGCCGCGCACCACGCGCAGCTGCACTGCATCAAGGAGTACTGCCTGCGGTGAGTCTCATGCTGCCAACCTGTGCTACAGCAACGTGCTGCCCTCGCTGCGCGCCTCGCACCACGCGCAGCTGCACTGCATCAAGGAGTACTGCCTGCGGTGAGTCTCGCGCGGCCCTGCACGCGCCTCCGGGAGAGGGGACGAGGTCACGTAGCGTCCAAGGGTATCAATGTTTGACTTTGGTGCTTTTCACTCAACAGTGAAACTATGAAGCCAAGCCGTCGCTGTCTGCTCACTCGACCCTCCCGATCTCCTGGTGACTATTTTAATTTTCGTGAGACGCGTTAAAAAATTTGCCCAAGGTCGCAGGCCAACTCTGCATACAGTATTGTGCTGCCCAGATTGTATGCCATCACATCCATTCTTTAATGCAATTGTATCTCCTGTGATGCATTGTTTAAGTTGCATTTATGTACTAACCCAAATCCTATAATTATTGTGAATGATTTTACATTAAAGTGTGCTCACTGTGCAAGTTAATAAATCTCACTTGATTTTGATGTTGCCTTTTATAAAGAGAGAAAATGAAAATCGAAACGTGTTTCGGTTTGGAATACGGCGGTGAAATTACAGGGTACGGAGGAATGACGTTATAGTTCCTGAAAATGGCATCGCGTGGGGGTACCATGGATATCACAATGTTTTATGGTGTATCCACAGTGCCATTCATCTGTATAGTCGACGGTTACCACTTACCGTCAAGTGGACCGTCAGCTCATTTGCCGTTCTAATTTGCACATAAAAAGTCTCCTCATTTCTAAAATATTTGTTTTGAAGTGAACTCTTTTAAATTTTCACAGGTTCGTAGTGAAAGACTATAATTTCACACCGATCGTGATGTCACCAGAGTTTGAGGATATGGAACAGAGCCTAATGGTGGAAGTGATCAGACGCCGGCAACAGCCCCCACCAAAGCAACCCAGCGCCACGGCACAGCACGAGTGTGACGAAGAGATTATAGGTACCAAAACTATGAATAGTTTTGTTAATCCATTTCTTATGTGTTACTTCTAATGGCAAATAAACTGATGGCCCATCTGTTGTCTATAAATTTAATTAGAAGTGATAATGATATTAATAAAAGTATCGTTCAGAAAAAGTTAATAGGTATTTTATGGGAATTGACATTAAATGTTATATAAGATACTTAAAGATATTTTGGATCTGCCTTTTAATAAATTTAAAACTGTCATAAAAACATTTATTGAACAAAGCTAAATTCTAAATGATTACTTGAATGACAAATGTGCATGGTTTAGTCGATCATGCACAGGCTTTTAACGACCATGTAATCACACAGTACATTAAAATAAATACGTATAATGTTAACAGACATTTAAAAGAGTAACTGTTGAATTTCTTGCGGGCTCTTCTCAACAGATAACGACCTTCTGAACCCTACAGAAGATTAAAAAAAATTGACAATTTAAAATTGCTTGTAAACCAGTCTATTTGAGTAAAGCAAGAGCAACATTACTACTCTCACTCTATAAAATATCATAGAAGGCAACTAAGGTAACAGGACTTTTAAATGCTTTTAAAATCATAGGCGTATTTAAGAAAGGGTCGAACGGGCAGTACCCATACCAGAAATGTTTTGTGCCTACCCCAGGATAGTCTTAAAGTACATGTTCCTTTAAGGGGGTCCTCCCTCCTGAAAAATAATTATAAATATGCCAATGGCGATAATACTTCATTACCGTGTCAGCTGTTAACCATCCACTGCTGAACATAGGCCACACCATATATGGGAGTTATAATAATACTAAGTGGCACACAAACACAGTTATTACTTGATCGTCAAGCATCCAGAACACCATGCAACTAAATAAAATACTATTGCGGTGCAATACTAGAGCGATGGGAGGGACAAGTGTTTAAAAGTTCGGGCGGGGGGGAAAGGGATTGTTAGTAATGGAGACTGAGAATCCCATTGCTAGCAATATACCCAACCAGGTCGACCTCCTCGCGGTTCTCCCTGGAAACTATCATGGTTAATTCCTGTTGAATTCATCATGATGGCCTAACTGACCTGTTTTCATTCTCATCTATCACCCTTCACTGGTGCTCCGCCAGCGTATCCCGTTAGCGCAGGCGGGGTTACCATAGCATTTTCCATAGTTGGAGCGTGTGTCCGGCAGGCACGACCCTGGAGCAAGACATGTGCGTGTTCGTGGGCGGCGGCGGCGCCGAGCTGGCGGACGTGCGGCTGCGGGTGGGCGGCGCGCTGCGGCCGGCGCACCGCTCCATCCTGGCCGCCAGGGCTGCCTACTTCGAGGCTATGTTCCGCTCGTTCTCGCCGCACGACAATATCGTAAACGTTAGTATCGACCTTGCCACTGTCGCACGATGCTGGTGGTCACGTGTGGCTAATCGGAGCATGACATTTAGTAAGGATTCTACTAATAGATACAACTAAACATGAATATAACAAGTCATATTCATAGATATAGTACATTACTGCAGCGGCCAGCAACTGAGGCATTGATGGACGAACGAACAAATGTGGGCCGAGGTGTAGCCGAGGCACATACGTGAGTTCATTAATGCCTAGTTGTGGCCAAGGCTTGTATAGTACTTTTCTCAAACAATGCGCGGAAATCAAAAACACAATTTTAATTTTTAAGTTCAATGACAAATAACGAACATTAATAATTGTTCACGCGCCATAATGTTTTCTTTTTTTTTCAATAAACTTTCTATTTGCAAGCCAGTTCGAAATTTAAATAAAACCTTAGTAGTAGTAGCGTATTAGTTACCTCCTTGGTAGCCATGTTTCGAAGTAAAAGGTCATTCCATTTTTAAATTACAGGACAGATATGAGTTTACATAGTAATTTATCTGGCCGCAAAACACGACAAATATGGATTTTCATACAACTTTTGCCGGCCGCTGCCCGCATGTATCTTGGCCAGTATGGCAATTTTGATTTAACTCTAAGAAGATTGTCAAAATAATGCTCACATTTCCAAGCATGTTTGAGAAAAATATATTTGTAGGATTCTTACAATTGCATGTTTTTCATGATCCACAACATTATACTAGTTTTTTTTTTTTTTATTTGTGCTGTCTTTGCAGAGCTTCAAGTTATTATTATCCCAGAATTTTACTGAATGGAATTAAAAATCAAGATAACTAGTATATTAATAAATGCTACTATTGTTCTTCTAGATCCAAATCTGTGATACAGTCCCTTCAGAGGAGGCGTTTGACTCACTACTTCGGTACATATACTACGGAGATACGAACATGCCGACTGAAGACTCGTTATATCTTTTCCAAGCACCTATTTATTATGGTAATTTTTTTGTTAACATATAAGATTTTTTCATTCATTCATCCGCCATATATTATGTAAACCGTTATGTACACAAAAACGGCATGATCTATTGCTGTCATTGCTACAGAAATTATTGACCTTTTCTGATTTATAATAATGGAATGGTAACTCCTTCTACGCTATGGATTTAATTTGAGCTTTAAATAAGGTGTTGAAATGAAGTCAAATGACCATCTTGACGAATTCATTAGAAATTAAACAAGAAGTTTTCTATGTGAATACATAAATGCTGGACTACTTACTAGATTTCGTTGCTATCGAACCCTTTCCCGTGTTCGTCGATTGAACATATTTTAGTATTTTTTATGTCACTAAATTTCTTTACCAAGAAATAACAAGGTAATAAATTACATTATTCAGTATCTTCTATAATTCTGCGATATCCCTAGTTCTTGTTTTTTTTTTTTTTTTGAAACTTCTAATATTCTCATTTTTGTATGATATTATTATTAATGCAGGCTTCACAAATAATCGTCTACAAGTATTCTGCCAGCATAACCTCCAAAGCAACGTATCACCAGAGAACGTATTAGCCATTTTGCAAGCAGCCGACAGGATGCGCGCCACAGACATCAAAGAGTATGCGCTCAAAATGATCGTCCACCATTTTGGACTGGTAAGAATATTCTTTTCCTTTAGGAACATGTCAACACTCCTTTTCATGCCCAGGATATTGAATGAGGACTAGTGGAAAGTTTTACCACAGGAATACTTTGTTCAAAAGTTGCAAACCAACCTCGTATGGCTGTTTCAGTTGAAAAAGAGTGATATGGGAGGAAAATTACAGAGTACAGAGGCATCATACATTTATTTTTAAAAAATTTTTTATGCAAATTAGAATGGCAAACAAGCTGACGGCCCACCTGACGGAAAGTGGTAACCGTTGCCTATACACATGAGCAGAACAGAGTATACTGTTTCGCCCATGATACCTCCCATGGGTTGCCATTCCTGAGGACTAACACTCAGAAATAGCTGCACATTAGGGGTGCCATAGACGTCAGAGCATTATGTCCACGATGCTGTCTATGTCAATTCGTGATGCTTAATTCTGTCCATCACATATACTGTCAGCTTATTTGTGTCATGGAAGGTAAACTCGAAATAAAAAATCATTACCAACACGCTTCAGCAGCATTCGTTTATTATTTATACAGGTCGCGCGACAAGAAGCCATCAAGAATCTAGCACAGCCATTACTGGTTGATATTATCTGGGCATTAGCTGAAGAACCACACTTTGACACTCCTCTGCCACTCCAACCTCGCTCGCTGCCTTCATCGTCATCAACTGACATTGTTACAGACGACATGACTGATTATATTAGACACAAAGTAAAAAATTATATATAAAGTCACTACATAAGAATGAGTGAACAAACTCTTAAGGGTTACTAATGCTTCATACGAGCCAGATAAGGCCAGATTAACATAGGTAGAAGCCAATAGGCAATACAAGTCTTGGCCCTTCTTTTATTAAAGAAATAGGGTAGCATTTAAACTATACATTAACGTCTTACATCTTGACGCTAGTCAACACTAATAAATATCAGTTATTTATAAAATACTACATATTATGTTGAACTTATTGTACTCATTGATTACGTTCCAATTCGTCATTGCCGAGGTCATAGCGGTTGTCTACTTTGAAATGGAGAGACACATGATTCTGCTACTGATCAAATAGTAATGCATACACTTTAGCTACTGTTCTGGCGTTTGCTGGTGCATTATCGGTGTTTAAAGATGTAGGCCTTTAAAGTCACTAATTTCGAAGTTGTTTGGAACTGCACTTGACAGTTGACTGGTTTCCTATTGTTACGGGTGTAGATGACAATGGGATGCGGAAGTAGTAGTTTTATATGTTAATTATTTTATTATCATCGTAACGAATGTGTATATATATAAATGAATGATAGATGATTACAAAATATGAATGTGCCAACAGAAAGAAGTTTTAATGTGTTCTGTAATATGATCTGTACTAAAATATAATACACAGCTTTAATAAAGATTAATACAAGAATATTTAATTTTAGAAATAGGGGAAATGTAAGAATGACTATTCTAAGGATATACAGTAAAAATAGGTTTTTCTGCTTTTATTATTTCCAACACTTTGTATAATACGCTTGGACCCATATAAAATGAATTGTTAAGGCTTCTAAATATATTATAAAAGCCAGTTCTCTTATTAATACTTTATAGGAATGTGTGTAAATAATAATTTATTAAGAGCTTAAATTTTTCAAATAAGATTTTAAAAAAGTCTTATTGGTTCTGAGGGTCTCATTAAATATCTCCATGCAAAATTTTAAAGTTTTAGCCCCAGTAATTTTTAGCACTTTTGGGAGATTATTTATCTGTTGATAGTTCAGCTTCTTTTGTACATAGATTACTGCACAATTGTTAACAGATAGTACTCATAACTTGTACAAAAAACTGCATGTTTTAAACTTAATCTTTATTTTTAGTGACTAATATTATTAATTTATTATAATAGATAGTTTTATATCTAGATTTGTATCTATTTATTCTATTGTTAAACCAAATATTGAAATGTTTCATTTTATCTGTATTGTTAACACATTTTTGTTTATCTACTTATTGGAAAGTATTTAATTAAACCTCTTAATACTTACATACTTCTCTTTTAATTACAGTGAAAACCTTTTAAAAAAAACACTTTGTTAAAAGAACATTATTTAATGTAAATTTGCTAAGATTGATCATTTACCCTCAAATAAGCTGTATGCTTGTTTGCCTTCATGGTATAAAAAAGTGCATTTTCTATTCTTTTATTACATAGATGCATTTTGTAATCAATTTTGTATTTATTATAAATCTAAGTAGGTACATAAAATATTAGCAACCCAAAAAACTTCTGCCTGTGTCTATATAAATAATTGTCGGAAAATACGAAAACATTGTGTTTTCATATTTTCCAATAAGAGTTTATTATTTCCATATTTATATAGACATTGAATAAAAATGAACATATGCTTTAAAAATAACTTCCGCCTACCCTAATGGGAAGGTTATGTATGTGTAGAACTTCCTAGCAGTCCAATGGACTAATTCTGTTCAATGAATTATCCATATAGTAATGTGAAGCATCCCAAATTGTCATAGTTGTAGAATACTGACAGATCTTTATATGTAATATTTGTCAAATCCATCAGTATTATGATGACTATGACGATATACTCATTGTGGGCATGTCATAGCATTTCATATCACGCTATAATACATATATACCATTTTATAATTTATATAAAATTCTTAATGAAAATAATACAAATTAAAAAATTATAATTTAATTAAATCATGTATTTAACATATAAACTATTATAATGGATAATTTAATTTGAAACTATTTATTCTTCATATTTGTCCTTGATGTCCTTCCATAGTTTCTGAAAAGAAATATTTTTTTCATTCACTAGAAAAATCAATAATAAATAAAAAATTGAAAATTGTATATTTTTCTTTAATTGGTAGATCTTTTTACATTTTCAATCTTTAGTGTGAATTCATAATAGGTATATACCATAACTAAAATCATATATTTCTATATATGAGTCATGGTATATACATAGAAAGAAATTTCAATTCAAAATGACTATTAAAAAATGCATGATTCTAATTTTAGATTTAAGCATTTTTGAATAATAATTTTTTTCATTAACACCCATTTGGAATGCAATTTCAGCCAAGAAGAATGAGCAAGAAAATTAACTGTTTTTTTTTTCAAAAAGTTTAGTTATATAAAAAATGACTTTATGTGAATACTATCTACTAAGCAGTATTAGATCATAAAATGTAAAATATTCTTTTAATTATATAAATTTTCACTTTCATTTTTATTGGTTATATAGGAATAGAGGTTGAGCACTGAATGATGAAAATGAAAAATAAGGCTTTTTACTTAATTCCTGAGCAAGTCATAGGGGCGATGACTTGACAGGGCGATTTTATTGAATACTATTCAAGTCTGCAACTAATTATTTTTTGTCCTTAGGAGGCAAATACATTATCATAAAAGTTTCAGTGATATCGTCTTAAACATTAACTTATACGTTCTTTTGTGAAGTAGATTTAAAAAAAAAGAATATTTTAGATTATTACATAAATTACATAACCAATAGATACTCACTCCCTTGTTTATGCTTTCGAATATAGCTAAAGAGATTACATCAAACGTTCTTTCGAAAAAGAATGTTCCTGAAGCTACAGCGAGAGCAAATGTAGATGTGCGTTTAAATACAACACGGTTTAGCGTCGCCAAAAAAGACATTTTTAATAATTTTATAATATTCACGACACCAATGAACAAGAAAAATTAAATGACGACTGACAACGATCGATTGAGTGTTGCCAATATCATATCGGGTATATGAGCTAATTAAAAAAATTAAAAGTTGGATTAATAAAAAACGTGTTAAATTAAAAATGCATAATCCTGAATGTATATTTATTTGTATAAAATTTAAGTTAAAAACATAATTATTATCAAATATATAATTGTTAAATATTTAAAGCGATAAAATAGGAATAACAAATGATCGTCAAATGATATTGTAAAAGACCTTTGTCCCATTACGACTAATGTGAGTAATCCGAATAATATAAATAAAATAAAATTAGATTTCGATGGAAGCAGGTGAAGAAAAATAGTAGATAATGAGTTCAGATTTTTTTTAATAAGTCAATTCAATTCCTTAAGTAAAAGAACATTAAGAAAATATTCAATTTATTTGTCATTGACAGAAAAATAAAATAGCGAAATATAAAGAAGTTTCACAACAACGACATTTTTTATAAATATAAATGTTTTTCTTTCTCTCTACCATCAGATCTCGACATATCTCAATTCAAAGTTACGCTTATTATTAAGGGCTGAATAAATAAATAGGGGTAAAGTTTAAACAGACCTAACCATAGAAGAGCTAAGTTGGCAGTAATCGTGAATTGATCACAGATTTACTCTTAACAGATATTGACATTGACATTGTCAATCACAGAGTACATTTGCATTTGAAAACGATTATTTTCTGTTGGCCACAGAAATAGAATCATCAGTATATTATATTATTAAAAAAATTATACTAAAGGATTTTATATTAATAAATTATAGATTAGCCGTGTCGTTCTGGCAAAGAATAGGCCACCCCTTCCTTTCCCGTTGGTGTCATAAAAGGCGACTAAGGGAGGGTAAAGGGTGGGCAGCAACTATTAGCCTAACTACGGATACCAATCCATCTGCCAAGCATGGCTGCTGCTGGTAAAACTCTCCAAGGGAAAAGCTTATGTTCAGAAGTGAACAGTTAAAGGCTGATACGATGATGATAATGATAAAATTATAGATTATAAAAGATTAGGAACATCTGGAAATAAAATTCAGAAATCCAAAAGCAAATTCAGAAAGTTAGTCATTCAATTAACCAAATGTTGATCCAATTGGAACATATTTTTTATGCCTGAAAATAAAATAATGATCCTACACTACTTACTCACTACGGTATACACTAGCGGTGTACCGGTGAGGAACAATAGATGAGGATAAAGCAGATCAGTTGGTCCATTGTGACGATTTCATTAAGAATTAATCACGATGGTTTCCAGAGGGAACTGCGTGGAGATCGATATGATAAAGTTTATAAGTATACTACTAGCAAAGGAGCATTTAGATCTCATTACTCTTTCCCTCCTACTTGGAATTGGAACATTTTTTTAAAGGATAAAGATAACGGAATGAAACTACACCTGCACTAACAGTATACGTTGGTAGGGCAGTAAGGGATGATAGGTGGAAATAAAAAGGCAGGTCAATTAGCCCATCGTGATGAATATAGGTGGAATTCGAATGGATGGTTTTCAGGAGGGACCACGTGGAGGTTACATATCGTCCCTCACTGATACTCCACTATACTGTTAGTGAAGGGTTATTATTCCATCATTACTCATTAAAAAAAAACCGCAAAGTGTCTAGTTGTGTCACCAGAAAAACACTAATTTGAATTATTTTCCTCTACCCGCCTGCTTTGTTGTCATACGCCTAAACAACTGAAACAATTTTGTTGAAACTTTTCGATTAAATCACTAAAATCGTGTAAAATAAGGCAACTACAAGGCGCCGCATCTCCGTGCTGTAATGTATTGTTATTTATGAATTGATATTTACAAAATTATAGATCTAAACACCAAGAACCAGTTTGTCTTCATATTTTATGGAGAGCTCTGTCTTATAGGCTTATATTAAAATAAACAATTATTATGGGCAAAATATACTGTTTATTTACATTTTTTAAAACAAATAAAAACCTGGTATGAACAATTTATAATTCTTAAAAATAATATATGAAAATCATGCAGTTTATAAACACCATAATTAAATAGTCGTACAAACGCTATGTACGGAATGTACGCTAATAATGGTATATGTAACTGACAGAATCAAGAACTGAATTAATTAACATTGTATTATTTTTCATAGAATCTATTTGAACATTTCCTTTGCTATTAAAAGACATTAATTCTATGTATCATAAGCAGTTTCATATGCTCAAATAGATGGTATGTACTTTGTTTTGTTACCAATTAGACAAAGCAATATTTATATATTAACAGCACAAAATATTTTGGCATTAATTAATAGCGGATTACTTACACAAGCATTACAACGTCATACATTTAACACAATATATCAGTCACTGGGGTTGATTCTAAAGTTCCATCTCTAAAATTATCTATACCTCTTTATCTCTAAAATTAAACTTTCAGTTTAATATTACAACAAAATTATTACTCTAAGGATCAGAGTAATGAACTCATTCCGTTACTATATTTAGTTCTCGGTGGTCTGTAACATGATAAACTTATCAAATTTTAATTTTAGAGAAAGTTTATGGAATGGCGCCTCAGAATCGAGCCCATTATTACGACAGAACAAAATAGGAATTGGTAGCATTGAGACACTAGGTTAAAAGAAAAAATCCTTAAATGAATATTGAAAATTTTCACTATCACATGGATTATAAAAAAATTACTGGTAAGTAATAATACCATGTATGACATTCATCTAGGATGTGTTCAATTCTAATTATTTATCTCTATATTCTACAAAGAATAAAATTAAAAATGCAATAAATATTCCCTTGTGTATAATATATTGGACCTTGTTTTGCAGAAATAATGTCTGAGATCTTTCCACGTTAATGTGACGCCTTTAAGGGTAACATGTGGAGTGCACGTGCGCACGATGCATGACAAAAAGTAGATTTGACGCTAATGGCTTCATCTCTAACTATGTAAAGCACATAGTATAAAAATGTGTGCAAGATGCCAGCTACAAAACAAAAATGATAACATTATCAAATAAAAATATCATAGTGACTATTAGTACGCAATTTAAATCTCAGATCATAGAAACTAAGGAGATATGTTATGATATAATTGCCCTTGCACTTATCACAGTATGTTATCCACACACCAAATACCATACAATTATTGTGTAATATTTATTATATAGACGATTTGTTTTGACACATTTTACCAACAATTCCTATTAGACCAAATAATTATCAAGTAAAAAATTCCAATAATAATTACATCTATCAACACCTCCCATTTCTATTATCTAAGTTTTAAAATGAAAAATATTTGATGTTCTACCTAGGTACTTTAATAAATAAACATAGAATTTGGATTGTTACAAAATACTGCATTTACTTTGCCAATATTAAATAAACCATAAATAAACAATCATCTCACTATGTGGTATATTGAATGTGAAGAGTTAAAATTAAAAATGAGTGGTAATGTACAACACAGTATCCACAATATTCATACAGTGTTTGATTTCCTTTTTTATAAATACTACCCATTTGTAGACTAATATTTTCCTCACGAAACCATAAGACAATCATGTTTGTTCCAATGAAATACACCATGATTGTGAATATACTGAATAAAAAATGTAATAATTAGTGGTATACATTTATATCCTATGTGTGACGCATCCCGTATCATGCATTCCATCACATTAATTTTGATAATATGAGAATACAATCATACACTTTAACTATGCATTCATAATATCCTAATATAATTTTTGGAGTCAATAATTCCATACAATGTACATGCTCATAAACACGAGACAGTGCCACCTAGCTAGCACATAAAACTAACATTTTGAATTTCAGCATCCCATCAATACAATACAAACATATCGGTGTATTACTCATATTTCTACTTCGGGATATCAACATTGAAATTAATTTAAAAACAAAACTAGCGATTTATACTAAATAAAAAATTACACTGTTAAGAACCATCAAATTTGTGAATATTAAACAGCATAATTTTACATCTTACAAAGATTACTTGCTGTTGATAACAATTTACTGTGCTGTAGTAGCCTGCTAGGTTGTGCAGCATATCTCTCAATATTTGAGCATAGTGTAAGCAACATCCGAGGCATGGAGCCACAACATGCAACCACTAGCAGCATTTCTTCTTGGTTTTGTGATTCTTTTTTAAATTTACTGTGTCATTTGATGTAACATTTTGTCTTTCTTTCATTTCCAGCTTTGATCTTAGTACCTGCAAAAATGATCAAATTTAAAACATGGACAAAATGAATATTAACATTTCATTTTTTTGATAATTATAATGCATCAAGCACTATATTTATCATAAAATAAAATTAAATATCAAAATAAAAAAATATCACATAAGCATCTGTAATTTCTTAATTATTATTTAAATAAATATTCTACCAAATAAGGGCTCAACTTCAATTTAACCTCATTTATATAAAACAATGATATTGTATAACTTTTGTCCATTAGGTAATCCATGTCGTAAGGCAGTTGTATGAAAACTAGACCATGAAAATTGTTACATAAAACCACTTTCAGATCACTAATTTAGCAATGTCCACTTTTACAGCATAAAATTAGAAAATAAGATGCTCTTATATGAAATAAAAGAAATTCTATATTTTACTATGGGGCATATTTTAATATGAATATATTATATGCAGTTTCTATACTCGGTATTATTTTAGTAAACAAAATTTGCATGTCCTTGCTTATCTTTACTTTTTATTAAAATAATAAAATTAGAAGGTTCTTTATTAACTTACACTATATATTATGGTCATAGCTTTTTATTTGTTATTTTTAAAATACTAAATTCTAAAAAATACATAACAAGATAATTCAATAATTCTGGCAATAAAACTTGAAAAACTTCAACTTAAAAATATACAAAATATTGTTAATTTAATATAGAACACATGTCTTCATAGATAAAACTTCCCTTATAAACATTCTATTAAACAATCGAATAAAAAAAATTATTTAGTATATGAATCAACTCTTTCTAACAAATTAACAATGGGCTACTTTATACTATATAGTATTATCTATCATAATTATTATATTATCTATTAGTAGTATTATATCATTTATATATAATAGATATATATTATAGTATCTATTATTAATCTTCAAAACATTTTTTTGTGTGATAGCTTACTTTATCTACAATCCTTGTCATATTCAATAAGACTTACTATTCAATAAGAAATCAATAATTAAACGATTACCATTTTGGTGATAGTGAGAAACATTTCTTCGACATTTATGTTCTCCTTTGCACTAGTCTCAAATAGTGGTATGTTCATTTGACTCGCAAATCTCTGTGCATCTTCTGTGACTACCACTTTTCTTGATGGACAATCATTTTTGTTACCAACTGCCAATCACAAATTAGTTTAAATAAATAAACAATTAAATAAGTACAGTAAAGTTATTGTCTTACAGAGAAAGCAAGGGTACTCATATGTTTATTTTATTTATAATTTATTTTGTACAGGAAAATAAAGATGTAGGAAATACAGTTACCGTCACAGTTAAATTACTGTTGTTGATGGCTTTATATAATTGATAAGTAATATTACTATTTAATTCATAGAAATATAAAAGTCCTAGATTCAAATTATTATATGAAAGTTAAACTCAAATGCTTCAAGCTAAAAGAATAATTCAATAGTTAAAAGAAATAAGTAATTATATATTACTTATTAAACTAATTGAAAACTTATGAAATTATAGATGTAAAATATGAAACTCCACATTACAAAATGTATAAATACATTGACTACAAAGGACAGTGAATAGTTTAAAATTTGTGTATAAAGCACTCTATTTCTATGCTATTTTTTAAATTATTTAAATAGAATATATATTAGATTTTGGATATACATCAATAGATCAATCAAGAATTTTAAATAAATTTACTCACCCAGGACTTTGTTCACGACATCACAATTCTGTTCGATTTCATGTAGCCATCTCTTTACATTAGCAAACGACTCCCCGTTCGTAACATCGTACACGACGATGACGCCGTGGGTGCCTCTGTAGTACGTGCTCGTTATGGTTCTGAACCTCTCCTGCCCGGCTGTATCCCAAATTTGCAGTTTCACTCGTTCACCATTTATCTCTAGAGTTCTGATTTTGAAGTCTACCCCTATGGTTGTAATGTAACTACCCGAAAATGTGTTGTCAGCAAATCTCAGGAGAAGACAGCTCTTACCCACACCTGGAACATAACACTACCGTCATCAAATCGCCCAGGAATATCCAGGATGTCGTTACGAACTAGCAATATCACAGGCCTCGCCCACTCACCACTGTCACCGATTATCAGTAGTTTAAAAAGATGATCAAACTCGCGAGCCATTGTTTGACTTTGTTATTATTATTTAGCTAACTGGTCATGTGTTCACTAGTAATCTAATGAATGGTTTTAAAACAATTCTAACTATAGAAATAGTATTTAAACGCATGCCGTAAAACGTTAAGCTTGCGTCACTTCACAATACGTCCGCCATTATTGTCTTTCTGGATCTGTGGCTATGTGATGATTGTATTTTTAATTATTCTTACCAACAGTAAAATAGTTGAATAAAAATCATGACTTTCGTAAACGGTCTTTAAATTAGTTAAATGCGTACTTTTTATGATAGTATCATTATTTAATTTGTGTTTAAATAAAAGGTGTCTTATGAGGAACGATTTCCTACGACTTATTACGACTACAACCGCCAAAATTGCAACATTGTAATAAGTCGTGAATGACGTGATTAACAATAAACGAATAGTAAACGACTAATGGTATTTAAATTATTCAACTTTTGACACTAAATTGCAAATTAGTTGTGCTTCACAATATTTTTTTACAATCATTTGCGAAATGGTGTTTGATGTGTAGAGAATAAGAGAACTGTATATTATAATATTATTTAACTGTATATTTGTTTATGTATTAATAGTTGTAGCACTTCAGCTGCCCAGTTGACTGGAAGAGATCTCTGTCAGAGATAAGTCTACCCTTGCTCACAACATTTATAAATACATTATTTTATATGTAACTTATAAGTGCAACAAAGAATATATATATTTCTTTAATATGTCATTATTTATATGTCTGTGAGAGAACATCATTCGGATAATAACAGTGGATAATACTTCGACATACATTTGAGCATCCATTTAAGGTAATTGACATATTTGTATGTCTGCGGGTAGCCTAAATGAATGCAACAACCTCAGTACAACCTTGTACCTTACCTACTTTTATTTGACTTTGACAGGAGCCAAAACCAGTTTCTAGAATCTGTGGCTCAAAATTTACCTATTGAAATACAGAAGTAGGCGTGGTGTATTTTTCTATTTTTTTGCCGAAATACAATAATGTCGGCGACATTAAAACCTTATTTAACTGCTGTGCGTCATACGCTCACTGCAGCGATGTGCTTAGAACATTTCTCGTCACAAGTGGTGGAGAGATATAACAAACCAGAGGTCGAGGTTAGAACCAGCAAAGAATTATTACTCAACCCGGTGGTGATTTCACGAAATGCCAACGAGAAGGTGCTGATAGAGTCATCTATTAACTCTATACGAGTTAGTATCATGATCAAACAAGCAGACGAAATAGAGAAAATTTTGTGTAAGAAATTCATGCGTTTCATGATGATGCGAGCGGAGAACTTTATCGTATTACGACGGAAGCCAGTAGACGGATATGACATTAGTTTTCTGATAACAAATTTCCACACTGAAGCTATGTACAAGCATAAATTAGTTGACTTTGTCATTCACTTTATGGAAGAGATAGACAAAGAAATCAGTGAAATGAAATTGGCCGTAAACGCACGGGCCCGTGTATGTGCTGAAGAATTTTTGAAGAGATTCTAAAAGTTTTTCGAACTGTTTTTATTAACTTATGATTAAGACTCAAATTTAATAAACTTACACTTTACCTCAGGTTCTTATAAGAATAACTTGTCACCACCCACAGATCTCCCTGTTTTATTTCCATTGTATTCTTTAAAGAATTTATTATATAAATTTGTTCATTTATTGCTACTTTTCAATAATATTATGTTACTAAAGATATATCTATATACTTAGTAATTTTAGGACTAATATCAAAAAACTGATAGATTTTCTATGGACAGTATTTTTTCTTTTAAGTGTATGGAAATATAAAAATAAGTTTGTAAAAATCAATGTGCATTAGCTGATGATAGGAGTATGTAATTAGTGTAAATTGGCAACACATAGTGCCATGGATAGTACAGTATATACTGTGATATCCAAGGTGCTACTTAAGTGAAAGCACTTTTCATTATGTGGACTATCAACTTGTGTCATTTCTAGTAGTATATCTACTAGAAGTATTTAGTTAATAACTGTAAATTGTATTATTATTCCAGTTAGGATAAGATGCAGTAATTCTAGAGTTTCTTCATTTATTAGGTTTAAAGGCTTCATATAAAACATTCTATTATTTTGACTTGTAATTGTATATAAATTAAGGTCATCAATAGAATAGAAATATTAAAATATAATAGCTTATCAAACATTCAATATTATTGCATTATATGAATATTTCTTTAAGTGTGCAATTAATAAATTGCCGAGTGTCTGATTATTATGTTCTAATTATTGTTTATTAAATAAATTATATTTTTTTAATATTTGTTTATAATTTAATGTCATTGTGTGTATTTAGATATAATCTACATATATGAGTGGAAAAAGAAAACAAAATCTGGAGGGAGATTTTCTTTGTTTATTAAAAAAGAATAACTGCAGTCACAGATTTCTAAAAAACTTGGTCTGGTAATCAAAACAACTAAAAATGCAAAATAACATGTTCTGCTTTTATAATAATAAAAGACTGTAACAATGATCGAGAAATTCTCTCACAAAAATATTATCTTTTTGTGTCTAAACACCATAAAAGGTAACATTTTATATATTAATTCTAGACCTTTATATATAATAGACAATTCTCTGCATATATTGAATTGTACTATGCAACTATAGACTAACATTAAGCAATACATTTATGTGCTATTATGTAGTTTAGACAAGTGTTTTTTTTTTTTCTATTACGTACTGTCCTTCGTCTGCACAAGCTTTAATAAACGACAAAATATGACACGACGCATTGGTCAAATTTATGAGAATATATCAAAAATACCACAGACCATTAAATATAAAATGAAATATCTGTGGAATACATTGCCACTATGATAGCATAGTATCACACCCTCAGCTTGATAATTTATTTCTACCTTCTCACCTGCATGCCTTGGCTACGCCTCATCCTCATACAGGCTTCACATTGTCGGGGGAAACATTTTTGTTGATAATGGGTTCAAACAGTCCCATTACTACCATTATTAGTAATATACCCTATCAAGGAAATTTGCTTGCAGTACCTCTTATAAATCATCATAGTTATTTCTTGTGAAATTCATCACGATAAGCCAACTAACCTGACTTCATCCATATTTGTACTGGAAACCATTGAATTCTGTATAAACATACTTAAAAAAAAAGGAAAATGTTGAAACAATAACAATAAGAGCAGGTATTTTAAGAAGTGGAATCATAGTTGTTATAAGTATGTAATACTACATTATTACATACTTATAACAACTATGACACATTCTGTAATAAAATTAGCATGAATTATAAATTCTATTCGATTAATTCTTTTGCAAAAGATTTGTTCCGTAACAATTTTCTGACACATATTTATGTGGAGGTCCTTAAGAATGACAATGCATGAGGGGTGACATGGGCGTCATAGTCTATTCTGTCATATTCATAGTACTGTTTCAAAATTTAACAATTTAAAAGATTAAAATAAATTGCATGCTATAAATTATATGATACATTTATTATTGAGGTGTTTACACTAAACATCTCCTTACCTATCTTAATTGTTTTAAAAAGAAATACATTAATTTCACATTTATATAAAAAAATTTAATTGAGAAATATCTACTCAGTTCTTAGGCTTAGTGGTGCGTAGAGTGAAACCTTCACCCTTAAATGCTTGGAAAGGTTCTGACGGCGCCTCTTCTTTAGCGCTAGGTGGTCGTGAGTTTCTAATGAACTTCAATGTGCCGATTACGTAGTCGTAGTCTGGGATACCGCGTACATATGCCTAAGGGGAAAAATTATATTATTATTTGTACAGTATAAAATTAGTGTAAATACCTGTAACTCATGCTTTATACAGTTCTAAATAAGAAACTTGACAATAGCGTGTACAATATTGGGACCACTTTTGCGTCTAATTGTTGTACAATGATATGTCCAGTGACATTACACAGTGCCTGCTTATATTATCAGTTGTCACTGATGAAAATAAATATTGTGGAAATCGATTAAATGACCATGGTCCTATCCCGGGAACATAACAGTCGATATTTTGTCAAACATATTAGAATCCAACATGACAGAGGCAAGCACACTGCCATCAGTGTGTTTAGTTTGTTTTGCTATAGGTGTCATCACTAGACAGTGTGTCAGAAATTTAAATTGATTTTATCTTTACATAAAATATGCACACACGTTTATAGTTTTCAAGTTACAGTTGTTTATTTGATGTTTGTTTCTACAATGTTTGTTTTTAATTTTATATGAATTTAATTTATAACATCAAACCTGTCTAGATTGTGAAGGTTGTTGATCTGAGTCACTCTCACTTATCAATTTCTTCTTTTTACCGTCCAATCGGTTCCCTTCGCCGCCAAATACTATGAAACCACTGGGTTCTGGCATCATGGATGCAGGGTCCTCATCCATACCATCTGCGCCTGCACCACCTTCACCGCCTCTTGATATATGCTCTTCCTCTTTGTAACCAACTGGTGGTGCAAACTCCACCTAATAAGTAAATAACATTTATTTAATGTTCTCGTCATTTGGAATTTGCTACAGATAAAATAGGAAATAGATATATTATTGGGAAGCAAACAGATTTTTTTATCAGTAAAATGGAAATGAAGTTATTTAATTTCATGCAAAATTTTAAACTAGTACAGGTTGGTATGGGAACAACTATTGAATTCAAACTTAAGACAGGTCAGTGTTACAAAAATAGGTCATTAAACACTGACTACATCATCACTCATTTGAAAATTCCTGAGAAATATTTTAAAATTCACTGATTTCTCGTAAACAATAGTTTTAGGCACTGATATAGACAGTTTCTATGTCTAAATAACAATTCAAACTTCTTTTTGAAAACTTATGCAATTCGCACATAAGTACCAAGTCTATTTCTGTGGTGTAGCAGACGGTTTCAGGTGCAAGTAGTCCACTAGTATTTATAAACAGATTTTTGGGGAGGTGTGGCTCTTAGATCAGATTTATACAACTGATCTATTATTTAATCTTTATTAGTTTAAAAAAAGGGCTGGCATGATAAAAATTAATGTAAACTTTCATGATTTATAACAAGAAGCCAGATTGCAATGGTCAAAAAATATTTTACATACATACCCTCTTTATTTATGAAATATGTCAATACTCACATTCATATCACATTCAATGATGATAACAGCATTGCCAGGTTTTGTTTCCAATACACACAACTCATACACTTTTGAATTATATTTTATTGCAATTACATCTCCAGTTGTTAGACATGAAAAGTTTCGGAGGCAATTCTCCAATACTGGAAATAATGTCCAAATATGTGTATTTATTTTTTACACTTACAAGAATAATATATCAATAATATAACTCATCTATGTACAGAATATAGATTGAATGAAGATTATTTCTATTCTAATTCAGTTGCAAGATTAAAAGCCAAATGACCATACAAAGCTCCATAAAAATAAATTTATTTAAACATTAAGTATATTTATGTAAACTGGCTAGCAAAATACAAAAAAAAAAATTCAAAATAGTGTTCAAAGTAATAAGATAGATTTATCAGAATGTAAATCTTTACTAATATAAATTTAGTCTTTCGAAGTACCTGCTTTAGGATTAGTTATGTCTAAGAAGTCTTCTGAAAGTGGCTGAAACTTTGAAAATGTGGCAACAGGTAATGAAACACTCTCAATCTGAATCAGAGCTCCTTCTTCTAATACTAAATTTGCCATCATCTGAGGATGAATACAATTACAATAATTAATTAAAATACTCTTCCATCCATTTCATTTAGTCCATTTCTAAAAGGTTCCTTTTGGCCATTCAACTATATAAAATTATACTAACCCAGTGCGGTAGATAGACTTTACCCTCGTCAGCTACAAACTCCAATACACCACAGTGTGTAATTCTTTTTGTTTTTTTATTAGTCAATTTAAAGATCATTGGATACTCTATATTAAGTCGAGTAAGCTGTTCTAGAGCTGATGGAGGCATGATTACTGGAAATGTATTATAATTTTTATTACATTAATAAATTATACACAATTCAACTGATACAGTTTTTGGTCTTTATCTACTCACTTTTTCCACCTCTTTCAACGTCTTGCCTTTCGTTTCCAGGCAACATAGAGACAGAAAAACATCTATATGTCATGTTGAATGGTCTTGTAATTTCGTGAAACATATTGAATCCAAACTGAAACTACAAATGTGAACATTACAATCGTGATTATGAATTTAAATCAAATTGTTATATAGGTTTTTGAACTTACCATCTTGAATATTTATTGTCTATTACACAAAATATGAGACAAATAAATAAGTGCAAATCATTCGTCGAACGGAGACAATAGAATTGATTCAATCAAAACATTAGATAGGTAGTTTTTTTATGTTTTTTTTGACAGTGGGTGGTGTTGACAGTAGTACCATTCTATCATTTGTTTTTGACATAAATGACATTTTAGATAGGTAGATGCATAGATAAAGAATGTATTACTTATTGTCTCTTCTAAAACTATATACTCACTAAACACTGCTAAAAGTAATTCTGCAGATATATAATTTAATAAAAAAAAAAATTCAATTATTTAAAGGAAAAGCTACCAAAAATAACATATTCTACTCTACTACATGATAAAATTAAAAACTATTATACCTATAATAATAAAAGAAAACATATATATTCTGTTTTATTATTAAAAATTTCGTAATTGTAGATTCTATTTTAATATAATTACTAACCAATTAAACTACATGTAGTATTTTGTGGAGAAAGCTTGATTAATTTCGGGACCATCCGGGACTCTTAATCTAAACTTAAAAACTAGTTAAACTTTCTCGACTAAAATATACATAAATTAAAGCGGTTAATTATTACACTGAAGTAACATGTTAAATAAAATAAATATCATGTCATTTCTATATATATAATTCACTAATTACACCTAGTATATGGTTCGAAAAAAATTGTTAATTCGTTTATACATATATAATCTTCAATGACTGATCGTCTACGGATAATATCTAAACCTTAGACATGAATTTTTGTAAGTTATGAACGCATCAGTAGAATACTTTTTTTTCGACATTTGCCATTTCATTCATTTGTGTATGTGGCAGGCAGCTGCTGTTGTAGATTATTCATTATATTTCTCCGAATTAGGACAAATATCTACCCCCTTTTTTCCTTCATGTAGAATTTAATAAATTTGTGAGTAATAATTTAGCTAAATTAAAACAACTTAAACATTTTTCACGTCCGGTCCCCGGTCGTTGTCAATTTTCTTTTGAACGCCATGTTGATTGTCAAAAGTGTTTTCGGGTGAAATAGCAGTGAATTCATTTGTGTTATTTTTTCAGACTCCGCGATTTTCTAAGGTCGCATTTTGTCCGGTTCAGTGTTGTTGCGGTAATAGATCGAATAACTATGGCCCAAGTTTTACCTATACGTTTCCAAGAGCATTTACAGGTGAGTACGCCCATCAGTTTATTAGATTTACCGATAGCGCTTCCTCTTGACAAAATTAACAATGTATAGATGAAAGATATGGAAAGTAACAATAGGATGTTCCGTATTTTCTTATATACGGAAATAAAGTGATTATTGGTGACATTGCGCAATTACGAAATGTCAGTTACCACCCCCTACCGTACTTACAGGAGTGTACGATAGGGTATTGATTTGTTCCACATTCCCCAAGATCATGTTATGGTCTCTCTGCCAAGTTTATGAATATTTAGGTTACTAGTAAGTTCTAATATAATGTAAAATAATAGGTACTTTAATATAATCATAGAGACTATTTCCAATGTTACAGCCTTTTTATTATTGAAAGGATTCTGTATTTGTAATCTCATTAAAAAGAGATATAAGAAAATGGACCATTAATCCTTCTTTAATCACTTTTCTTTCAAGTGGAATGTGTTAATCTGTTATAGACTTGAATAAATCCTAAAAATTAATGAGAAAAGATGTAAGATCTTTGAATTATTAGTTTAGCTGTAAAATTAAAACAAATACTGAAATAGTACTAATAAAAAAAATCAATATGAAATGGTTATGTCAGTAAAATGACTATTATTGATTCTTTATTATTAATATTATTATCAATTATTTGAATCAAATTACATAGATAGATCATATTCATCCAGTAGGATTAACAGATTGGGCACTTTTTCCAAATAATTTACTTGGGTGGAACAAATGGGTTACAGTTAGTTATATAATAATTGGTACTTTAGGGTGCCTTCATAGTGTCTTAATCTTGTTTTTACATGTTGAAAAAAAAACCTAGAACTTCAATAAAAAAATAATTTCATAAAATATTATGGGTCTTGGTAATATGAACAAATAATTTTTATTATTTTTATTTATTTTAAAGTCATTGAATAAGATTATTATTTATTTATCAGATATTATACTAATTTTATTATATATTTTTATTTAATTGATTATTGAAATATAAATGTTGCAGTTGCAGTGATGATTCATTTATATTTTGTAAGGCTCAGCTTAGTTGAAAGTATTGTGTAACATTTTTAAAGCCTAACAAACAACTAAACAATTACATTCATCATCATTATCATGTCAGCCTTAAACTGTCCACTGCCGAACATAAGCCTCCCCCTTGGGGGTTTGCCAGTATTTGCTATGCTTGGCAGGCAGATTGGCAACCACAGTCAGGCTTTAGAGATGTTTTAAGAGGGATGCTGCTACCCATCCCTCACCTTCCCTTAGTCGAAGCAGTGGCCTATTCTATATATAAACAATTTCATTGCAATAATTAAATTGCATATCAGTAAAAATATATTTATTACATTTAAATAATTTAAATTGTTTTTCAATATTTTTCTAATCATATATATTTTAATATCAGTAAAATAACAGATTTTATATAAAAGCTATACACAATAATATAATATAACTCACAACTATTTGCCCATGTAAAATAAGGTGAAAAATATTATATAGTTTAAATGTGTAGCAATTGCTAATATTAGTAAAATAATAGTAACATGGATTATCCATAGCAAACTGATAAAGAACTGTTAAGTTATAATGTAAAAAAAAATATTATATATTAGAAGAACTAATCATTGAAATAATTTAATTTTTCTTATTAATTTACAAAAACACATTATCAGGATAATTATAATCTCATTTTATATTCATCTTAATTTTTTTAAAGAAGTTTAATTAATTATCAATATAAAAATTTGAGATATCAACAGATCAGTAAAATATGTACAGTATACATATATTTTTTATTCATTCAATAATATTATGTTAATTTTATAATATGAAATATTAAAAAAATTTAATAAAATTTTTACTATGTATATTCACACAGCTAAAATTTTTTTGTGTATCTTCAGCACATTATATTGATAAACTTTGATTACATTGTTTATATTTTTCCTTGTTTATATTTTTTTATATGTGTGTAAAAGTAATAACAAACTTTTTGTGTATTTACATAATGCCATAACACTAAAAAAAAACTCCTGATAAATGTGATTGCAATGTTTCTTTATATCTCTATTTTTTTCCCAGCAATTGTTTACTACTTCAAATAGTTTTCTATTATGATAGAAATTAATTATTCTTTGTGAACAGTGGTTATTAGTTTTTTCTCATGTTATAAAATAACATTTAGGAATATTTCTTTTTAATTTGAAATAGTATGTTTGCTTGCTTTATCTCATTGCTTAATTCCTGAGATATTACAACAATGCACCAATGATTCAGACATGTTTATTATCATCATCTATTGTAAGAAACCCTAAAAAAGTGGGGTCTCCCAATATAGGTGTTTAATTATGTAATAAAGAGACTTCATTAGCCTATGGTAATACTATGTATATGGAGAATAAGATTATTATTATTAAACTTAATAGTGTAGTAAAATTTACTGCAGATTAAACATTTTGTTACACAATGGCCCAATTGACCTGACTCCATCTTCCATGTATAATGGGTATAACAATGTTTGAAAGTAGCATTCATCTGTTTAAATATAAATAAGATTGTTTCATAAAAGAAAATATTTCAATTATGGCAAAATCAATTATTTTGATTTAAAAACCAAATTACTGGACTGATTTGGATAAAATTCTATGGTAGCAATCTTTAATTTTTTTTTTCTTTTAGTTTAAAAAGGAATTTTGCAAATCATTTTATAACTAACAACTAAATTGAGAACCTTAAAGTTGGTTGAAAATGGAGAAAATCTGAACTCTGCACTAGCAAAATGTTTATTAATAATGGGGCGGGGAAGGGATTGTCAGTAATGTGAAGTACCAGCATTATTGCTAGCAATCAACCTCCCTTTTGTCTCCTCTGGAAACCATTGTGTTAAATTTAAGATGTATCATCATGATGGTGTAATTGAACTGCCTTTTTATTCTCACCTAACCTCTTTCATTGGTGTCACTAGCTTATACTGTTAGGTGGAGTTATCATTCCATTACCATCCATTGAACAAAAAACATTACCTCTTATAAATAGTTGATGAGTAAAAATAAAAAAGAAACATATTTGTTGCAGCTCACAAATGTGGGCATCAACCCAGCATCCATATCATTCAGCACCCTCACCATGGAGTCGGACAAATTCATCTGTGTCCGAGAAAAGGTGGGGGAAACAGCACAGGTGGTCATCATCGATATGGCAGATCCCACCAACCCTATCCGCAGACCAATCAGTGCTGATTCTGCTATTATGAACCCAGCCAGTAAGGTCATTGCACTCAAGGGGAAGGCTGGAGTTGAAGGTATGTAAATATTCAGTTTAACAGATTTTTAAATTTTTTAAAGAATTAAAAAGCCGCTGTTAATCAAAATGCACCTAACTATAATGATATATCGTTTAATACACGTTAATATACTAAAAAATTTACCAGAGAGGGATTTTTACAAAAGTCGGCTGCTTGCGCACTTCTGTACCATTCGTGTTTCTTCTGAGAATAGTTGTGTTTGCATGGCTGTGTTTTAAGTTGGAATATAACAATGAATTTACAGGATATAAAGGCATAATATCTTAGTCCTCAAGAATGGCAACGGATTATATTTTTTATTTTATTAGACACAAAACAAATCATAACTATAAAAAACTTAAATAGTAGTTACATTTGTGATACAGCTAATTTACAAACTAATTACATGTGTACGGCTTGAGTAATTCATGTAAAAACAGTTTGCAACAGAGTGTGCAATTGAAACAAGCACATATAAAGAAGAAAATACTATATAAATATATTAAAGACTATCGACCCATCCCGGCTTCGCACGGGTAGACATTTCTACAATATTTTATATTTTTATCTGATCCTACCTAGCTACCTATTTCATAGATGTGCCCGCAACCATCTGCTCCTCTCCCGCATCGCTACAATGCCTGGCTAGCTAGCCACACGACCGACACGGCGCGGATGACGGGCGGCGCCTTTCTATATCTGACTTTTTAACATAATATCTTTCGAATGAAATATACTTAGGATTTGAAAAATTCAAAAAGTAATCTGCAGGTATTGAAACAATTTTAAATACAAAATATGTTATTTGGATAAGGATTAATAAATAGGTATGAATAACATATACAATGCGACAGCGTTATTTTTTCTATTTCTATGACTTATTATATTCGTAATATCTACTGAATGGAATAGCCGATTTGAACGATTCAAAAAGTAATCTACATGAATTGAAACAGTTTTGAAAACAATATGATTTATTTGGATAAGGATTTAAACAGAAACAAAAAAAAATCCATACTATAAAATAATACTCTAAAATGTTTCTCACCAGTGATATTCATATAGAGAAATAAAACTGCGCGGATTTTTAAAGTTTTTTGTTAATCTAGCAATTGATTGCTTCTGTTTATAATAGATTCATAATGTAGATTAAAAGAAAGTATGTCATTGAAAATAACACCATGATCATTAACAACATTCCTACGCTTCATTATTTGTCCAGTAATTGTAAATTAACGCATGAAAGGTATCATGGGCGACACAGTATACTCTATCCAAGGTATTGTTCATGTCTGTAGGCGATGGTTACCACTTTCCATCAGGTGAGCCGTCAGCTTGATTGCAATTCTAAATTGCATAAAAAAATTATAAATCTTTGGAAATATAGTTATTATTCTCAACGGGGTTTTTTTAGATTCTTGATTAAACGAAGAAAATAGAATAGAAAACATAATAGAGTTTTGCCAGTAGTTGCCACGCTTGACAGGTGGATTGGCAATCGCAGTTAAGTTTTGATGATGGTTTGAGAGGGATACTGCTGCCCATCCCTTGACCATTAAGTTTCTTTAGTCGCCTTTTAAGACACCCATGGGAAAGGAGGGGATGACCCACTGTATGCCGGGACCATAGCATAGAATATAAATAGTGTATATTTAAAGAAACATATTTTATGTATAGAGGAGTAATTCTTATAATTTTGTTAATTATAAATTTGTCTGTCTTTTATTCTTTATATATAACATATGTAACATTATATGAAACTACAAATAAATGTAGAGTGGTGACTTAAAGAAGTGAGTTTTGATTTGTATTGACCTCCCTACATGTTTGGAATAATTTGAATGTTTCTCAGTTAATAAAGGGTTAAACGATGATCCATTAATCTGCTATTAACTTTCTTTTGCGTTTTATAAAAATGTAATTTATGTTTTGAAAACATATTTGGCAATGAGTCACTTCTCTTGTGATTTAATGTTCTTGGCACGAAACTGAAACGGAATTACGGAAACCGACAGTTAAAACAAACACATTCTCACAAAGACTTGTATGTCACTGCCCCCTGTCTAATATGCGTATTATTTGAAATGGGATTTAAAATTATCACTAACAATTAGTTATGAATGTTACTATTAACTCAAGATCATAAATCTTTATTAAATATTTATACACAACTAAATAGACTTACATCTATTTCGGTATGGCTGAAGTAATTTAATAATCGTTTTAAATTTACATATTTCTATTGTTATTGACTTTTGTCCGTAATTTGATATGCATGGATTTTTGGAAACCTTTTCTAGGTGGTGTATCAAAATAAAAATACACCAGATTTTGAGTTAGACCTTCAGGAATACAACTGTAACAACGGCATTCAATTTGGTGAACGAAATTTCTAAAATTTATTGTTTTGACTCATTAAGATTAATAATCATTATGTTATTATCGTGTTTGTAATTCTCACTACTATAGAAATGATTGTAATGAACAATTATCACCCGTTTCCAGTACTCTGACTTGTAGACTAACAATTTTTTTAAACTATAACATGCACAATATCAGCCATAGGTTCTGCGATTACCATATTTGTACAAATAGGACAAAAGTTGCCTATTTTTAAATATAGAATCTGTATTATAGTCGTGTACTGTTATTTACACGATAAAAAAAATTAATTTAATCACGGTATATTCGTGATAGTCGTGGTAGCCAGAGGCACTCCTCCATTGTAGCAGTTATAGTAAACGTGACATTCAGTGTCTACTATTCGCCAAGTATATTAGAATTAAAAGTGTAGCAGGGGACGAGCCTACCACTCGTTTTCAAAGATTATACTCCTGCATATATGATTATACTCTTGAAATATAAGTTTAAAATTAAATGAGAACAAGGTTGATTTTTATCAAACAAACATTAGAAGTTTATAACTAAATTGCAATGAACTATTTGGACACCGAAGGCTTCTGACCTTTTTTTAATCAACTCAGATTGATGCCCTTTATAATAGTATCTAATTTTGTACGCATGATGAATAAATATTAGGTATTTAAATAAAATTAATAGGGGGGAAAAGGTATTGTTAGTAATGGAGATTAAGAATCCCATTGCTAGCAATATATCCAACCAGGTCAACCTCCTCGCGGTTCCTCCTGGAAACTATCATAATTAATTAATTCCTGATGAATTCATCATGATGGGCTAACTGGCCTGTTTTCATCCTCATCGATCACCCTTCACTGGTGCCCCGCCAGCGTATCCCATTAGCGCAGGCGGGGTTATTTCATCCAATAAAAAAAAAAAAAAATTAACAGATTGACCACTACTAATTAAAAAAGATGTCCCCCTTAATAGACGATATTACAGTAGGCGGTTTGTTACATCTTGTTCGGCAAAAAAACTGCGATTTCGTGACAAAATACCGATAAACGAAAACTGACGAAGACGTGTTTGACGACACGTTAAATTGAAAATGTTTTAATTTGGACCGCAGATCGTATGTCTAAATGTAAATAAAATTAATATGACAGGCCCATGTATTTCGTGTACAATGAAGGCGGCTATGAAATTCTTAATAACAGAGCGTCGTCCTCACATGAGTGGTAGTAACGACGATGTTAATCTAATTTTCCTTTTAAGGACTGTTATGCAGATCTTCGAAAATAATGGTACGTTGATAGACATTACAGAGCATTGCAATAAATAATAGTCGAAATAAAAAAAAAATCAGTATAATAATTATACTGTATTAATATTAAAATCGCCAAAGTCTGTAAAGATAGATGAATGAATCATCCATTCATTCTTTTATCATATAAGGATGTTTGTTATTCATACAAAAATATTGAACGGATTTCAATGAACAAGAAAGGAGGTACACGAGTAATTTATACTCTAATATAGTACATAGAATATTTTATACACTGATTCACTCAGGCAAAATCGCGAGAAGCAGCTAGTTTTCAATATTAAGGATATTATGATATTGTGCCATTGCTCTCGGTCGCGTACTGTTTGACTCATTGTTTAGAACGACCGACAAAATGACGTCACCTTAGTAAAAGCATTATCTATGTGATATAAATCATTACTAACTTTACATTTTAAATATTTTTTTATTTTTTAATAATTTATAATAATAACTATAACAATTATAACTGTTTATGTCATGCAATTAATTATAAATTATCCATAAATTGTTTTAAATTTGCTAATAATGTTATATGATGGGGATTTTTTATTGGCATAGAAAAATTATTATGAGTTATATTTTTAATTTCTTTTTATTTATATTAACGATCTAATATATATAATTCATATCATTAAAATGTTAATATAAATTAAAATTATGTAAATAAAAATATTAATTATCTTCTTCCCTTTAAACAATGCCAGTTTTAGTTACTCGTTCATTTATGAAAATATTAAAGTGTTTACCGAATTGAATCTGTGGTACCCCCTGTAGTGAATATTCTATTTATGCCATAATGTATGCGTCCGTTATTTTGTTTATTACCCTTCTAAGGCCCACGCATACGGCGGACAAAAACCTTTGTGTGAGCTGTACTAGCACAATACGTGTGCGTTGTTGCATGCAGTTTTAGGAGTTGGACTATCTATTTATATCGAAGTTTGTCTTCCATCGGATTTAAAAGCGTAAGACGAGACAATAAAAGGATATTTTGTCCGTGTAAATGTTCACCGTGTCCGCAGACCTTTATTATTAATACACGTCGTAAATTGTGTATGCGACAGGTAGCGGCATATTTTATATCACGCTATCACAACACGGGGGCGGTGCTTGAGATACGATGAGTCACAGTTGTGAACTAGCCTTGATAAACTATAGACCTCTGTACATGTACAATAATAAAATACTAATTGCTTTGACTATTATTGTTTTTAATTTCGAAGAAAGGGCGTAGTATTAACGTCCTTGTCACGCTTTGAACAATGTTTTATGCGCTGTTCTTAGTTTGTTACAAATTTTGATGTAAAGAAGAGTTTATTTTTCTGAACAGCTCAAACAAATATTATGAAAATGGCCATACACTTATTAGGTATTTGGTACGGAGAAGACCATAGGCTACTTTTTATTTAAAAAATTCCGTGGAATAATAAAATTGTAAACATTAGATAATAATGGTAAAACAAATAAGGTTATGCTCTTCAAGGCTGGTAAAAAATTAAATTCCAGATCTATGCCAAGATTGCTGGCAACGAATATAATGTCGTTACTAAATTCCAGTATATGGGCCATTGGGTCTTTGATGACCTATATGTGTTGACCCCGACATCTATAGGGAATGTAGAACTTGGTAAAGATCAGTGCAATGTGCTAGGTCGCATTTTTTACGTTGTTCTATTAATATTAATTTTTTATTCAGGCCATACATTCGTTTTTATATATAAGGGTTGATTCTAAAGCGCTATTCTATTAAACCGATTTCTATTTTGATAGTTTTGCAAAAGTACTATTTTGTAGGTTATCATAGAATTAATTTATAACAATGTTTATTTGAAATCCTATTGTCTACGTTATAAATGCAACAGTTTGTAAGGACGGATGTTACTTTTTTTTGCAAAAATAATTGAAGGAATTTTAAATTAAGACGCGGTAATATTAAGTTAGAACTTAGCACATGAGGTATTTTATGTATCTCTATCACGCGAATAAAACCACGAGATACATGTAGTTTATATTGGTCCTTATAATAAAGATTAACTCGTGATATTAAATTGAGATTTTAATTTTATATAAGTTTAAATTTATATTTAATATAGTTTTAAAGAATGACGCATCAAAATCAGCTCCTTATTTACCAAGATGTCCTGCAAGTCCAATAGAATAATTGGATTGACTTTATTTATACTATGTCAAATATTTTCGCATTACATTACTGTAATGTGGGTACTTTATAATGTTGTATGTAGGTAGGTAAGATTTTGATAGCTTATAAAAAAGAGATATACAATTGAATAAAACACGTTTTATTTATTACATTGGCGACGAGGATTTTTAATGCAAGAAATTGAAGATTATACTAATAAAGTAGAAATTTGTGACGAACTACGTGTAGAATCTTGTGTGCACGAAATGTCGATCGGCAAAATATTAGATTTTGACATTTTATTACATGTTTTATTTATTACAATTACAATACATTGATAGATTTTATACAATAGTGTCCAAAAAATAACTTATCTGTGAGGTGGTAACGGCTTATAAGTACGAAGCACCGGGGGGAAGGGATTGTTAGTAATGGAGTCTAACTGACCCATTGCCAGCAATGCACCCTATCAAGTCGACCTCCACATGGTTCCCCCTGGAAACCATTTATTACGATGTGCTTTCATCGTCACTTATCACTTACTGGTGCACCGCCAGCGTATACCTATAGTGCAGGTGGGATTACCATTCCATTATCACCCATTAAAAAAAAACTACGAAGCACCATTTTTGCCCTAATAGTCAAACCTATAATGTGGTACTATGTGGAAACGGCACGGTACATAAAACTATGTCTGATATAATTTGATTATTATTATGTTAATGTGTCTGTAGAATCAAAAACTGGAAATTTATACAAGTGAGAAAACAGAAAAGAAATATCCTCTAATTCTGGTCAAAACATTATTATAATTATCTATCTTGTTCTCTTGCAGCCCAAAAAACGCTTCAAATCTTCAACATTGAGATGAAGTCCAAGATGAAGGCGCACACCATGACTGAAGACGTAGTGTTCTGGAAGTGGATCTCCTTAAATACCCTGGCGCTGGTCACCAAGATGTCCGTTTACCATTGGTCGATGGAAGGGGACTCGACGCCAGTGAAAATGTTCGACAGGCATTCCTCACTAGCCGACTGCCAAATCATTAATTACCGGACTGATCCGAAACAGCAGTGGCTGTTGCTAGTTGGTAAGTTATCAACATTGCTGCATCATAGCAGTAACGATTATAGAACTAAGATAAATATTAAGCTATCAAGATATATTGCGCAAGACTTCATATCGATAACATAGTCGTAGAATACTGACGGATCTATATATTTAATATTTGTCAGATCCGTCAGTATTCTACGACTATGACGATATAGAATTCAAGATTAAAATAAATATTTTATATGGAACACTGGACTTGTAGATTTTTGTCTTTGACATGTACTGACTGCACTAGAGAGTGATACCGCTTCTGTCTCGCACTTGCATAATTAAGATTGTTAACACTGTTTATCATTGCCGGACATATAGTTAAAGACATCGATGTACAAGGCTTTGTCAGTCAGAATAGAAATTATGGCCAATTTTGAGTCGAGTAAGCATACGTCACGAAGCTATTACGTTACATTGTTATGTCCCCTATTTGATATTTTTTAGGATTAAACAAAGGTACATTATGTCTGTATTAAATTGCCTGTAACATGCAACTCTCAACAGTAATAGCGACAGTTTAATAACGTAATTTTTAGACAACCAGACCGAGAAATTTCATAACAGTTGATTCAAAATTATTCATTAAAAACTTCTTATAGGTTTTGCATGGTTATGCATTTTCAATAACTATTTTCGCTCAATTGCATTTGTATTTATATGAAAATTTATACATGTTTTTTTAATTAATTTTTTTTTGCAGGCATCTCCGCACAACAGAATCGCGTAGTAGGTGCAATGCAACTCTATTCAGTAGAGCGCAAGTGTTCGCAACCGATCGAAGGTCACGCTGCGTCGTTCGCCACCTTCAAGGCCGAGGGCAACGCTGAGCCGTCAACGCTTTTCTGTTTTGCCGTAAGAACGGCACAAGGTGGCAAACTGCATATTATTGGTAAGTATACTTCTTGTTTTATCTTTATATATTATTGTTTGATGGATGAAAATGGAATAATATACGCCTGCGCTATTGGTATACGCTAACGGATCAGTGAGAGATAATAGGCGAGGATAAAAGCAGGTCAGTTAGGCCATCGTGACAACTTTCACAAGAAACCACGATGGTTTCCAGAGGGAACTGCGTGGAGGTCGACCTGATAGGGTAGGACCCCATTACTGGCAGTCCCTTATCCCCTATTTTTATATTAGATACCTTATGGAGTAGATGGTGGGAAATTGTATGTTAAAGAGTTATTACATGGTAGTTATATTGCCGTGTGGTCCTGGCATAGAAAGGGCCACCCTTTCCTTACCTATGGATATCGTAAGAGAACTTCAGAAATGGGCATTTTAAGAGGGATGCTGCATCCCTCTTAAAACATCACCAAAGCCTGCAAAAACAAAACTGCGGTTGCCAACCCGCCTGCAAAGAGTGGCAAATACTGGCTAAATCTCCCTTGTGGGGGAGGCCAATGTTCAGAAGATGATTGTTAACGGCTGAAATGGTTATGATATGATAGTAGTTATAGTTGTACATATTTTTTTTTTTATATTTTATGAAAACATTTGCGTGATTTTCGGAGACTATTCTCCGAAAAAATGTGTATGTATACAGCATCATTTTAAGGGAATGTTATACTAGTGGGATTAAACATTTCTTTCTCGAGAAACAAAGATGTTGAATGGAAATATTGTCAATCATTTATTTCATTGACTAGGTGTGCTTCAGATAGTTTCCAAATATATACATAGGAAGGTATCAGTACAAAAATAAATATTGTAATAAAAATGCAATATACAAACAATATATGATAAATAAATATGAAGCAACACATTTAACATGCAATAATATATAACAATAATAGAAATAAAATTCTATACTAACTGAACACAAATATCCGACGAAACTCCAGCAAGTTGGAGGCAAATATGTCTAGTTGTAAATACTGGTTCATAACATCAACAAGTAATCCAATGTAAGAAAGAGGAGAGCTTGCTTGTTCAACTGTTCTTCATAATGAATGGAACATCAATGTCTATCTACTCGCACATAGCTACTGGTCGCTCCAATTGATCTTCTTAATTGTAACACTTCTATTCAGCAAATAAAGTATTCGGTTGTTTAAAACATTGGCTGAAATAATAAATAACAATAATTTATAGAAAAACAATATAATATTAACCAGTTTTGTTGTGTTTTTAATACATTTTCTTGCCAAAATGTTCATTTCTGTTTTTTTTTTTTGATGAGTGAAAATGGTATGGTAACCCCGCCTGCGCTAACAAGATACGCTGGCGGAGCACCAGTGAAGGGTGATAGATGAGAATGAAAACAAGCCAGTTAGCCCATCATGATAAATTCATCAGGAATTAACCATGATAGTTTCCAGAGAGAACCGCGAGGAGGTCGACCTGGTTGGGTATATTGCTAGCAATAGGATTCTTAGTCTCCATTACTAACAATCCCTTTCACCCCTCAGTTCTGTGTTAGGTTCAATAAGGATACTAATGATTTTGAAATCGCCTATTATCTTCTTGTGTACAATTATTACATTAAAATTACTTTTAAAGTAAGAACCATTTAGTAAATTTATATTCTTAATTCGTACAGAGGTGGGCCAAACTCCTGCGGGTAATCAGCCCTTCCCCAAGAAAGCGGTCGACGTGTTTTTCCCTGCCGAGGCACAGAATGACTTTCCAGTCGCCATGCAGGTGTCACCGAAATACGACGTCATATACCTGATCACTAAGTATGGCTATATCCACATGTATGATATCGAAACCGGCACATGCATCTACATGAACCGTATCTCATCCGACACCATTTTTGTGACTGCCCCTCATGAAGCAACTGGTGGTATTATTGGTAAGTACACATGTGTATATAACATTTACTAACTTTAATTGCATTTGTGATTTGGATTTTCGGACTTAATAATATGCTGACTTTTTTTCGACATCATTCATTAATCTTACAATAGATAGATACTCTTTGTTTCTTCTAAAAGATTACTGTAGTAAACTTATTATAAATAGATACAAACAATTACGAGAATCGTTCACCCTGAATTAAAAGGTAATAAACAAATAAACATTTACAATATAAGTCTCTTGGATAGTAAAATAATAATGATTTACTATAAAAAATATATATATATATATATTCATTCATTCATTCATTGCAATATTTCGATTATGCTTAAATGACTGAATGGATCCCATTGTATTATGGTACATACAAGAAGAATGATAACCTGTGTTTGTTAGTTTGTAACACTTTATTGTACAGTAAAGTTTTAACTTATAGGATACAGAGTTCTTAAGAAAAGAAGTACAATGGGCGGCCTTATCGCTAAAAGCAATCTCTTCCAGGCAACCTTTGGATGGTTAGGAATAGTTCTAAAGTTTTACAATGTATTTGTTGTATTTCCATTTAATAATTTATTAGACTAAAAGTAAAAATACTTTGGTCGCAAGTTTAGTCTTATACAAAATTCAACAATATTTTGTGTTTATATTTAGGCGTGAACCGCAAAGGTCAAGTGCTCTCTGTAACAGTGGAGGAAGACTCCATAGTGCCGTACATAAACACGGTGCTGCAGAACCCCGAGCTGGCATTGCGGCTAGCGGTGCGCAACAACCTCGCCGGAGCTGAAGAGCTGTTTGTTAGGAAATTCAACATGCTCTTCACTAACGGACAGTACGGCGAGGCCGCTAAGGTAGGTCTTTTAAATGTATTTTTTTTATTGCACTTGTAAATTACATTGTTAATACATTTATAAATATTGTGAGCAAGCATAGACTTATTTCTGACAGAGATAAGTCCACGCTTGCTCAGATAACTTTTAAGCTTGATCAGTCAACCCAATACAGTTGGAAAGCATGTCGTTAGCAGGCAGCTAAAGTGCACTAACAACTATTATTTTAATTAGGTATTTTGTTATATTAAAAGTCCCTCGATGTCTGTTGGAAAAGATCTAGATGAGCAATCGGCATAATTTCCTTAAAAAAATTACATTAGTAAACTTACAAAAAAATATATATAAAAAATTCCAAGAAAACTGGGTGGCCTAATCGCTAAAAGCGATCTCTTTCAGGCAACCTTTGGATGGAGAAGAGTCATTGTAAGCGATTTAATCGAAAGTGCGAAATTCTATTCGTCTTTTTACTTCAACTTTCGAAAATAATTAACAAATAAACGAAATATTAAACAGCTTTACAATTAGCTGTTTAATATTTACATACATTACATAATCTTTATAAGTGGCAAAATACTTGTACTTCTTCCATAAGACATGTAATTATGTTTATCCTAATTCACGAGGCTGAAGTCGCAGATTACAGCTAGTCTCTACATCTTAATTTTTTATTTTTGTTTAGGTAGCAGCAATGGCTCCCCGTGGTATACTGCGGACGCCGCAGACCATCCAACGATTCCAGCAGGTGCCCACACAGCCGGGGCAGACGTCACCGCTGCTGCAGTACTTCGGCATCCTGCTCGACCAGGCACAGTTGAATAAGTTCGAGTCACTCGAGCTGTGCCGGCCCGTACTGCTACAAGGTCAGTCTATATCTCTATAAATATTCTTCTTTATCCAAGCCCCTATTACAACAGGAATTTCAGGAAATCCTTTCTTAATGCAAGTTTCTATCCAGTTATTTATATTGCATTCATATAGAAATTAGTTTTAATTATTAGTTAATTAAGACTTATTATTCCATTGTTTCTGCCCACCCTAATAAGAGACAGGCGTGACAGATATGTATGTATGTATGTAAGACTTTTTAAGCAAAGTTAAAGCAAAAGAGGTTCTTACTTCGTCTAAATATTTACGTCGACAATTCTGAACTGATTTTTGCAATTCTTTGCGATTGATAGGGTTTGCTTTTATGTTAGCCCCATTTAAATTAATTATATTGCAACACAGGCCGCAAACAACTTCTTGAAAAATGGCTGAAAGAAGAAAAACTGGAATGTTCTGAAGAATTGGGTGATTTGGTGAAGCAGGTGGATCCGACGCTCGCGTTATCAGTGTATCTGCGCGCCAATGTAGCCAGCAAAGTGATACAGTGCTTCGCGGAGACTGGCCAGTTCCAGAAAATTGTCCTGTATGCCAAGAAGGTGAAATTAACTTGTCTAATCGGTAGTAAAACCTAACATGCATTTATCAATTTTTATTGATTAAAATAATTTATTTAATGATAAATTATATAATATACACATATTTCTGTACTTTTAGTAATTATGGAGTGTTAATATTTACTAAAGAAAGGTTACTACGATCATATAGTACCTGTTCAAATAATAGCAAACAAATCTAACAGTATGTTTTGTTAGTACACATATAAAAAAGAGCGAGACACTGGACATTCCTATCTCATTCTTTCTCTTGCATATGGTGTCATAACATACTTATTGATACAAATAGATGCATATACCACTAGTTTAAGGAGACTCGTGAAAAAGAGATTGAAAATTTAAAAAAGAAATAATAACAGACATTTTTATTTTTTGGCAGGTTGGCTACACACCTGATTATATTTTCCTGCTACGTTCCGTAATGCGTACCAATCCTGAACAAGGAGCAGGGTTTGCGGGAATGCTAGTCGCGGAAGAGCCTCCTTTGGCCGATATTAATCAGATAGTTGACGTGTTTATGGAACAAAACATGGTGCAGCAGTGCACTGCTTTCCTACTCGATGCTCTCAAGAACAATCGACCCGAAGAGGGGCCGCTGCAGACTAGGTACCGTATTATTTTATTATTTATAATGGTTATTGATGGTGAAAAATATAGGTATTAGGATAAGCTTAAAATTAGTCTAAGGTGACCAAATTAAACCTCACTAAATATCCAATCATTGCTGTCCTTTGCTATTACTGGTTATTAATTATACTGACCTGAACTATATGAACAGATAGGTATTATAACATCTGATGGAAAAGTTAATAGCATCCGGAAAGTCTATTTTTAAAACTGATGTGCATCCATAATAAAAATTATGAAAAATGAATGTAGTAAGGTCTTAAGAATACTATGCACTTAGACTCACATTTTTTCTACTTCCTAATAGACTTCGTTGTGGATAATTACATCTAACTACTGTTAATAAGAATATAGACGCTTTAATCAATCCATCTTAAACATACTTGTATATTGTGTGGTTCTCTGAATATTATGTGAATATTCCTGTCCGATTGCAGATTGTTGGAGATGAACCTGATGTCAGCGCCGCAGGTGGCGGATGCTATCCTCGGCAACGCGATGTTTACGCACTACGACCGCGCGCACGTGGCGCAGCTGTGCGAGAAGGCCGGCCTGCTGCAGCGCGCGCTCGAGCACTACACGGACCTCTACGATATCAAGCGCGCCGTGGTGAGTACCCGACCTACTATCATCTCGCCATCTACACCACTTCACGCATACACACATCCCTCTACTGGGGGGGAGGAGGTCAGGAAAAATTTCACTCAATGCCCCCTAGAAATTCTTGTGGTTGATTCTTGATCAATTCACCACAAAGGACCAACTGATCTAGCTTTACCTAATTTTGTCACTTCTTACTGGCATTATTCCATTTGCTTACCATTCCACTATCATCCATTAAAAATACCCCCTACTTAGTGAAGTACTTAGTGGTATACATAGTGATGTATATCACCACTTTCTCATCATACTAACACACCCCTCCATATCACTTTATCATATAAATCACTTGTACTTGACTTGTGATGAAGTGTCTCATATGTGTTTTGGTAATTCATGAATAAATGTATTTGACAACTATCACTACATTCTTACCTTATCATAAACATCACAAACATTATCTCACTCACTTATTAATATTTCAATTGTAGTAAAAAAGATAAAAAATTGGTTCATTGCCCTTATCAATAATAAAACATATTTTAGAATAGTTTTCTTACAGTTTCTATAAATTCACAGGTTCACACCCACCTGCTCTCTGCTGACTGGCTGGTCACATACTTTGGGAGCTTATCAGTGGAAGACTCCCTTGAGTGCTTGAAGGCAATGCTCCAAGCCAACATCCGACAGAATCTGCAGATCTGTGTCCAAATTGCCACCAAATACCATGAACAGCTTACCACCAAGGCACTCATTGAGCTGTTTGAGAGCTTCAAGACTTATGAGGGTCTATTCTACTTCCTTGGATCAATTGTTAACTTCAGCCAGGATTCTGAAGTTCACTTCAAATACATTCAGGTTAGTAAAGTATACAGGGTTAGTTGTAATGACTATAACAAGCTGAAACCCAGTGATAATATTCATGACACAGAAAACTTTTTCTAACTTGTGTTCTACAAAAATTGTAGCAAAACAAGGTGTTTTAATTTAAAAATTACTAAACTGATTTGGCTAAAATTTTTATGTGTCCAATCTAAATGTATATCTTTTCAAATAAAGAATTTTCGATATCAGTTTATAACTGATGGAATTAAGAGTGAACAAAAAAAAAAATAACCAAATTAAAAAAGGAGGAGGCCTTTTTTGGAGGTGGTGGAAAAGCTACTATTACTACTATTCGACTATGAATATGGAAAATAATTTTTGAAACCTCATACTGTATCTATGACATAATTATGCAGTAGAAAAAAATTCTGCAAGTGTATTGTTATTGGTCTGGGGTTTTTTTTATATATTATAAGAATTTAAGAATTTTATTAATTATTTAGTATCCATACTTCTAACCATAATCTAGTCAAACAAGCAATTTATTAATTATACAAACAAGAGCTATTTATTAATTATATTTTTTTAGTACGCCAGAGGGCGCCTCTGACATCCCACCTAATAATTATTTTTGTACAGGCCGCCTGCAAGACTGGCCAGATCAAGGAAGTGGAGCGTATCTGTCGCGAGTCTAATTGCTACAACGCGGAGCGCGTAAAGAATTTCCTCAAAGAGGCCAAGTTGCCTGATCAACTGCCATTGATAATTGTGTGCGATCGGTTCGACTTCGTCCATGATCTCGTACTTTACCTGTACAGGAACAGTCTGCAAAAGTACATTGAGATATATGTACAGAAGGTAAGGTTGTGTCTCTAGGACATTGGACCTTTTTCTTATTTTGGAAATATACAATTCAATTTTATTTTAAAGAAATTTCACTATTTAGAATCATTACTATTACTTAAAACTATACTATATTACAATAATATTAATATGCTTATGTCTATAAAAATTACTGCTGGCTCAGAATCACCAAAGTCTATTTTGATGGGTGTAATAAATCACATGTAATTATACTCTTATAATGTAACCCAAACAGTCCCCTAAATAGTAAAAGACATATATTCTAGGTGAACCCATCTCGCCTGCCTGTGGTTGTCGGTGGTCTTCTGGATGTGGACTGTGCTGAGGATATCATTAAGAACCTGATTTTGGTAGTACGTGGACAGTTCTCCACTGACGAACTTGTTGCCGAAGTCGAAAAGAGAAATAGGTCAGTTGATAATGCTATTTTTCTGATATTATTATACATTGCAAAATTGTATGAAATTTTGTATGTAAGTGGACCAAGTTCTAAATTTAAACCAGATACCATTTTTTCTATTTCACATCATGAGCAAAGCCTTAGATTACCATTATTGGTTTATTTTTTTATTTTTGACGATTTTCCTGGCACAACCTATTTAATTTTTGCCTACATCATAGTGTTTATCGCCATCTATAGATACTGCAGCATAAACATCTCGGAATACTCTGTGGTCTATGGTAAACAAGCTATTACCTGTGAGAATTAATGTATTTTTTCTTATTTCATAAACTGCAGTAGACATCTTACTTTTTAAACAGAAAGTCAAGTATACTTACGTTTTTATCAACCTTTTCAGATTAAAACTTCTTTTACCATGGTTGGAGACTCGCGTGCACGAAGGATGTACAGAGCCGGCCACGCATAATGCACTCGCTAAAATTTACATAGATTCTAACAATAACCCAGAACGATTCCTCAAAGAGAACCAATGGTAAGATAATTTGATTTATTTTATTTATTAAACAGTGCTATTTTCCGCGCTTAGCCTCTCATTTGGGCCGTTGTGCGTATGAGTCGTGGCTAGTACAGCCAACCTAGCTCCGCTCAGAAGCGCAGAAGCTTCCTAGGATCTTCACAGGCCTCATGGAGCTACCTCACTGTTCCAAGGATTTCTAAATGTTGATGGGCCACAGCCTCACATTCCAGGATTACGTGAGCAGCTGTTTCTTCGGCGTCGAAACAACCTCGACATAGAGGGCTGTCTCATACACATAATATAATAATCATTAATATATAATGGTCATTTTATTATATTAGTTATTATTTATATATAGTTGGAATAATGAGGACAAATCATGAAGCTAGGGCTACTAGTGTCATGATTAATAGGATTGTTTGTGATGCGGCAGGTATGACTCGCGCGTGGTGGGCCGCTACTGCGAGAAGCGCGACCCGCACCTGGCGTGCGTGGCGTACGAGCGCGGCCAGTGCGACCGCGAGCTCATCGCTGTCTGCAACGACAACTCGCTCTTCAAGACGCAGGCGCGCTACCTCGTGCGCCGCCGCGACCAGGACCTCTGGCTCGACGTGCTCAACGAGGACAACCCCTACAAGCGGCAACTCATCGACCAGGTGCTATTTCTCATAAAATAGGTCATAGATCTCTCCCCCCCCCCCTTTTTCCAAACAGCCAGGCTTGTCTAACCGGTTATCGACGGTTTAGTTGAAAAGTCTTGAGAACCTTTGGGTCACTACTGTTTCTGCCACTAAATATCTCCATAAATACCTATGTTTCGATCTGAGGGATGGATGGGTGTGAAATTATAGGGTATAAAGGCATAACGCCATAGTCCCCAGGGATGACGATTTATGAGGGGTTATAGTGGCATATTAGCATACTTGATGATATCCATAGTCCTGTTCATACCTATTGGTAATAATTACTACTTTTAATCAAGTGTAATGTATACTTGTTTGTAATTTTATTAAATAAATAATATTAACAAAAAAATAAACTACAAAAGATAATAAATATATTTTGTAACACAAGAACTGTTAATGTTTATACATAATATGGAATTCCACTTTTTCACAGGTGGTTCAAACAGCTCTCTCTGAAACCCAAGACCCAGAAGATATATCTGTAACAGTGAAGGCATTCATGACTGCAGATTTACCAAATGAACTGATTGAGTTACTCGAAAAGATTGTTCTCGACAACTCTGTATTTTCAGACCACAGGAATTTGCAGAATTTGCTTATACTGACAGGTGAGTTTGCTTATCACTCACGTCACATATACACAATAAATTTGATGATAAAGATTTCAATAAAAAAAATAAGATTACCCCATAAATGCATTAATACTAGAGGTGGTATGAACACTGTCATTAGTTTGATTTGTACTAATTTTTAAACTATTCAAAAAGGGCTTCATAGACAACAAGACAATTCAACTTATTCAATATTGGTCCTTATACTTACAGCAATAAAGGCGGATCGCACACGTGTAATGGAATATATCAACCGACTGGACAACTACGATGCGCCAGACATCGCTAACATTGCTATAAATAATGAACTCTATGAAGAAGCATTTGCTATATTCAAGAAGTTTGATGTCAACACCTCTGCCATTCAGGTAATTTTCTTTTTTTCAGAAGAAATTTTAATTACATTCAAATTTTTTCCCACAAGTTACCCTTTTACACAGTAATTTTGCTGTAGTTGAGATAGTAAATTTAAATTAATATTATAAAAAGGTTTTTTTTTTGTAACTTGAACTAATTTAAAAGAATTCCTTCAATGGGCTGTATTTTTATTAAAAAAATGCGAAGCTTGGGCCAATATATATAAAAAATTGCCACTACCTTGCCTTATTCTCTAAAGTAATGAAAACAATAACAGGTGTTGATCGAGCAAGTGAAAGACCTGGAGCGTGCGTACGAGTTCGCCGAGCGGTGCAATGAGCCGGGCGTGTGGTCGCAGCTAGCGAAGGCGCAGCTGCAACAAGGGCTTGTGAAGGAAGCCATCGACTCGTACATCAAGGCAGACGACCCCTCCGCCTACATGGACGTGGTCGCTACCGCCACCAAACAGCAATCCTGGGAGGACCTCGTGCGGTACTTGCAGGTACGTTGCAAAGACATACTGCCTTTCAAAAAATAAATGTAGAAGAAGCTAATAAGTCTATTTATATCAAACACTGAGCTTTTTGTAGCATGAGTATTCTATTTCTGCATACGGTAATGAATATAGACATATGCATATGGATTTGTATATTTTTTATCAATCAAAATTGATTATTTTTAAACTATACATATTGGACAGACATTTTATAACCTTATTTTTACAAACAGATGGCCCGTAAAAAGGCGCGCGAGTCGTACATTGAATCAGAATTGATATACGCGTACGCCCGGACTGGCCGCCTTGCCGACCTCGAAGAGTTCATCTCGGGGCCCAACCACGCGGATATACAGAAAATTGGAGACCGGTGCTTCGACGACAAGATGTACAACGCCGCTAAACTGTTGTACAATAATGTCAGCAACTTCGCAAGACTTGCCATCACACTCGTACACCTCAAGGAATTCCAAGGTATGCAACAATTTCGTAGTCTATGCCATTCTCCCTCCGAACTTGTACATGTAGGTACTAAATTTCATAAAGACAGGTTTATAACAGACAGCTATTAAGACACCAAGAGGTATTAAACAACCACTTTCACATTTATAATATTGGTATAAATATAGTATTCTATGTGATTTGTGCTAAAGAATGTTTATTGATAAAAAAAATACTAATTTTTTTTTAAACTAGTTTCGCCTGACCAGGATATGATAATTAAAAAGTATAAATTGCGGTATATCCTTCTCTATCTGAAATACTGTTATTTATGATGATTGATGATGATTGCTATTAAAGTGCTAAGATGTGACATGCAACCAAACTCGCTACTCCATTTATAATATTAATAAAAATTAGTTTATTGTCAGTATTAGCCTCTGTAAATCGTTTTTCACCACAATTTATATTAGGTAAGCAAAATGTATGTAATAGTAAGTTCAGATTAAAAATCAAATGCATTCACTTTTAATTTTTAATGGACAATAACGTTATACCGATACCATGGATGTTCACGCAAAATGAAAAGAAAAGCCTATTAAATTAATTTCTCCTTCGTTGGTCGGTTACAGGCGCGGTGGATAGCGCTCGCAAGGCAAACTCAACCCGCACATGGAAGGAAGTTTGCTTCGCGTGCGTGGACGCCGGAGAGTTCCGGCTCGCACAAATGTGTGGTCTCCACATCGTCGTACACGCGGACGAACTTGAGGACCTCATAAACTACTACCAGGTGAAGATATGATTTTTATTATTCCTTCCAAATGTTTACATTTTAATAGTAAAAAAAAATACAAGTTTTAGATTACACTGATTAAAAAATGGACGGCCATTTCGTTTTGTGGCTAGGTCTTGATAATTTTTAAGTATATTTTACTCGATTCCTTTAAATTAGAAATAAAAGTCCATTACACTAAAAAATTTGTTGATTAATCAAATTTATATTTTTTACTAACATAAATGGAAATTAACCTGAAGCGATTTCATACGGTTATATAAAATAGTACCTGCTTTCTTAATTTTCTTGCCAACAATCAATTATTTATTTGCATAAACATAAATATAGTTATAAATTTGAAGTTATAAAATATATAGTGCGCTATGTTCCCATTGCCTGCAATCATCGGAAACAAACTTAAATAAGTGTTCTTATTCTTACGAAAGTTTAAACCTTTAAAATTTAATTTTAATCTAGATGTCCTTAGATTTAATTATATTATTAGTCCATTTTTGTAAGATATAGTGTATTTGTAACAGGATCGAGGTCACTTCGACGAACTGATCAGTTTATTGGAGGCAGCGCTCGGCCTGGAGCGAGCACACATGGGTATGTTCACCGAGTTGGCCATCCTCTACTCCAAGTACAAGCCCGCCAAGATGAGGGAACATCTCGAACTTTTCTGGTCACGAGTCAATATACCTAAGGTGAGATGTACTAAATGGTATTATTGAAATATGTAATAAAAATTATAATTTGAAATTATGGAATGTGTTGATTAGAAAATTATGTGTAGGTATATATATTATTACAATAACACAAATTAAATTACAGTTATAATAATTTTACTTGAACATTTAACATTGTATACACAAATTAGGAATGATTTTTGTTTTCCATTTGTTTATTTGGTCCCCATAAGTAGCGCAGAGTTGAAACTACAGTTTTTAGAACTATTTAATTTAAAATTTATACACAAGTATAAGTTTGTTAAAAATTATATAAATAATTCAAATTATGATCATTGAAGTCTTTTTGTCATTAATTGACTTGAATATAATTTTAAATGTTTAATCAAATATTGTACAGGTGTTACGCGCCGCGGAACATGCGCACCTATGGTCCGAGCTGGTGTTCTTGTACGATAAATATGAGGAGTACGACAACGCCGCACTCACTATGATGCAACACCCCACCGAGGCATGGCGTGAAGGACACTTTAAAGACATTATTACCAAGGTAAACATTACGTTTCTCATCACTTTCATATTACAAGACAATATTTTGAACATAATCATGTATAGAGGTTTAGAAAGATATAATTTTAATTCTCGTTGCTAGGTAATTTTTTTTTTTAATATCTTGTGTTAGGTTAATTCAATAACACAAAGTAGCATAATTTTTGTCCTATACTCTATTTGATTGTATATACTATATTTTCTTTAATATTTGACATGAATATGGTTCATTTACTTAAGTATGAAAGTCTGTAGTTCTTGATCTCTTTTTTTTATCTACTTACACAACAAATTAATAGTGTCAAGTGAAAAAGCCTACATTAATCAATCTTAGATTTATTATATCTTCACTGTGTATTTGAGACTGTTAAATACACAGTAATATAATGTTACTAATATAACCAGGTGGCGAACATGGAACTGTACTACAAAGCGATCCAATTCTACCTCGACTACAAACCATTACTTCTAAATGACCTCCTGCTGGTGCTGGCACCGCGTATGGACCATACTCGCGCCGTCAACTTCTTCACCAAAGCTGGTCATTTACAACTCGTGAAAGCGTATCTCAGATCCGTACAGAGTCTCAACAACAAGGCTGTCAATGAGGCACTCAATTCATTACTTATTGATGAAGAAGATTATCAGGTTAGTTTCTTAACTTATGTAGTTTGTTTTTCACATGTATTTTTAATACACAACGTGAATTCTATAAATTTGTATAATTACAGCAGTTATAAGCGATAAAGTTACATAATAATGTTAATATTATAATATACTTCTTTTTATACAAAAAGAATTTCTAAATTTATCGATATAAATTCGATGGAAGTACCCTAGAATTTACCTAATCCGTTATGTATAGGGTATCTATTGTGGGTTACGTATCTATATCCACTTCTATAGTCCATCTAAGTCATAACTTGAATCAACTGATAGAATTTAATGACTGTCATTTGTCTATATTTCTTATTTTACAGGGCCTACGAACGTCAATAGATGCATTTGACAATTTCGATACAATCGCATTAGCGCAACAACTTGAGAAACATGAACTCACTGAATTTAGAAGAATCGCCGCCTATCTATACAAAGGTATATTCAACGTATATTTTTCCAAATTGTGCGTACACATCTCAATGGGTAGTGATTTATTAAATCATAATAAAATCATTTTTAATATCTCTTTAACTTACATAATAATACATTAATTTACATAATAACTTTACAAATAGACGAATTGTTTTTTTTTTCGTGTTTCGTTTCTTTGGGCGAAATGAAATTTTACTATATATTTAAAAAACATACACTTACTCAGAGCCTCTTTATAAACACTGGACATGCTGTCCCTTCCTAGTATTTGCAGTAGTGTAAATGTATACATTGTGTGGAACTTATAACTAATAATGGCATGATTACAGGCAACAACAGATGGAAGCAGAGTGTGGAATTGTGTAAGAAGGACGCTCTGTACGCGGATGCGATGGAATATGCGTCTGAATCACGTCAACCTGAAGTGGCAGAAGAACTACTCAACTGGTTCCTGGAGAGAGATAACTACGAGTGCTTCTCCGCGTGCCTCTACCAGGTAACGGATGTGTGGAATATTCATGCGTAAAGAAATGATTGATGACCTAGTGAGGTATATTTGGATTGAGATACAAGCATAAGCTTGCATTTGTATATCTTTGTATAAATATTTCTCACTTACTTTCTCATATAAATGAGAATAATTTGTGAGGAAAGTGGGTATGAATGGTCGGATATTTTTCGATATTGTACTCGGAATTAAGTCAACTTCTTTTGACATACTTACAAGTAGATTCCGATTATAACTCAAATATTACCATTCTTAGCCATTTTTAAGCTTCTGTATTCTTGGGTGATTGTGCCAGTCTTATAAGTTTTCATATAAGATTTAGACATATTTATTTTGTTCTTTGATAAAAAAAAAAAAAATTTAAATCAAACTGTAGACCCGCATGAATGGATTCAATTTTGTATGATGTTTATAGAATATTTGTTATTATTATTTACAGTGTTACGATCTCCTTAAACCCGACGTTGTAATCGAGTTAGCGTGGAGGCATAACATCATGGACTTTGCAATGCCATTCCTTATTCAGGTAAGTGTCGCCAACTATACTGTTATGTATAAAATTTAATCAAAATCATTCCAATATATATATATATATATATATATATATATATATATATATATATATATATATATATATATATATATATATATAAATATATGATACATACCACATTCACACACACAAATACATGCTATCATTACGAGACCTTCCAATAATGCGACGTTAATACTATATCTCCGGGGGAACGGGATTGTTAGTAATGGAGACTAAAAATCCCATTGCTAGCAATATACCCAACCAGGTCGACCTCTTCGCGGTTCCCCCTGGAAACTATCATGGTTAATTCCTGATGAATTCATCATGATGGGCTAACTGGCCTGTTTTCATTCTCATCTATCATCCTTCAATGGTGCTCCGCCAGCGTATCGCGTAAGCGCAGGCGGGGTTACCATTTCATTTTCATCAATTCAAAAAAAAAATACTATATCTCCATTGATTAATAATAAACACAAAAATTAAATAACATAATTGATTCATGGAACTATAACAGAGTTACATTTTCTTTTTTTTTTATTAATATTTTTACCACAGACTGTTCGAGAGCTAACGACAAAGGTCGAGAAGCTCGAGGAAGCAGACGCGAAGCGCAGCACAGAGAGTGCGGAACACGAAGCCAAACCTGCCATGATTATGGAGCCACAGCTTATGCTTACAGCAGGTAATTTATAAATATGTTTATATTAGGAAAGCTTGTAAAAATGAATGTATCTTTATCATTCAATGACTCTGAAATGACTAAAACTTACTATGCGTTCGAGTAGATCATATATTTTTTATTCTAATTCATGCAACAATGGGCGAATTACTTGTTATATAGGTAGTAAATAATGAAACATGCATAGGACATTTTTTATATTTTAATATGTATAGGTAAATAGAAAAGGAAACCACATCACATGATTTAATATATAAGTTAGAAAATATTTCACAAGTTTGTTGTAGTTAGACTACAACTGTTTTGCTTATAAAAATAAATTTCAAATTTTATTATATTTATTAAGTACCAACAATCTCTAGTTTCAATAATATTTTGTTCTTATGAAGCTTTCATTCTTGAAAAAAGACTAACTCTAGCTGCTTGTTATTATCGCAGGTCCATCGATGGCTTACCCCGGCGTGCCGGCGCAAGCGTCCCCATACGCGTACGCGGCGCAGGCGCCTTCACCCGCGCCCTACCACGGCTACGGCATGTAGGGAACCGCCTCCCCTCATGCCTGGGGGAACTACGCTCACTTCTGAGCCTCCGCACCCTCGCACCACCGCGTGCCGCCACCCGTCCTTCACCCGTCGACACCCACTACCACCAGTCTTCATCACTCGGGGACCGGCGGACGGGTTGCGGCCGCTCGCGGTCACGTCGCTCCTGAACTCTTTGCACTTGTGACTCCCCATTTTCGTGACCGTATATACTTTGTTTAGGTGTGCTTACATGGGTCATTCTTTTAATAATAATAGCCCGTCCATCTGCTGGAGGTAACTAATATTATGTTACTCTATTTAACTCGGTATTAGTGTGACAGTATCCATAGCAACAAGTGATATGTTTACATAACGATAAATTATTTTATGTTGTTGTGGTTTTGTGTCTTCACAAATGTTGCCCAAGATCTAGCATTTTTAATTATTTATAAAGAAGCACCTTAAGTGTTTTGTTTCTTTTCTGGTCGAGGCCTAACATTCGAGTTAGTATTTTGGATTTAATATATTTGTAAAAAAGTATTATAAATGTAGTCGCAGGTGCATAGAGATAAATGAGGAAATTTAGCCATTTCGGCTATATATGGAATGAAAATTGTTAGCGTGTACAAATTATATTAATATATATAGAATGCTATGTAACTCTCACGACTAAAAGTGCTTTATTTTTATCAGGAGTGAGAGTGATCTAGAGAAATTTAATTATCATGCCTTTAAAACAATTAGCGGAATAGTTCCAAAGGGGTAAAATTCTCTACACAATAATATGATTGTGTAAAATTGTTTATGTCCAAACTTATGCCCCGTTGGATACATATTTCATTGCTAATTATTGTGGAATATGAAATGCATACAAGCTGATTACATCCATCTATTTATGTTTTTATAGCTATAACTCTAAAAAGTGATGCATGAACATGTGCTACCACCGTAAGTGTACATTGTAATGCGTGCATTCATTCTATATCGGCATTTCTGTATACTCCTAAAACAATAACTTAAAATACTAATAAAAATTATATTGTAAAATATTATAATATGTAGTGAGTGCATTCGTTTGTGCGCATTTCTAGTTTTGTGAATTTAGTGCAACAGCTGCGACCAAATTTGTTAGATTTGCCGTCGGAGCTTAGTTCTGCAGGTAAATCAATAGAAAAATACATTTTTGTAGATAGTTGTTGTACGTCGCAATAAATTATATCGATGAAAAGAAAAAAAAATAATTGTAATAATTACTGTAATGGTACTTGATTTATTATCACTATTATATAGAGTTACTCATTTCTTTTTGTAAAATAATGAATGAGTCATATTTGTTATTTTTATACAAGAAATACTAGATACTGGTTTATAACAATATATTGGTTTGATGATACAGGCCTAGTCTGACGGTACATTAAGATACAGTGCAGTAAATTGGTACTACTCGTGTTTTACACTAACATGTTCCAGCCAATGCAAAATATAAATGGAAATCAACCAACGAAAATATGTAAATTTTACTACAAGTTGTCAAGTTATATGTATATAATGCTTACGATGTAGATGTCGGCACGGCCAGTTGAAATTAATCGAAATTATCACACCGGATTATTCGAGTTTACTTTAATAATAAATGAATATGTTCTAGGTATATTTTAGATATAGTTTAGGTGGAATAGTTAGCGGTACGATGTTATTTTTCCAAGTAATGTATTGGCGTGTGCAATGATTTGTAACAATCACGCGTGTTGCTTACGTTGCGTTAATGTATTATCACATTGATTGATGCCTTCATTAGATGATTAAGGTACAATTATTATGTATTGGCAGGCGTTTTGGGGCACTCTCGTATTTTATATTGTTTTTTAATTATTATTAGTACGGTTATTTTTTTTTAACAATAATGACATCCCCATAAATGCCTCGTCAGCATAATGTAGTCCAGCCGACTCCATGCAGCGTTACACTGGTGTAACATTGTGATTGCGAGCCGTTATGTTAATAAAATAATAATCATTGATGTTAAATGATTCATTCAAATCATTCCTATCATTAACAATATTGTTACAAGTTTCTCTTTCTTTCGTAATAAATATAACAAATAATAACGTAAAAAGCAAAAGTTCATTGTTTATTATTAGCATTGTATTTATTCATGTATGATACTGTTTCCCTGAATTTTATTATAGTAAGATTATATTATATGAATAAATTATGACTTGTGTTTGTTTTCTGCATTAATGATACCATCAGTCGTAAATATTCTGATCTTGCACCATCACTACATATTGATCAGTGATTTTTTTTTAAATGGATGATAATGGATTTGGCACTCCGCCTGCGCTATCGGTGTACATTGAGGTGTGAAATGAAATGATTAGGGACCACGTGGAGGTCGACCTGATGGAGTATATTGCTAGAAATGGAACTGGTAGTCCGCGTTACTAACAATCTCCCCTTCAATATTATAAATTGGATAACCGATAATTAATATATCTGTTATTGGGCCAATATGTTTTTATATATTCTACCTACAATATATAGTTTTGTTAAATATTACCCACCCTTATTAATAAGGCCTAATATAGACATCACAGAATATTATATACATATTGGAACGTATACGTCAGTAGACTATTTATTAGCTTCAAAATAGTATTTACTCCTCTTTATTCCCGCTTATACTTCTATAAATTATAATCTATTTCGTCGACATACTAGGTGGTCCTAACCAACATCATTCATTCGTGCTTGTTTAATTTTTACCATGATTTTCTTATTGCTCGATAAATATATGCCAAACAACAATGCTGGCAATTAAATAGCAATAGTTAGAACTAATATACAATAATTTCAATTTTTTCAATGGTTTTTTTTTTTGTGAGATGATAATGGAATGGTAACTCCGGCTGCGCTATCGGCATACGATGGCAGGACACTAGTGAGAGATAATAAGTGAGCATGAAAGCAGGTCATCGTGATAAATTCCACAAGAATCCACAAAGGTTTCTATTTTATATTGCTAGAAATGGAGCTAGTAAATCCCTATTACTAACAATTCCTTTCCCTCCTAAATGGTATGTTAAGAAGAGGTAGGTCGATTAGCAAGTGATCAGCAATAAAAGTTAATATTGCCGCAGCACTAAGTTTTATTGAATTAACATTTTTCAATTATCAATTATCGAAAATAACTGCAAGGTCTGTCAATTTGCAGAAGAATTTATTTCTTGCATAAATAACGCTAAAATAGTGTAATTAAACTAGTCAAGATGCAAGAAAACGAAAAAAATTTAAAGATCAGTAGAATCAAATGATTATATATCGAGTAGAATCTCGCTCTAATCCTGTGCTCTGATCTGTGAATATGTCGAAAATTTTCTACTAATCTACTACTGTCAATTGTCATTGCTGTCAACTGTTAGAAGTGAATTAATTCATTCAATGAGTAATTGCACGTTTTCTTTGTTTTTTATCGATTTAATTAATAATTATCATTTATATATATCACTATAATGACATACAAACGTAAGAAATATCACCACGGGGATACTCATCTCAAGAAACGTTGGAGAGTGCGCAACAGAAAAAAGGATTTGGATCAGATTGACGTAGATTTGAAAGAAGGTAAGGCAGCTTGTCAAATCCGACACATGGTTAAAATAATTATTAAGGTTATCTTACTGTGTTTATATTTGTATTATTAAATTTGCAAATAGTAATTTTTTTAAGCTCTAATATCTTTCTGTATATTATGCAAAACATTTCATATATTTTTAGTAAGGCAATTATCCATGATATAATTTTCAGAAAACGCTGAGAAATTACTCAACCAGAATGTGGATCTAGACTTACCTGGTGCAGCGCAACACTACTGCTTACATTGTGCTCGGTACTTTATCGACGAGCAAGCCCTTAACGAGCATTTTAAGACAAAAGTACATAAGCGGAGATTAAAGGCTTTGGAGTTAGAGCCTTACAGCATTGAGGAGTCAGAAAGGGCAGCTGGTCTTGGTAGTTTCAAGTTACCCACCAAAAGAAAAATTGTGTCCCAAAACTCTAATAAGTCTGACATAGTCGATAGAGACGGTGATATTGTTTTGGAAGAAGAAAGTCCCAATAAAAAGAAGAAACCTGATGAAAATGCTACGTAATCCTGTTATTAATTTTGCCATTAAATTGTGGGATTGCAAATTTATATCTGCAAGAAATTCTGCTCTATTTATAAATGGAAGTAAAGCAACAGAAAACTTTGTCTATGTAATTCCCTATATTGATTTTCAACATGATATCAAACAGAAAGAATTAATTCAAGAGCAGTTATTGAAACGAAAATTAAATATTGATTTAAATAAATTAGAGAGTCTCTGGTCAATTTATCAAGAACTCAAACAAAGAAAGTTTGAGTATGAGAAGAAAAGGGAAGAAGTATCAAGAGAATTAGGAAAAATGATAAAAAATGATCCTGAAAATATTCTTACAAAAAAACTTAAAATTCAAGTAAACCTTTTAAAAGATAATATAAAAAAGCTCAAAGAACCTCTGTGGTTTGCTGAAGAGGCTGCAATAGTTGAAATACTGAAACTTCCCAATAATCTGCATTCTCGAACACCAGATGGTGAAAATAGAGTTTTGTATACTCACCTTTCACCTCCAAAAATACAAAAAGATCATTTAGTAATAGGAAAAGACCTTGGCCTTATTGAATTAATAAAAAATGAAAATTATTATTTGAAAGGAACAGCAGCCATATTTGAACTTGGAGCTAAGTTTTACTTCAACAATATATTGAGGAAGAATAATTTCCATCAATTTTCAAATCCAGACTTTGTGAAAAGTCTGATTGTTGAAGGATGTGGTATTGACCATACAAATCCAAACTCTTCCTTTATACTACATCATAATGAAAATTCCAAAGTAAATATAGATAGTCGGTTGCATTTAACAGGGGGAGCATCTCTGTGTTCCTTTTTTGCTTATTACACTAAGAACATATTACATCCTAAGAGTTTACCACTAAGATACTTTACTATGGGTCGACAATATACACCGTCATCTTTTGAAGAAGACAGCTTGTTCCATGTGAGTCAGTCATCAGTAGTGGAGATATTTTGTGCTACTAGAAATGAGAAAGATTTAAGTGTTTTACTTGATGATTTAATTGAAATATTGAAATCAGCATATTCTCAGTTGGGCTATCATTTTAGACTATCTATTGTAACTGCAGATCAGTTACACACATGGGAATCTTTAAGGCTAATCATTGAGATGTATTCTACTTCTCAGCAGACTTATGTGGAGATTGGAAATATATCAGTCTCTGAAGATTATATAAGTAAGAGACTTATGCTGACTTATGTTGAAAATAAAGAAAGCCATTTCCCTCATATATTGTCTGGTACAGTATTAAATGTACCAAAGTTTTTGGCTTGTGTTTTAGAACAAGATAATGATTTCTCTTTACCTAAAGAATTTACTGTTGACAAATGGAAAATATAGAAAGTTATATGATTATATAATTATAATTATCATTGAAACAAACCTAATGTCCTGTTAGTAACACCTAAAGTGGTGAAATAGTATTTTTTTTTATCATCATAGTATCATTTGATGATCAAACCATAGATAATGGAAAATGCTTTTTTTCTATAGGTTATACTTTAGAAAATTTTCTGCTGCTAAAACGTTGAATATAAACTAAACAAAAACAATTTATTTATTGTAAATATAGGTTTTACATAAACTACTTTGCTTTTATAATTTATTAAATCATTATGAAATTACTACCATATTTACAAGTTCATTCTTAAATTTTGTTTATTCAAAAAATGATAATATAAGAATACTGAAATATAAATTTTGCTTTACTAGTTAGAAGGTTGTAAGCATACATACTGTGTTCATATGCACCTTTAAAATATCAATTGTGTATCTAAATGTAATTGTAAAAGTGGTAGTAATATCAAATATAAAAATTATTAATTTTAGCATCACATTCACTTATAAACTATACTGGAACTTGGTGGTTTCCCATTCTGGGTTGAGTAGATCATCTGATGATTTTAAATCGATTTCTACTATATCCATTTTGCCACTCTTTGTTACAAGCACTAATGTATGTGTTCTGCAAAAATAGACAAAAAAATTAAATACTAGCTTACCTAGTAAATGTTGATTTGTTTCCAATCGCTACTTACTGGACCAATTTTTTCAGACTAAAAACTATTGTCTCAAATAGGCGAGAACAGTACTCATAAATTTTATTAAAATTTGGTTAAACATTTTCGGAGACTGGTGTGAACAAATATTGTAGCACAGAATATGAAGAGTAATGTGATATAATGTGCATACCAAAACATTAAGTATTAGAGTGTTCATACCTTGTTCCATATCTTCCTCTTGGTATGGATACAAATATAGAACTCAATTCCTTATACGAGTCTGGCCGACGCTTCTCCAGAAGTTGGTCTGGTAGATGCCTGTAAAAAGTAAATGAGTTCTGGGTATAACGGATGTATAAACCGAGAATATAATAGAAGAAATAATATGATACTAATAATAACATCGTTACAGCCAGTATTACTTTATTTTTATATTTGTGGGAAATATAGATTTACAGCCGTGTGGTCCTGGCATAGAATAAACTAAACCCTTTTTTCCCGTGAGTGTCGCAAGAGATGTCTAAAGGAATTTACGAGTCGAATTTATCACGAGTCTAACTGCGGTTGCCAACCAGCCTGTCAAGTCTGATAATTACTGGCAGTCCCCTTGTGGGATAATGAATAATGTATTATTATTTTTAATAGAATCCTCAATTTTTAATATCCTTAAGGTTTATGAAGCACGTGACTTTACATATTTAATTAAATTTTATACTTTATATATAAATTTTAAATACTTGATGAATTAGAATTAAGTGAACTCACCTTTGGTCAGATTTCAAAAATTTTATAAGTTCGTTCACGAGTTCATCTTTCATAGTAAGTTTGTTGAATTTATTGCATATTTCTTGCATTACATTTTTGCCGCCTTCGACTTTTTTCAGGGGGGTACGCGGCAAACAATTACCGAATCCTTCACATTTACTTCTGTGTTCCGTTAGTGTACATGTACTGTTGTTGTAGGCTTGAATCAGAGGTGACTTTCTAAAAGTATAAAAAAAAAAAAATATTAGTCTTCTATTACGAATTATTCTATCGAAGTTTTAATTTTTAAATAATAGACTATATATATATATTGTTATTATTATATTATTGGATGGCATTGGATACGTTTGTAGTAGCCACCCATGTCGGTTGCATGGCTGTATTTCGTGAGATATAGCAGTTAAACTAGCAGAGACATAACGTTTTAGTCCTCGGGAATGGTTATTCCTGAGGGGAAACCATTGGTGTTACATTTATTCCTTCACCTTGATCCTCACCTTCTTTGCTGTTTCCAATTGCATAAAAAGAATATGCTATTAGTTTAATTATCAATAGGCATTAGGAATTTAATTTTATTAGCTATTTCGCTTACACAAAATCTTCAACAGTAACGAACAAGAAGTCGTTGCATTCTTTAAAATAAGATTTCGTTGACTCAATATATTCCTTGGTTGGCGCTTCACATTTTATATAGTCCGATACGACCTTCCCTCGGCCTGAAAATGTTAGTAATTACAAATGTTAATGTTTTCATATATATGTTATGTACCTATGCGAGATGTTTCGCTAGAATATCTACGTATGTAAGTACGGGTATTTATTTTTACACTAAGTTCTTTGCGAATGTACGACGTATTTAAAGATAATGAAAACTGATGTTTACGATTTTGTTCCTAATATCGACAATTGAATGTTCTCAGCGTAGGAAGCTCAACATTTTTCTATTGAATCAAAAGAAAAAACTCAAAATAAAACAACATTTTGAGATATATTTCTAATTTCAGTGGTAGAACACTTAAAAGTATAATAAAATTTAAGCTGCACTTTAGCTTGTTATACTTGTTTTTACGCGTATGTGTGTGTATGTGTGTATATATATATATATATATATATATATATATATATATATATATATATATATATATATATATATATATATATATATATATATATATATATATATATATATATTATAGTAATAATAAAACAAATCTAACTTTGACTATTTAGCTTTGTCGATCCAGGAAGGTTGAGGAGCACTCCAATTTTTTTCCGTAAAGGTGAAACCGCCAACCAAGTCCCACCAGCTTCCAGGTCACGCCCTGTATTGTTTAAAAGCCATTGGAAATTATAGATATAATTGAAATTGTACTTAGTGTAATAGTTTTTTTTTATTACGACGTTCTATTTACATTGGGCTTTATTGGAATTTGAGTAATTTAGGATATTGTTTAATTGAGAATTTTTTGCGATTTTTCTCTTTACGTCGCGACTGCGGGAATGTACTTCGTTTACTTACTAGGAGATGGTGATTCGAATCTCATAGAAGCAAACGATCGGAAGGTTTTTACTAAGTGATATTTTTGATACCAATAAAAAAAATATGATTTAAAATTTTAATATTTATTTAAAAATAAGATTCTGGAATACATAATGGCATATGAATTGTAAAATATAAGATTTTTATGTAAAATATAAAAATTCCGTGTCACGACATTCATTTACGTTTTTTCGTAAATTGTAAGATATTTCAACTTGATAGATATGATATTTTTTATTTCGGTAAAAAATGGATCTAACAGGTGGCGTTAGGGGGCAAAACAACGATTGTCGAATCAAGTAGTTCGAAAATGATAAATGATAATTGAACCTGCAACAACATTGGGGTCGTCGCTCCAAACAGCCATCTTGTCCGCTGGTCTGTCATAAAACTCGTCTCGATTTGAAGCCAATATAAAACTATAGTCGCTGTCCTCATCGACTACGCCGTTGTACGTGAATAAAATACACATTTTCCTGAAAATATTAAATATTCATTGATTATAGGAGATAGAGCAATATCAAGCTGAAGTGGAAATGTACAGCACAAAGACGACAGCTGATAGGGATGAAAGGTTCTTGAGTGGCAATTTCATACAGGCAAACGTAGTGTAGGACGGCCCCCATTAGATGGAACGACGATTTAAATGCATTACAGGAAGTCAGTGGATGCAGGTGACCTGGGATCGTTCCTTAAGGTAGTCTGTGATGATGATAGAATATCTCTTATCAGCCTATATGTTTTTTTATCATAGAACAAAAGAAAGAATTTGAAATTTTACTATTTTATATACACGATATGTCACGACCGTTACTTATAAAAAAAGATTATAGTTCTTATTTATTATTTTCCACCGATTTCAAAAAAGGAATGGGTAAAATCTAAAATAACCTAAATTTAAAAAAATCTCATTTATTTTTTATGTTTGTTACTCTATAATTTCATAATTTATAAACCGATTTGATCTTTTCTGTGAAATTTGTGAAAGGATATACTTTCTGATTGGTCCTATAGAAATTTTACGAAAATCGGTTAAGTAATTTAGTTGTTAATGTTTTTTTTTAACCAAATCATTAGCGTATTTCAGATTGTTTTCCAAGGGGCCTGCAATGACCTGCGGATTAAGGTTAGATTAGATAAGACATTGAGATTAGATTCAAAAGTACAAACTCTTGATTCCAATCTATTGCCAATGACAATTTTATACTGCATTCATGAAACAACAGTTACGAATTAGGCTATAATTGGGATCAGTTCACAATAGTCTGCACTGGCAAATTATACGAATATGCATCGATCAGAACAATATGGAACCATTATGTCGTTAATATTGCAATTAGAGAGTACGAAATGTTTCAATTTGAATATCGCTTTATTAGAAATTATTTCAAGAGCAACCTTACTGTGCCTTTAAAAAAGGTAAGTATATATTCTAAGACATGTCTTTGTGAAGTTACGCTCGCATCTTGGGGGACCAGACGATTTTGCGGTAGGCACGGCCCAGCCACCCTCTAAATACGCCTATGAACAAAATCTTAAATTATTTCTGTGTACGATCTGAACGGTTTCATACTGAGATGTTATGTATTTTTTACAAGGTATTTTGTATTTCAAGAAATCGAATTCAATACAAAAGACACATAGCATTAAAATTACCTTAATTTTATTAAGTGGATGTTGTCTAATCCCAAATGGTGGCGAGTCGAGCGATAGTCCCAACAGATAGCGGGGAGGTACTCGAGTACCTATAGGTATTATATTGGTAAACTAAAGAAGAAAAATAATTAGGTTATTGAAGTCAATTACATAACATTACTAAATATAATCTCTAGTTATTATTTAATTTAAATAACGGGTGTTGGTATCTTGACTTATGATATATTGCAAAGTCCACAGTAGTACAAAACTTGCTAACTTGATTATCTTTAGTATGTTGATAACGAGAAACGTGTAGGCAAGTATATATAATTCTTATTCAAATATACTAGTAATGCCCGCGACCTTGTTTGCAATGCAACAAATCACAGAAGTATGAGTCAGATTCAGGCTTCGTACTATAAAGCGATTTGTAATTAAAAAAGGGTAGCTCTCAATACGATGGTACTTTTTTGTACAAACGGTCAGAATTGAGCAATATGCATGCTTGGCTTTAATTAAATAATAAATTACAAAATACCATCTTTTTTTATGCAAATTGGAATGACAAACAAGCTGCAATACACCCTAGTGCAATTAGTCATGATGGACAAACTGACCTGCTTTTATTGACACCTATCATCCCTCACTGGTGCCCCGCCAGCATATACCGTTAGCGCAGGTGGGGTGACCATTTCATTATCACCCATTAAAAAAAACCCTTTAAAGCGAAACATAATTGTTTCACGGTAGAAATACGAATGGAACAGAGGATCGTATCTCGTGTGTATTTATAATACAAAATACAAAATATTTTTCATGACATATTTGAAATATAAAAAAATATAGTTAGGTATTAAGTAATGTAAATAGAATAGAACTAATCCAGCGCAGCTTATTAATCAGTAGAAGAAAAAAATCCTTTTATTAATATAAGATTTTTATGTATATTGTTAGACAAACAGCCTCTTATTTATTTTTCTTTAATTTTCGCGTTTAAACACATATTTTAAATATACTTATCAAGACTCAACGCGACGAAAATTGCAGGTAAATTAATCCTACATACCTAATTTTTATTACCGACGTTTTGATGTGGATTGTAGCACATACACGACAGAAGTAAGCGGCGTTTTCGTCTAGTTGCGTCTTCGTTTGACACTCCGCTCAGTCTCTTCGGTTACCCTCACATTGTTAGTATTATTGTCTAAATCCACCTTACATACCGTACTCACCGTATCTACACTACTTTAAAATAAATTATCGCCTGTTTTAACTATATTAATCACTGGGTTCTATGCTGTTGAAAGCCTATATCCATCTTTATTATTGATTTTTTTTTTATTTCAATTGCTTCATGTACTATCCGAGGATAAAAATAACGCTCGGTTGATAGAAGTACTATTTACCTGCAATTTTTGTCATTTTAAGTCCGATTTACCTGTAACTGACAACCACAACGGCGTTTAGGGGAAGCGATGTGGAGATCGACCTAAGGTGAGTAATAATAAGTGATAATGGCATTGAACCCCGCCTGCGTTAATGAGGGATGATATGTGAGAATGAAATGTCTGTTATAATATAGGTCTACCCCTATAAGGGGGATTTTGCCAGTAGTCGCCATGATTGGCATCTCTCGATCATTAAGTTTCCTTAGTCTCCTCTTACGACACCCACAGGAAAAAAGGGATGGTTCATTCTATGCCGGGATTACACGGCAAAAAGTAATCGTGTTTATTAAATACTAATTTATAGATAGATAATCAAACTACGTAAGTAGATGCTATTCTTTATCTGTGGAAAAAAACAATGTGCATAGGTAACTTTTTGGTGGCAACAATCACACATGGCATTTATGTCCTACCTGAATGTTTTTTATTCATAAACTGCAATTTAAGCTATTTAACACAATGACGTGCACTAATTTCTACTTTCAATCAACACCTTCAACGCAAATTATAGGAATAGGTTTAAAATCATAAAACAAATTCTATGAATAGATAAGGCAGTGATGACAACTGTCTAATATCACAAGGTCACAACTGGTAAAATAAAAAAAATGTTTATTTTTCAAAGCAACATGTTATAGATGTTAATAATCTTGTGACTCTTAATTTATTCTAAGGAGGATTGACGTCGGGTAGATAGCCGGCCATAAAACTGAAAGCATCTTGAGCAATATGTATATAGTTGAATTCAAAAATATAATTAGAATAAAGGTTAAAAACGATAATTCTTAATCTATGACTCTGTTTCAATCGCAGGTAGTATATTTAATCTATGTTCACAGATTAGAGAGATACTTGTCACATGTCACTTTTTGTGTGTATTAATAAATAGTCTTAATCTATTCTTCTATTCTATCTAAATTTAATTTATACGTATTTTGTTTTGTGGATTGTCGTATTTGATCGAAGATGTATATATCACAAGTTTTAAATATTAACCATTTTATATAGTTTGGTTGTGTTAGAAAATATTTATCTCTAAATAATACGTTCCCTATATCATGGAGGCCAATTTACCTTTTTACAGTGTGCTAGTAAGTAATTCTTGCGTTGTTCTAAACAATAAATAATTGCCTGTAATTTTAATTTTGTTTTCTTTTTGTTTACTTATAACAGTGTGCGGATGGGGAGTCTTCTGAATTGCAACATGGCCTCCAGGCCAGTGGGTCACTTTTGGGCACAGATGATGTCTTGGCGCAGTTGTTACCAGGAGATGAGCCTTTGGAAGAGCCAGACTTAAACGGGCCCACAACTTTACACTGTGAAATTTGTGGGAAGCGGTTTGACAATGCAACAAAATATTATGGACACCTGAAGGCACATTCTAAAGGAAATCAATGGGTTTGTGGTATGTTATATTGGATTAAAGACTACAGCTAATTATAATCAGTAAATTTATTTTCCTTCACTTTTTATTTTGATAACTTGACAGTGAATATTAAGAATTGCAATATCAACAAGTTATGTAAACATTGGTTGTATGGTGATGGAAATTTACATTGACAACTTTTATGGAATTTTTTTTTGATGGATGAAAATGGTATGGTATGCTGCCTGCGCTATCGGGATACGCTGGCGGAGCACCAGTGAAGGGTGATAGATGAGAATGAAAACAGGCCAGTTAGTCCATCATGATGAATTCATCAGGAATTAACCATGATAGTTTCCAGAGAGAACCGCAAGGAGGTCGACCTGGTTGGGTATATTGCTAGCAATGGGATTCTCAGTCTCCATTACTAACAATCCCTTTTCCCCCTATTATAGAATGTTGTAATTCCTACATTACATTTCTATAATTTTCATTATGTGATTTGTTGAAACTTCACTAAGTAACAAATTATATGATACTTGTTGTATCCTGCTACTTTTTTAGTACATATTGTATCCTACATATTAAGTTGGGATAAAATTTCATGTAAATATTTTCTTTTGTACATTGATTTTTAATTAGTATATAATATTACAATATTAAGTTAATTTTATGTAAACTGTACATTAAATATGCTTTAGTAATTCTATATAAATAAGTAAATATATAGTACAATACTTGATTATAATTGTCTTTCAGATAAGTGCCCCAACCAAAAGTTCTCAACTAAACAACACCTCATGAAGCATAGTCTAACCCATAAACCTTTGGAGAGGGTGTGGAAATGTCTGCAGTGTTCAATGGCTTTCGAAGCTCTCTGGAGACTTCAGCAACATCTGTTTGCAAAACACCTTGGTTATAGGTTTGTTTCTATACATAGTTTACTAGCAACACAAGTGAAGAGAAGTTGTAATTGTTTATATTGGCGTTACTCACATTTTAATATTCAGAGATGCTCAACTAATTTTGAACTTGATAGAATAGTCCATCATGAGTGGGGTACACAGTGGCTAGTTGGACATTTCTGAATATAAAAATATGAGTAAAGTCAATACAAATAATAACAATATGGTGGAGAGAAATTCTTATTTATTCACTATATACTTTCAATGTTGTAATATTCACTGATTTTGTTAGGTATTGTTTTTTCTCAATTAATTTGCAGTATAAAAAACAGGCTTACCACTCATCTGGTGATAAACAGCAACTGGCTACAGCCTATGAACACCTGCAACATCAGGGGTATCAAATTCACATAGCTGTAATTAATTTTAAATTCTTATTTTTCAGACCACATAAATGTGACAAATGTGATAAATCATTCCACAAACTGTCTGATTTAAAAAAGCATAAAGATGTACATGATAGTAAGTTTTACATAATATTTTATAATGACTGCAAAGTATTTTTGTTATATAATAAACAAACTGTGGACAGTTTGTTTAGTAGTAACCATAGCCTATTATGTGTAATCTGTCTTATACTTGGCACATTTAATTGCATACAAATTTGACATGAATATTCATAACATGTTATTATAAAAAAAAAGCAGAGAAAAATATTTTTGTTTTAAATAATATGTATTTTTATCCATACCTTATTTTTAAAACAAATATGAAATTTATTATATATTATTATAATATTATTTAAGTCTACTTATTATAAAACTTATATTGGCTGATAGACAAAAATTCACACCTTAATCTGGAGAATTTAGTCTAGAAGCATTAATTTTTTTTGGTTCAAGTCCCATAAACAAGATCAAAGTAGCATTACTTGTATCTGATAGAAGTAGTGAGATTAAATTTAGATATAAAAATATTTACTAAATACTTATTTATATGTTTAAAGTTTCATATTTTATTTATTTAAGATATCAAGAGGCATGCATGTAAGTACTGTGATATGCATTTCAAAGATAAGTCCAACTTGAAACGCCATATACTCACTCACACTAATGAAAAACCATACTGCTGTCCAGGATGTGGAAATAAGTTTAAACAGGTAGGTACATGTATACTTTATGTACTCATTTTGAAGATCACATATTCAAATTCTAAATAATAGGAGTTTCCCATTGGGAATGTCTTATATAAGCACTGGCTAATGTGTAAAGTATGTATTCTTGTAGCACTCAATCACTCTGGCCAGAATAACATCTACAGATAAACTTTTTAATGATCTATCCACTTTAGTACACAACACTGCAAAATAATATAATGCCAAAATTTGTTTGACCCACCATGAATAATGGGAAAGGCTCATTTATTATTATAACACAAATTAAAAATATCTATAATTGTGATTTAAAATCACTAATAATAGCCATAGTATATGAAAATAAATGTATGTCAACTTTGTTCTCTATACATATATATTAAGAACAAAAATTGTTCATGTTGACTGATGAACAAATTTTGTATATTAAGATTTAAAATATTGAAATTAAACACATTCTTACTTCAGTTGGCATCACAAAAACGTCACCTGCAGAAGTGTGCATTAAACAAGTACATCAATGTGGAACCAACCAACAGTGCTACTAGGAAGAATTACTGTCGTGTTTGCGGTATGGCATTTCAATATAAAAGCAGTTTATTGGAACATTGTGTTCGGTGAGTTTGGTTACTTAAAATTGTTCTGGCTTTCTTCTTATCGAAGATACTCCTTCAACATATGGAATATGCATGTAATGTACAAAGATTATAATTAATTAATTATTTGATATATTACAGGCAACATAGTAACACAGCAAGTGAGTTACCTAAACAAGAGAAAGTATCCATAATAAACACAGATGCAAATGGAACAGATGACAATATTGTAGATGACATCCTATCCGCTGAGGATGACTATATGAGAATGTCTTCACAAAACATGTATAATAATCAAAATGATGTTGACATCAATGCTGATAACCAAATGCAGATAGAGTTCCTCAAAGAAATGAATCAGTTGCGCATATTGGATGACGAGTTATTCTACAATGACATAGACATTGATAGTTTTCAAAGTAATCAAATATTCAATATGAACATGAGTCTTGTGGATTATGGTGCTAATGATAAGAATGGAGAGGTGCTGTTTGATTACATAGAAAGTGGTAGAAGTATAGACCAAGATTTAATGAATGCATTCTACCAAGTTAAAGAACATTTACCAGATGAATTTTTGAATGCAACTGACACAAATATGTTTCCCAGTAAAAGTGATTTACCAGTGAATCCTGCTGTTTCTGTTAACGAATGTGCAACTATATTTGAGAGTGATGTGGATCTAGAAGCAAGCACTAATCTAGCGGCAAATTTGAATCAATTAATAGGTGAAAATAATGTACAATATATATCAACAGAGGATGATGACACTTTTATAATAAGTTTGAACAGTGAAGTGGATGCTGAGCAGTTAACTGATATGCTGAACATTGGTGTGGAACTTGATGGTGACAATAATAATAGTGAAGCAGAAACAACTACAGACTTCACAATTAAAGAGGAAAAACCAATTGTGGTCAAAATAGAAGAACCCAATATAACCACTGAAGTTGCTGCAGTGACTGTAAAAAGTGACAAGGTAGATAATAAAAAAACCAAAGCCAAAGGGAAGAAGTGGATGTTGTTTGTATGTGGGACATGTAACAAAATATTTAATAAGAAAGACAACTATAAGTCACATTTGGGTGAGTATAATTTGTTAATTTCAGCTGTCCTGAAGGTGTAATTCAAGTCAATCTTAATCACATGTGTAAAGTTTTACATAGCATTTACATGATAAAATTAGTAGCATGATACCACTTTTCTTATAAAAAGGTATAGTGTACAAACTGTATGGTGTCTTTTGACACTATCATACTGGGATCAAATTGAAATAAAAAAATCACTCTACTGTTTTTGATTCATAAAACTAATGCATGTGGTAGATTTATATGCAACAAATTTTATGATTAATGTTTTATTTTGGTATTAATAATAAATAATTAATGCACTTTTTCAATAATCAATCAGGAACATTGAAAATTAAACTTCAGAATTACCCTTCTTATTAATATATAATAACGTCAAATCTTTTATAAACCAATTTGAGCTAATGAAGTGTTTCACTTTTTTTTTGCGCTAGTTTCTCAATTTGAAAGGTAGTGACAATAACACAGAGAGTTCATTAATTTCTCGTATGTATATAGACATACTTAAAATAGGTTTGTAGAACGTTTTGGTTTTTATGAATAAAGCGGTAAAAGTTTGCAGTGTTTTAAAATGTCTTAGAAATGTTAAAAAGCCAATATAGTATAATAGTTGCAAATTTGAGTTTAGAGCTAAGGGTGTGATAACTGGCGTATCACACCCTTAGCTCTGATGCTAACCAAGCGTTCTGAAGGTAAAGTGGGTTACATAGCTAGCCACTATCGAAACCAAATTTCGTGTAAATGACGTAAATGCCTAACTAGGTAATAGTGGGGGGAAGGGATTGTTAGTAATGCGGGCTACCAGTCCCAATATACCCTGTCAGGCAGACCTTCATACGGTTTCCCCTGCATCATTATCCACCGATCATCCCTCACTGGTGACCCGCCAGCATATACCGTTAGCGCAAGCGGGGTTACCACTCCATTATCATCCATTAAAAAAAGAAAAAAACTAGGTAATAATCGTCTTCGTAATTGGTGTGCACTGACTGTTGTTATTGTTGGGTGTGTGCAGCGCTGCACGGCGGCGCGCGGCGGCACGTGTGCGGCGTGTGCGGCGCGCGGTTCGGCTACCGCTCCACGCTCACCAAGCACGAGGCCGCCGCCCACCGGCCGCGAGTGCTGCCCGCGCACCCTTGCCAGCGTTGCGGCCGCCACTTCAGCGCCAACTGGATGGTTAGTACATGATGCATTTTTTAAAATCTCATCTGCTATTTTTGTTAAACTTTTAATTTTTTTTGACATATATGTTCAATAGGAACCCTAAATCTATACGAGCATTAAAAGGAAATGAAGCTCTTGAAAGCTCCCTTTATGGGCAAAAATTTCATACATCATTCATCAGTACACACACTTACGACATCTATAAATATATGCGTAACGGAAGTGATATTGATACTACACTGTCGCTACTGTTACGCGCCATTTCATCTATTAATTTTATTTACACGATTTACATAAATTTTCAAGGTTGCCTGAAAGAAATCCTTTTAAGGGATATGTAAGTGTACATTTTTGTTATAACTTAATAACAATGTTATAAGTGAATCTGGAAAAGCATATAAATAAATAAATGACAAACAAATGTAATCAATTTATTAAAGGAGCCTTTATTCATATGACTTTATTTTTTATGGTTATTTTAGGTTATATCACTATTATTTATTTATATATTAAATATACATTTCAGCTGAAAGTGCACATAGAGCGTGACCACGAGAAACTAACACCACACGTCTGTGATGAAAAGGACTGTGGCAGGAAATTTTACAAGAAATCGGATCTCGTCGTCCACCAAAGGTAACAATAATAATAATAATAAGGGTAATAAAAGTAAAGTAAATTATCATCACATATAAGTAATTTTATCATTATTATTTCAACCGTTAACTGTCTACTGTTAGAAATAAGCCATCCCCATAAGGGGAGTTTTACCAGTAGTTGCCACGCTTGACAGGCAGGTTGGCAACCGTAGTTAGGCTTTTAGAGATATTTTAAGAGAGACACTGCTGTCCACCCCTTGTCCTTTCTTAGTCGCTTTTTACAACACCTATGGGAAAGGAAGGGGTGCTCATTCTATGCCGGAGCGCAAACGGCGAAGTAACAACAGCATATAATAAAGCCCATTAATATACTACTTCTGGGTACAGGCCTCCCCTTATTAAAAGGACTAGATTAAAAGGAGAGATTACTTATTTGTCACGTTAAAAGTATTGTTTGTATTGCCCGTTCAAATTAAATAGCTATGGCAACATTTGTTTATTTGGTCGTTTGTTCATTGACAATATTTCATAATACGCTCGTAGCATTTCTATGGCGTTTCCTTTCTATGGTCTAAGTAAATATAGTGACGACATCTATTAACACGTCTGTGATTTATTGCGTGGACTCGGCTTAAATAGAGCACGAATGTGTACAACACGAGGTATTACCCGCAGGTACCACACGGGCGAGCGTCCGTACTCTTGCGAGATCTGCCGCGCTTCGTTCCCGCACGTGTCGCACCTCCGCCGACACCAGCGCTCCGTCGACTGCACCAAGCAGTGAGTACCTACTGCTTACTAGCTTTAATATGATTTTGGGTGGTTAAAGTATTAGTAACAGGGAGTAGCAGCCCCAATGCTAGCTATATATTTTTGTCAAATGTGAGGTACGCAGAGAAAACACCGAATTTTAAAGACTAGAGATATATGTGTACCCATTTTCAACTAACTTTAAGAAAGGAGGAGGTTTTGAATTCGGTTGTAATTTTGTTTAGTTTGCTATCTCAGGACTCAGAATAAACCGATTTGGAATATTTTTTTTATCTGAAAGGATATACCTTGGTTTTATCAGAATCGGTTAGTTTAGTTTTTAATATAACTGGTTTTGTCACGATTCAAGTCGGTGTTATTTTAGTGGAACAAAATTTTGAGATCCGATTCCGGAGATGATGCAATAAATCAAGATAATTTAAATAATTTATACTAATATTATCTTTTAACATTGGATTTTTAATTTTCAGTGCTCGTAAACGTTAAGAACTACACAGTATTACAAGTTCTACCTCAATATAGGTAGCCACAGGAAAACTCGATACTTCTGTGATAATAAATTTATTATTTTAGTGTAGTGAATTAAACATATGGAAATCAAATAAAAGAATTATGTACAAAGATTATAGTATATTTGATTAATAACCCTTTATTATACAATTTTACTTTGTAGATTCTATAATTAATTTACAATTCTATAATTAAAATTAACAAATAAAAAATATGTTTTTGCGAGACATTATGAATAATTATTTATAAAACCTGGCCTCTTACAAACGCCTACTTAACGACAATTAAATAAAACCTTATTACACTATCAAACATTCCAAATTATCAATTGACTAGTATAAAATTTCAAATATTACTAAAATGTTTTAAAGTATCTAGTACTAGCTTTTGTTCACGGCTTCGCTCGCGTGTGTAATTGATTATTCAGGGGAGTAAGCTTTTGGCTTTTGAAAACTTATTAATTTTAGTTCGGAACCTAAAGCTTTAATCTAAAATTTCACGTATCTAAACTGATTGAATTCCATATAAGTTTTCAACTCCTGTTTTACTTTCTTAGGAATATTTCAAGAATCTTGATTCAACAGTTTCGGCTGTGCGTTGACATATGGGTTAATCAGTCAGTCAATTAGCATCCTTATATATAGATAATATCTTTTATAGGGGGAAAGGTATTGTTAGTAATGGGGTTTGACAGCCCTATTGCTAGCAATATGCCCTACCAGATCGACCTCCACGTGGTTTCCCCTGGAAACCATCGTGGCTAATTCTTGTTGAATTCTGCACGATGGGATAACTGACCTGCTTCATCCTCACTCATCATCACTCACTGGTGCCCCGCCAGTGTATACCGATAGCGCAGGCATTATCATTCTATAATGATCCATTAAAAATATTTTAAATAAACAGATTTAGAAATCAACTAATGAGATCATTTTTCCAGTCTAAAAACATAGTGTAATAAGGTCCTAAAATAAGGCTTGAGCATGGAGAGTAGCGACCGAAGTTACAAAGTATTGCATCGAACTTTACAATTATTTGCAGTATTTATTAGGTCGTATCGTTGAATGTAGTTGATTCATTCGAATGACGTTTACATTATAAAAGCTTATTTATCAAGGAAAATATACAATTTCAAAAAATATATACTTATTATGTACTGCATAACTGTAACTAGTGTAGTCTTATTAAACAAAAGTATAGTAGTATACATAGAAAGACTGTACAAAAGTCGATTTTGCTTGGGTACCTCTGTCCCATTCGTGTTTCAACCGTGAAGCAGTTGTGTTTGCATGGCCGTGTTTCGGTTTGAAGGATGGGATATGGCGTGAATTTACTGCGTACAGAGGAATAACACCTGAGTCCTTAAGAATGGCAACGTATGGGGGGTATCATGGGTGAAACAGTATACTCTGTTATGTCCACGGTACTGCTCATGTCTATAGGCGACGGTTACCACTTTCCATCAAGTGGACCGTCAGCTTGTTTGCCATTCTAAGTTGTATAAAAAAAAATACAATAAAAAGATAATTCTCATATAATTCATGTTTGTAATATAAATTGTATATCAATGATCCAATAATACGTGACGATAACAATTGTTAGTAATGGGTACTGCCAGCCCCATTGCTAGAAATATACCGATGGTGCAGACGAAGTTACCATTCCATTATCATCTAACAAGAAAAAAAAATCCATTATTCGTATAAAAATCATAATCGGATTTGATTCGTATAGTCCGCCGATGTAAATGTACTATTCCATTAATGTTACGCCCTCATCGTGAAAGACCTATTAAACTCTGCGGGTTATGCAAAGTAAATCTTATTATGATTTTCGTAAGGTAAGATTTTTAACCTCCCAGTTCGTACAATGGTAAACATTGTCACGCCTTTTCGCTCTCCGAGATCTTCATATATTGCATGAATGACTCCAGACTGTTGGGGCTGTTGACTAGACTGTTGAACGTATGATGATTGTTACCCAACTGTAAGTATAAAACAAAACATTTTTCTTAGAAAAAAAGGGTGTTATTTTTACGTGTCGCCAATAACATTATTACAATAAAAAAAAAGTATATCAATGCTACCTATGTTGTCACAATAATTTTTTGTTTTTTAAGTTACTCAAAAAGCATTCATTGTTAAATTAACTTAATGAATATGTAAAGAAACTAATAATTATCCGTTTCTTTATATTTCGGGGCAATTGCCCCGATTAACCAGAGGGTAACTTTGTACAAAAGTCGATTGCTTGGGTACCTATGTCCCATTCGTGTTTCATGTGTGTTGAAGGGTGGGATATGGTATGAATTTACTGGGTACAGAGGAATAACATCTGAGTCCTCAGGAATGGCAACGCATAGGGGGTATCATGGGCAAAACAGTATACTCTGTTATGTCCATGGTACTGCTCATGTCTATAGGCGACGGTTACCATATTCCATCAGGTGGGCCGTCAGTTTGTTTGCCATTCTAAATTGTATATAAAAAAAGGCGTCCAAAGGTTAACAGTAACCGTTTACTATCAAACGGACTGTTTACTATGTTCATGATTTAAAAAAAAACCTAGTGTATTTGTGATAATTTCGACATAATTTGGTGATATTTCCGTAAGTTCTATCGTGACAGAGTGTACTCACAAGGTTCCTCACCCACCCGGAGAGGTGCTTGGTGTAGCAGGGCTGCCGGAAGCGAGCGTCTATGAGCAGCACGGCGCCCCAGTCGGCGCGGTGGCGGACGCAACGACCGACCGCTTGGTTCAACGCCCTGCGACCGACAAACTTATTTTACTATTATAATATAATGAGGGAAAAGGAATTGGTCTACCAACCCATTGCTAGCAACATATCCTATCAGGTCAACCTCCACGCGGTTCCCTCTGGAAACCATCGTGGTTAATTCTTATTGAATTGGTCACGATGGGCTAACTGATTTACTTTCATTCTCACCTATCATCTCTTACTGGTGCCCCGCCAGCGTATACCGATAGCGCAGGCAGGGTTACCATTCCATTATCATTCATAAAAAAATATAATAAAATTGTGACGATGTCTGTCAATAGGAGATACTTAAGAAAAAACGATATTAGGGGCCTTAATATGATCAATAAAAGTCAAAACAATATTTCCAGAATTCTTATCTATTCATATATTTGTTCTGTTATCACGGAAAAACTACTGCATCAAATTGAATGCGGTTGTTTTCCAGAAAGTGTAACTTAAAATCTGGTGTATGTTTTACCTTGATACGTCATATAGAATTTAGCTAGTACTTGCTTTCAAATTGTCCGCGTACGAAGTAGCAGACACAGTCTAACATTTTAATAAAATTTACTATAAAATGAAGGAAATTTGAAGTAATTATGGCAGGCAAAGCGAGTTGTTAAAAGAAAAATAGACAATCGGCACCATTTGGTACGCAAAGGAATAACAGTGCCCAACACACGTTTTCCTATTGATTTTTTTTATTGTAATAGCTAGTGTAATAATTTTCAACCGACTTCAAAAAATGAAAAGGTTCTCAATTCGCTTATTTTTTTTTAATCCAAAAGACTTTCAGATTATTTTATAGAAATTTTATCAAATCGGTACAGTAGTTTAGTTTTTAAATTCAAATAATTGATTCTGCCACAATTGAAATAGGTATTTTTTATGTAGAACAATCTCTACTTAAAATTATCATCATAAAGTATGTGACATATATGTATATATGGTTACATGCATGTCGGTGTCACGAATTCATCAAATTTTATCTATCCAAAAATCGCCCAACGCGATAATGAAGTTTTTATTTCAATAAAAAATACTGTACCTGTAAGCTTGTACCAGAAGCCAGTCACTTCTCGGCAAGAGACCTCTCTCTTTGGTATACTTGTCGTTGTACATCAATTTCGCTTTTACTGCCATGTCGTAAGTATTCGGATACGGGATACCGATCTGCGTACAAAGACTTATTAGACATTTTTTTTAATGGATGTTAATGAAATGGCAGCCCCACCTGCGCTATCGGTATACGCTGACGGGGCACCAGTGAAGGATGACATGTGAGGACGATGGCAGGTCAGTTGTCCCATAGTGACCAATTGAACAAGAATTAATCACTATGGTTTCCAGGGGGAACCGCGTGGAGGTCGACCTGATAGGAGGGTGTATTGCTAGTAATGAGGATGTTAAATAACAATCCCTACTACTAACAATCCCTTTCCGCCCGAAAGGGCAGGTCAGTTTGCCTGTCGCGATCAATATACACTGGGAATTAAGCACGATAGTTTCCAGGGGGAAACCACGTGGAGGTCGACCTGATACGATATATTGCTAGTAATGGAACTGATAGTCCGCATTACTAACAATCCCTTCCCCCCATTCTTATTAGGCATTATAACGGAGCGGTGGACTGTGATGAGGTAAAATATTATGTGTATGAGTTTGCATCGGCAAGTCGCCAACAGGTATACTAGGTCAAATTACCACAGATGAATTGACAATAAACTTTAATAAAATAATATTAATAATTAAAATTTAAAATGACTAAAATTATAATAATTATTTATTTAACTTTTTATTGCATCAAAAACGTATAAATATACAATGACAATTAGAAAATTCAAGTAAAATACAGTAGCATTAAGTACAAATTGAAATATATATTAAAAGCTATAGCTTTTTGTTGTTTCTGCCCATTAATCTGTGATTGTAGTGAAACATATGTATGTATATTTGCATACCGTTACTACTGCCCTGGCCTGATGGTCTTTGAAGTCCATTCCTTCAGAGACCTTCCCGCGGAACACCGCAAACAATATGGCACCTTTAGTAGTCGCTGCGTATTTGTAGTAATCCTGAAATTTTGATACCATTGTCATCATGAAACTGCCCACTACTTCACATAGGCCTTCTTCATATATATTAAGTCAATCGCAGCAAAGTATGGTGCCGTGTGGTTCCGACATAGAATGGGCCACTTATTCCTTTCCTATGGGTGTCCTAAGAGGCGACTAAGTGAACTTAATGGTCGAGGGATGGGCAGCAGCGTCCCTCTTAAAATGTCACCAGGACCTAACTGCGTTTGTCAACCCGTCTGCTAAGTTTGCAACTACTGGCAAACCTCTACTGCCGTTGCATATAGACATGAACATAACAGGGTATATTGTGTCGTCCATGGTACCATTCATGCGTTGCCATTCCTGAGGGCTAAGGTGTCTTGTACCTTGTAATTTCACTGTTACATTTTTTTTCATCCAAACTGAAACAGCCATACAAACAACTGTTTCACAGCAGAAACACGAATGGGACAGAAATACCTAATGAGACGACTTTTGTACAGTCTTCCTTTGATCATATATAAAATGTGGTCAATAAAGAATAAAAGGCGAAGAGTATAGGAAGAGAGATAAAAATGTTTTGTATTTTTTTTTACAACACAGGGGGCAAACGAACATGCGGCTTACCTGATGGTAAGTGATTACCGCCGCCTATGACACCCGCAACACCAGACGCATTGTAGGTGTGCTGTCGGCCTTTTAAAAAGGAATATGCTCTATATAAAGATAAAAATATAATGAAAACTCACATCCATTACATCGTTGTGGTCCCGAACGTTCCTGCTCTCAGTGAATACGTGTTTCAATTGGTCGAGCTCATTCCATATTCCAGTTTCCGTCCACCTATGTAAATAAATAATTGCATTTCACAATATGCAGGTATTTTATTTACTAAACATTTTCAATTAAATTAGTAATAAAAATTACATTAGATTATGTATTGTATTATTAAAAAGAGTAAGAAATAGTGTGATTAGAGAGAAGTGTGGACTGAAAGACGATGTAGTGAAAAAAATCTAAAAGGGAATATTACGTTGGTTTGGCCATTTGAAGAGGATGGATGAAAGAAGAATTACGAAAGAGATTTATCGAGCAAGGTTGAATGGAGGTGTCAGTAGCGGCCGCCCTAGCCGGACGTATGTCGACTAAATAGGCGACGTGCTGAAGAAGGGCCAAATTAAAAGTACCCGTCTATCGTAAATAACCGGCTATCGTGTATGAAAAGATTGATGAATGTGGATGAAGCGAAAGAGGTTTGTTTGAATCGAAGCATTTGGCGTTCTATTGTTTCTGACTACCCTAATGGGAGACAAGCGTGACAGATATGTATGTATGTATTAGAAATATTTAGTTCCACTGTGGGACTAATTTATAAGTATATCCTTTTAGATAAAAAAATAATCTTCAAATCAGTTTTATAATTGACGAAAATTTACCAGAGGGAGACTTTGTACAAAAGTCGATTGCTTGGGTACCTCTGTTCTATTCGTGTTTCAACCGTGAAGCAGTTGTGTTTGCATGGCTGTGTTTCGGTTTGAAGGGTGGGATATGGCGTGAATTTACTGGGTACAGAGGAATAACACCTAAGTCCTTAGGAATGGCAACGCAACAATATACTCTGTTATGTCCATGGTACTGCTCATGTTTATAGGTGACGGTTACCACTTTCCATCAGGTGGGTCGTCAGCTTGTTTGCCGTAGAATGGCATGTTGTATAAAGAAAAAAATAAAGTAAGTTGAATATCTTCCACAAAATCACAGTACGTTCTGTAATGTCCATGATGCTGATCATGTCAATACACTTTCCACCAGTTTAATTTAACCACGTGTTTAGCATTCCTAGTTTAAAAACATTACCTCTTGACAAGGCTGTCCATGACTTTGTACGACGGTACGAAGCATAGCACGCCGTTGGGTGTTACGCGGCAGACGAGTAAGATGGCGTCTGCTAACGCATCCTGCACAGCCGGCTGCGAGGTGTCATTGCTGCGGCACTGCAGCTCCCTTCCGCGGCTGCACGAGCCCAGCGAGCCCACCCATACCTGAAATAACATATTTGAAATCCTACGTTACATATGTTATTTACATACGTATAGAATGGTACAAGTAGTATTTAGTAAAAAATCGTCATACGGATTTGATTATGAGTCATCGGCGACGCTCAGTTAATAGTGAAAAGAAATCGCAGTCAGTCAGTTATAGAAACAAAAACTACTCGACGGATTTTAACGAAATTTGGTACAATTATTCTTCATACTTCTGGGCAGGTTATAGCATACTTTTCATCACGCTACGATCAATAGGAGCAGAGCCCCTTTAATGGCCCCTTTTTAAAATGTAAAATTGTTCACCCGTGCGAAGCCGGGACGGGTCGCTAGTTGTATATAATATATTGTTTATAAACATAATGTTAAGAACAATTAATTTTAAACGAAATGTACAAAGGCGAGCTTATCTCTAATAAGAGATTTCTTCCAGAAAACCTTTTCATGGGAATTATTATTAGAATTGTATCTAGACGATATTTTTACACGGGAGATATTTAAGAAAAAATTATATGACGGGTCTTAACCCTTCTTTGCATGATTTTTTTTTATTGGTCAAATAAATCAAGGTGATATAATTCATGTTCAAAATTAAAGGAAAAATGTTTTTTTTTGATGGGTGGGACAGAGGTACCCAAGCAATTGACTTTTGTACAAAGTCTCCCTCTGGTGTAAGTGATATATTTAATTAGTTATGTTACTTATAAAATTTCAATCTCGAATTTACAAAAATGAAATTATTTAGTTCACCGTCTACACTGACGATTCAAGAACTACTTACTCTGTCCTTCGGTATGACGTGCCCGGGGCTGACCTTGAGGGGGAACTCGGTCGCCAGTTCCGAGTACAAGCTGATGAGGGGCGTGAGCGTGCCAGACGCCAGCACCACACACCTGGCCACCTTCAGGTCTTCGAAAATCACCGCCGGATTCATGCACATCAGTCGCAACTCCAATTTCTCTTTTTCTACGTTCTATAACAGAAGTTAGTTTATTATAGTAGGCTCTGTACGCTTTGCTTAGTTTGGGGACTAGATGGCGCGTACTGTGTAATATATGTCTAGTACTATTTATTCATTTACTATATTTTATGCACGATTTGGTCCGCGCGACAGAGATAAAAAGTATCCTATGTCCTTCTTTATCCTATATGGTACGATTGTATAAAATTTCATAATTTGTTAAGACGTTCAGACGCTAAGATGTAACAATTAAACTCACTTTCACATTTATAATATTACTAATGATTAGTGGATGTTTATATTGATTATTTTGTAATTTCTGTCTGTTGTCGCTTCGGGTGAGAATCGTAGAAAAGGCCGTGACAACTTCTATCGGTTAAAATGCGTAACATTATAATTAAAAATTCTTTTTAAATGAACGATTTTGGAAATGTAATAAAAAACACAACTATAGTATTTCCCATATATTCATATCCCCATCTGTCTGGACATAAGGAACATTTACATGACTATATACATTGATAGATACCACTATCAAAATAAATTACGCTTACAAGATTTAAATAGCTACTAGAGACTTATGCTGTATCAAATCGCAGCTTAACTTAGCTAAGACGCTTAAGCTTAATACTCATTTCCCAATCACGAATCAAATAATATTGGAAAAAATATATAGGGTATCTATCGATATATATAGTCGATATATGTAATAATCTTTAATATTACAAAAAAAGTAAAAGATCACACAGATATAAGAGAGAATTGGCAGCCTTATTGCTTTGTTTGCCTTATTGCTAAGAGCTTTGTTTTAGGCAATGAATGGCGAGGAGTAATTATTTTTTAATCAGTTTTGTTGCCACGATATTCGATTTTTTAAACATATATGGTAATTATAAATAATGTCAATGTATAATTTTATTACTGATAAATATAAATAATTATATACTACAAATATAATTATACACCTGCGCATTTTTCAATAAGGCATATACTATACAAGATGGGTCTATCTTCGGACACACTGTGCACACTGTGCGGGGAGAAATTGGAATCCATGGAGCACTTGATGTGCAACTGTGATTCGTTATGCATGCGCATGAGTCTACTGGGAACGGCTTATCCAGAGCCAGGGGACTACAGATATCTTAAACCGCGGGATATCGTTAAGGTAACACGAAGGATCTATGAAATGATGGTATAAGGCAGGGGGAAGCACAAAAAATCCCGATGGGTTGACGTGCAACGGCTTAGCTGACCCCATATGCGAATATAAGATAAGATATACCTGCGCATACTGCGAGCGTCGCCAGTGCTTGGCGCCATAAGACGAGTTCATCGCCACAGTCTTCACTAGAGCTGGTGTGAAGTCATCCAGATACTTTCCAGATGAACGAAAGAGATATCCTATTGAAAACAATTAATTATTTATCTTCTATTTAAAAACAAAATCACATTAAAAAACCAGGGTATAAATTGGATTTTTTAAATATTCCTATCTTTTCGTAAGTTAGAAAAGTAAGTATGTAAAATAGGTACTGCGAAGGTCAGATGGAATAAAAATTTCGTTAAAGTTATTTCCTTCATCTGAGGCATTATTGTCCAATGATGAATATAGGGATTTTTATGCAACTTAGAATGGCAAACAAGCTAATGGCGCACCTGATGGAAAGTGGTAACCGTTGCTTATACACATAAGCAGTACCATGGACATAACAGAGTATACTGTTTCGCCCATGATACCACCCATGCGCTGCCATTCCTGAGGACTCATGTATTATTCCTCTGTACCTTGTAAATTCACTGCCATATCCCACCCTTTAAATCGGAACACAGCCATGCAAACACAACTGCTTCACGGTAGAAACATAAATAGGACAGAGGTGCCCAAGCAAACGACTTTTGTACAAAGTCTCTCTCCCACAGGCTGCCATAAGGGACAGTCCTGAGCCACCTGAGACACCTAAAGTCACCTATTTGTAAGTTGTTTGTATTTATTAACTGACCTAGTCCCATCAGTATGGACTCAACGAGGGTACCGGTGGCCTGAGTGACGCCTGGTAGCGTGCGATGATCATCCCGCAAACGTTGGCAGAAAGTATCCGCGCTAGTTTGGAACCCTGGAAGTATTGTATAAACGATAAATAAGCTAATAGCTGACGTTATTTTAGTATATATATAAATACATATATACTGGTACGTATATTTGTAAATGTATATGAGATTTATATGTATATAGGATAAACTATATGTATAAAGATGTATATATATGTCTAAATAGAATATATAGCTAGTTTGTATATTAATTAATAAGATTTGTAAGTAGAAGAGGGTCCATAACTTCGCGACACAGGAAATTCTAGTGTTAACTCTTGGGAACAAATGTATAATTGTTATATTAATTGTGTCTTTTTGATTTCAATAATAATAATAATTTATTTATTTATACTTTTGCACACATTGAAAAATGTCTATAGGGTTGACTTAATGGTTGATGGCATTCTCTACCAGTCAACTGCCACGCCAAACAGAGAGAGCAAATGGCGGTGCACAGATTTAAAAAATAGTAAATTAAATAAATATTTAATATATATATATATATATATATATACACATATATATACATATATACACACACACAAACACACACACACACACACACATATATATATATATATATATATATATATATATATATATATATATATATATATATATATATATATATATATATATATATATATTACCTTCCCTACTATATTTATATTCAATGGGATGAAAATGGAAGTACGTTTGCGATATCGAGGTACCCGTTGGGTTGAGAGATTTGTTAATTATTTAGTTAATTTTATTATTTAATTATTAAGGTTTAGTTCCATTGCTAGTAACTTATTATTTTTATTTTTATTCATACCTGCGAACTGTTTTTGTCCTATGCTGTGGTTGTCGAGTGTCTGCACGAAGTGTTCCGCCTGCCATGTGTGAACCACCTCATTGTTGACCACCGGTTTGTCCGCCAGTAATTGTAGATGATTTGCGAACCTGTGTTTAAAACACATTTTACAGGACTGGCGAAGGAAAAGGCGTACATGGAAAAGAGTCGGTTAGTTAAACAATTTAGGTTAATTTATCGTGAGGACCGCATTATTAGTAAATACTTTTTATACAACTTAGAATGGCAAACAAGCTGACGGCCCACCTGATGGAAAGTGGTAATCGTCGCCTATACAGATGAACAGAATAGAGTATACTGTTTTGCTCAGGATTCTACCCATGCGTTGCCATTCCTGAAGGCTCAGGTGTTATTCCTCTGTACCCTGTAAATTCACGCCATATCCCACCCTTCAAACCGAAACACAGCCATGCAAACGCAACAGCTTCACGGTAGAAACGCGAATGGGACAGAGGTACCCAAGCAATCGACTTTTATACAGTCTCCCTTTGGTACTCTACTCTACTCATGCGTTGCTAACTTGTATTTAACCGAAATTATTATTTCTTCTAAACATGTTTGTCACATGTTACGAAGGGCTGGTGTTTGGTGGTCTATTTGGATAGATAGACAGTACAGACCAATAATCCCAACTTTTTAGGGTCTTCAAAAGTTGATCGATGTAAAACAGCGCGTCATTGTTGCTGTACCGGTGTGCTGACACCTTCTCTAATTCCTAGAAAATAATGTACAGGATGATATAATTTGATAACAAATAATTTAAATAAAAAAAAAAGAAAAATTTTAGTATATTAAAACATAACTATTATTTTGTTGGATCTATTAAATGTTTTAACTTAGTAATAAGCACTCTGGGAAAAAAGTAAATTTAATTAGTAAGAAAGTGCATACTTGCTAATATAAAAAAAAATCTAACATAAATATCCAAAATTATCAAATTTGGAATGAGTAAGATGGAATAGATATTTTAGAATGATATAAAAAAATCGTCCACTTACAACTATAGCCGCTAGTATGTCGTCCCGCGAGAATGTGATAGAGGCAGCGTCACGACAAATGTCCTCGATGTTGTGAGCTTCATCGATAATCACAATATTGTTTTCAAGTTCTATTTGCATCTGAAATAAGGTTTAATTTTGTCTACCAACATTCGACATATGGAAAGCGACAATTGTCTCCTACAGACACGAACACAACCATGGACATAGATTCTATGTATGTGTGTGTAAAGTGGATTCCGCGGAACCTAAGGGTTCTTTACAAAAGTCACCAGGGTTTCGCGAAATTAAGAAGGAATAACGAAAAAAAAAAGTTTCACTTTTAACGTATAATAAAATCGTAACTGATCGCTGTCATTGAAGATATGTAAGAAAAACTATTATAGGGGTGGGTGCCTTATGAACGCAATAGAACGCAAAACAATGATTTTTAGAATTTTTGTCTGTTTGTCTGTACGTTTGTGCACGCTAATCTCAGAAGCGGCTTTCACCAATGCATTGCGAATTGTTCCATTTAACATTTAATGTATATTTAATTTCAATAGGTACATATATGAAAAAGTTATATCAATCTAAAGAATCACATATAAAATGCTATAAAATAATCGATCAGTTGAATTGATCGAAACTTTATAAAGGTATTAGAAACGTAATTATCATTTAAGTATAAAATACAATATAAGACCGGATTCATGAAGAGTTCGAATGAGAATGATATATGGGAACTAAATAGAAGCGGGCTACACCGCGGGAAATGGCTAGTGAGCAAATAAATAACTTACACTGCTCCGGATACTTGGTTCGATCAAGTAATTGTACGGACAGAACACGATGTGGGCGTTACTGGCCATGTGCTTTGCGGCGTAATATGGACATGCGGTCTTCTCTACGCCCGCATTCACCAGGTCTTCCAGGTCGAAAGCCGGCGGCAGAGTGCGATGGTTAAGGGCAGTTCGGTTGTTGTAGTAGGCGCAGTTTGTCTCGCCCTTTGATTTATCGCCAGAATTTTTTACCTGGAAAGTTAAAATTATGGAAAAAAGGATGTGGATGATACAATAATAAAAGACTTTCATCATCTTCCTACCCTTATCCCAATTATTATTTGGGGTCGGCGTAATATGATTTTATCCATATTACAAAAAGATTTGGCTTATAGTTTTACGACCGGCTGCCTGCCTGACCTCAATCCTCTTTGGGAAATACTAATAAATAATAATAAAAGACTTTAAATTGAAAAATTCAGACCCAGGATCTAAGAAGGCTCAATAAAATTAATAGAAGCTGCGGTTCTGGTATAGTAAGAGATGTAGCTTGTATAGAGTTTTTTTAATGGGTGATAATGGAATGATAATCCCGCCTGCGTTATCGGTATACGCTGGCGAGGCATTAGTGAGGAATGGATGATAGGTGATAATGAAAGCAGGTCAGTTAGTTCATTGTGACGAATTCCACTAGAATTAACCGTGATGGTTTCCAAGGGGAACCGCGTGGAAGTCGACCTGATAGGGTATATTGCTGGCAATGGGTCAGTTAGACCTCATTACTAATAATCCCTTTCCCTCCGGTACATAGTTGTAAAAACCTACTTCAAACGTGACACTATAATCATGAACCATATAATCGTCCCTATTTATTAAAAAAGGCAAAATGGGTCGAGGAAAAGAGAAAATATGGCAATAGATTTCTTCAGAGTTGGTAATGCTCGCTTTTGTGTATAGAGGTCTGAAGTACCTCTAGTGTTTTCGATACCTGTAGAGTACAGTAATCGTTTACTACTAAACGCACTATTTTATTGTCCACCATTTTTGTGATATACAAAAATATACACGAATATGAACGAACCTTATCTGTGAAGGTAGCAAAAAATAAACTGACCTTGATGCACCCCCTGCACATGTCGTTCTTATTGCCCCACTGGCTCCTGTCCAACTCTCTGATGCAGCTGTACTCCCTGCTGGAGAGTATGGACATGGCCGCCTCGCCGCAGTACGCGGTTCTCTTGAACTCCTTGATCACCTGCTGGATCTGCTTGTGGGTCCTCGCGCCATAGTATATGGTGGGCACGCTGCAATCAACAATCATGGACGTCCTCAGTTGGAGGCTCTCGACCAGGCTGTATAGGGATCTGAAAACAACCACCGTCTACATCCGCCACCTTTCCACTAAAAACAATATTGCTATCTACTATAATATATAAATATATATCTAAATGACAAACATATACTGTCTTACCACAAAAAAGTTAATTTGCGATAGGTTCAATGAATGTTTACACGTTTGTAAAGCATGTATAATATCTGTTTATGTTTAAACAAAAGAAAGTTTATGTTATTAAAACAAAAGGTGTTTAAAATAATAAATTAATAATAAGTTTTATAACAATATCTACAGATTTTGATAAATAAAAATATAAATAAACATTATTACACTGATTAAACAATATTTAATCAGTTAGATATTTTTTTAAACACTGTTTAGAAATTGTTTTAACTATTTTTTGTAGTAAGACCGGTAATAATGCAATACAGAATAAACTATGTATCTACAACTAATGTAATTCTATATTCAAACGTTAACAGCTATTGGGTAACAATCAATTAAATTTGATCAATTCATCATACGCCCTATTGGTGAGTACGTCTCTCAACATAAGAATTTTAGGTTATTATCACCGTTAGTAGACAGTTAGTTAATTATTATGCTAAATTTATGCTTTCGCCATAAAAATCGTGAAATCTAAGTAGAGGGAATTTAGGGGCGATTCTGAAACACCGTTGTCAATCTTCAAAATGAACTTTTTTATATTTAAAATTAAAATTATAAATATTTCTTAATATTTTTTCGTATTGTACTTTGCTATCTGTTATTTAATTTAATTAATGTATAGTTTAATAATATAATAATAGTTTGTAAGTATAATATAATAATGTATTGATTGACTGACGATATTCTTTAAAGAAGACCTAGGATATTTTTCAAATAGATTTAGAACGAGGGAAAGAGACTGTTAGTATTGAGGCTCTATAGCTTCATTCCTAATAATAATATATAACATTAGGTCGTCCTCGACACTTCCCTGAAAACCATCGTATTTTATTCCTAATAAATTTATTACGATGGACTAATTGACCTGTTTTCATTTTCACCTATCACCCTTTACTAGTGATAGCGCAGGCGAGATTACATACCATTTCTATCCATCGAAGAGATTACACTATTTACAGCGAAAGAATGGCGAGATTTGGTATCAAATTTGGTAAAAATTGGTAGGTTTATGATGGATGGATATTTAGTGAATCAGTATATATATATATACATATATATATATATATATATATATATACATATACATATATATATAAATATATATATATATATATATATATAAATTGTAATAGAATTACAATTTGTTCTTCAAACTACATGCAATAAAAAACAAATCAACAATACATCTGCAAATTATTATCTCAAACGTAATATATAAAGATACAGAATTAAATTTGTATATACAATTTGATATATATAAAATTTAGCAATATAAAATAAATAATAATAATAATGCAAATTAAATATTAAATGAAAATATAATTATATCTACTACATACTGAAAAAAAAGAAGTCAAAATAGAAAACATACCAAGCGGACTTGCAATTTCACTTCAGTAGGTATTTGTAAGACTGCGTATTCATTATATAGGTTCATTTACAACTTGTTTTCACACTCTTATTAATGTTTATTTATTTATAAAAAGTAACCCAAGATTTGTTTATATAAAAAATATATCCATATCGTAGCTAATTCTAAACATATTTTGATAATACTTTTTGCTGTGTTGTATATACGTATGTCGACCAAATAGGCGACGTGCTGAAGAAGGGCCAAATTAAAAATACCCGTAACCGGCGAGCGTGTATGAAAAGATTGATGAATGTGGAAGAAGCGAAAGAGGTTTGTTTGTATCGAAGCATTTGGCGTTCCATTGTTTCTGCCTACCCAAATAGGAAACAGGCGTGACAGATATGTATGTATGTATGATATTCGTGTTCATACATATTAATCAAACAGGATTTAAATTACTACGAGTAGTTTTTTGCAACTACTATCTGAGCAAAATGATTACAGCACGAAAGAAATACTTCGTTGACAAATCTTTCAATTACATTTTTACGCCTAATGTTTGCGTCATCTATCGTTTTTGTACATCTATTAATTAGGTTTTACATTTTTATAAAGGATATTACGTGTGTACGCAAAGAGAAAGAATAAATGAATTTGAATATTTTATTCGTTTGACGTCTGCACGGGCGCTGCCAGAATTACTTTCATCTGCATCTGCATATTATACTATGTATTTTTAACAAACTTGAACAGTCATTTAAAAACTTAAAAAAAAAAAAAATACGAGCATGTATTTTCTTTCCCGATAAAAAGGAAATGCATCCCCTCGCCTCTGCTGCCGGCGCTCATGGCACCCACGTTTGTGTAACTTATATGTCTTATCGGGAGGAAACGGATTGTTAGTAATACTGCTAGCATTATACTCTATTAAGTCGATCTCCACTAGGTTCCTTTTGGAAATCATCGTGATTAATCTTTGTCGAATTCGTTAGGATGGACCAAACGGCCTGTACTTCATCTTCACCTATCACTCCTCACTGGTGCTCCACTATCGTATATCGATAGCGCAGATGAGATTACCATATTATTATCGTTCATTTAATATATGTCTTACCTTACATGCTGCGGTGTTTCAGGATTCCCAGTATTAGTTCCTTTCCCGGGTGTAGATATAACAGGCGTGACAGATGGCGAGCTCTTAGAGCATTCGCCTATCTCGCTGGACTTCAGCCGTTGTCGCTTTGCGTGTATCGTGACTAGAGAGCTGTCCGGCGAATCTGCAGAACAACGGATTTCAATTTTGGTTTTATTTGACACTAACTGTATCTTGCACCTTTGTCTGTGTGAATTCAAACATATACTGTCCTATGTGCTAAGCAATATATAACCTAGACGCGTACAAAATTTCAGTTAAATCCGTTTAATAATTTTTGCTTGAAAGAGCAAGAAACATCCATCCATTCTTATAAATTTTCGATTTTATAATAAAAATAAGATATTCACTAAATAGTTTGGTAATATGTTCAGGGCTTTGAGGCATTTTGGATGCGATGTCGTGTAGTTTTTTGTACACTGCCTAATCGATTGTACTGTAACATTTTATACAACAAAGAATGGCATACAAGCGAAATGCATGTAAGAAGAACGTTTACACGTCCCTTAGTTGCGTCCTATGACACCCATGGAAAAGGAAGGGGTAGCCCATTCTATGCCAGGACCATACGACAATATGGTATCCCTTATGCGCTTCTTATTTCCGGGACTAAGGTATTATGGCTCTGTACCCTGTAATTTCACTGTCATTAGTCAATTTTCAAACTTTCACAGCTATGCAATCTTAATTGCTTTACTGCAGAAATGCAGGTAGGACAGAGGTACGACGTAAATAGATCACATTTATACATAATTAATCTCTCTCTAAATTTATTTATTTATAGGGATACCAACATAAGATACAGTAAAGCACTTTAATACAGTATACTCGTGGATCTCTAACTGTTCTTACATTTAGAGACAATTACAGTATGCTGTGTTTGAGAAACATTAATATATTTAACTAACTACCTACTACTAAATATGTAAAATACATGTATTTGTTAGGCATTATACTTGTATACCCTGAAGCAATACCATTTGACATTTCCGCCATACTGACCGTAGGCATGTTATGAACGTAAACCGGCTATGTTGAATTCGACTGCCACTACGACTATATTCTGTATGCTTATATGAATAATGTTATGCATGGAAATGATATAATCCATTAGTTTGTTTTAAAAACTAATCTCATATATCCTATCAATATTATAAAATTATAAACTATTTATATGACTATTAAATACAATATAATTATTTATCTCTCTTTTCATTTAAGAATTTCCTCTTGTCATTGCAACTAATTCATGCTTCTTCTTCCAGCCAGTTCTATCCCAGGCCATATCCTTAACTTCCCTATATGACATGACACCTAGTGTTTCTTTTAACTGTCCCATGTAGTTATTCTTTGATCTTCCCCTTCCTCTTTTGCCTTCTATTTTTCCTTATGATATGCTCTTAAAAATCGTCATGTCGTATAAAGTGGCTCAGTATTATGCCTCTTCTATTCTCTATTGTTTTAATTAATGTTCGTTTCTCATTCACTCTTTTCAGGACTTCCTCATTCGTTAGTTTTTCTGTCCAGCTTATCCTTTCCATTCTCCTTTATGTCAACATTTCAAATACCTCAAGCATCTTTTATTCCTTTATATTTAATTATTATATTATTTAATATAATTAGTTATGTATAAACTTAAATTTATTAATTACTGTGACAATTTTCAAACAAAAGAACTAGCCGTTCTTTTTGTTTGAAAATTGTCACAATATTGGACACCGCTCTACCTACTTATTTTATTTCCCCCCTCAAGGAAGAGTACGTTTATCTGATATTAAGTTACAGTTTTTTAAGACTATGTGTGATTGGTAATGCTTAATTCTTTTGTATTTTACTTTCCATCCTTTCATTTTTTATACATTACATTATTCACTTTTCATTCATATACTTAGCATGATTTAAATTCTTATTTATTTGTTCCGATTTTCTCTTTATCCCATTGGTGTTTGTGTTTTATGCGATATACATTCTACTGTCTGTGCTTGGCGAGTTCAGACTGTTGGATTTATTCAATGCGCTCTACCTACTGACATTGATGCTCCTTTCCAATAAGTCATATCCTAACTAAGCATATAGGATATTCACGAACATTATTATTATTTTACGTAGGCTAGATATAGCTAGTTGTAAATGCACAATTTGTTAGGTTAACATATAATCTATTCGTGTAACAAATTTCATATAAATTTGTTCAATTACTTAAGTATGATTGTGTAACATTCAAACATTTAAAAGAACGACGTAATCACGTGTAAGATGTACCCATGTTAATTTATTGAAACGTCGAATCTGCTGGACTTGTTGTGGCATACGTTGTTAGCACGCGTTTACGGTGTAGCGACTTCGAATAGAGTTGGTGACATTGCGAGGGGTACATTTCAATACTTTCATTAGGGAGCGGCCGGGACTGCGGATTGCGTCAGCGTAATCCCGGTAATGGCGTCATTGTTACACCGTGCCGCCATCTTGTTCCTCTCTGCATATAAGAGGGAAATGTTTTCTACGCGAATTGTTTTGTTTCCTCTTAAAAATAATATTTAAAAGGCATTGCTTTACTTTTTGTAACAGTGTAGCGCAAAATAATATATATAGCATATTCGTTCTTAAAAGGCCGGCAATACATCTGCAATGTTTCTAAGGTTCCGGTTGCTGATGGGCGGCGGTGGTAATCAATTATCATCAGGTGATCTATATGCTCATTTGCCTCCTATATATATATCTATACATATAATAAAACTGTAGAGGTCGAATGTCTGTACATAAAAAAATGCTAAAAATCGAGTCAGGGGAATGTTAGAAGTGAAACAGAATACATCCAGAGTTTTTCTAATTTTTTGTTACTCTGTCTATTTGTACGGGTTAATCTTCGAAACTAATGGACCGATTTAAATGAAACTTTGCATGGTGATACCTTACTACCCCGGTCAACATTTCAGATAATTTTAATCACGGACACTTACGGAGTTCCGTGGGATAGTTAAAAAACTTTAGTAACTTATACAGTTTAGTACACAACCTACATACTTAAAGTCATTTTGACCTAAGGTAAAGAGTGAGAACGATAGGTCATTTGTTAATTTGGGTCCAGTATTCCCAGAAATAGGTAGGTACATACATCGATACATACTAAACAGAAAAAATATATACCACGCGGACAAAGTCGCGGGTATCAGCTAATCTTATATAAAAATGTTGTCCTATAATTCATGCAATTAGACGGATACTTTAAGTCATCTGCAATCAAACTTCCTGTGTTGATGGACACATGTCAGTGTATTGATGGTGGCAGTTAACAGGGTTTTTGGTAAAGGGTTTACTGAACCGAATCCTAGTGATAGTACTTATGAAATAAATAAGTGGCTATAAGAAGTACAACTGAAATCTAAAAATAATATTTGAATCTTTTATACCAGATCGATGACACGACAGTGCGGTATGCGTGAAAAATAAAAAAAAATTGAAACTGAATATTCATTCCATAGCTTAGTGCTTGGGGCAAGTTTTTCAGTTTCATGAATAATATTTATCACTAGGTTTCGGATTGATTTATTTATAAACGTAACGAGTATTTTTATATTTTTACTATGCTTATCAGTAGGGGTCATCCTATTAGAATCTTGTTTCCCAATAGGACATAGATTTTTCGAGAAGAATCCATATCCAATTGGGAAGCAATATACCAGTAATATGAGTACAAAAAAATCATCTTGTTTTAAAATTAATTTAAGTATACCTTGAGAATCTTCCCGTAATGGCTCCTGACGTTTGCTGCCATAGCCAATAGAGTTTACTTCGTTGGTTTCTGGTTTGTCGTATATACTTTTTTCACCTGTTGATGGAAATAAAACATGTTTAAAAAGGGCGAAGGGGGGGGGGGGGGGAGGTTAAAGACCCACCTGTATACGGATTATAATAGCATTTGCTTTGTATAACCCAATGATATACATGTACTAGGCCGTTAATATTTATACGCCCTCAGTGTAAAAGACCTGTTAAATTCTATGAGTTATTCTATAATGATTTGTGTAAAGTGGGCTTTTTAACTCCTCTGATGTTTAGTAGTAAATTAATTATAGATATGTATAGTATTTTATCGATTATTATCCATGTGATACACAATGCAACACTAAATTGGAATATATGTCACAAAGCTATAAGTCCAAGCAAGGTGGCAAAAAGTAAACCTTTGCAACTGTTGCAAGAAAAAGATTTTTTTGCTAAACGGGCAAGATATATTGGTGGTAAGTAATATGAAATTTATCTTTGTAGGCCACAGGTTCTTCTACGCTGCATGAAATCTATGTCTCACGGCTTAGATGAAGGAATTCATATTAAGTAAGAAACAGATCTTGAAATGAAATTTCACAACTTGATAACGTGATAAAGATAAGACTTGCTACTTTTTGATTATAGTAATACAAAATAATAATAATAAAAAAAAATATACATTAATAGTATGACTGCTCATTGAGAGTTATAACCAATTGTTATATTATTGTTGCAAGAATTGAATTGAAAGATTTTTAATATAACAACCAGATAACGTCACAAAAATAAGATCAAGCTATAACGAGAGATAACAAGACAAAGAACGCCATCTGGTGTTATCGCTTGGTATATGCATATCTTTGTCGATTATAATAGCATTGTCACTAGTACGAGAAGTCATTATAAAGAATTTCTGTAGTAACCTTTAATTGTAATACCAGTTAGTCCTTATCAATTCTTACGTTAACTTCTTAAGTTGTTACCAGTATCTTATGTTGAAGATGCTATAAGTAAAGTGGCACGAAAATGGATGAATTCCTGGATAAAAAATATCAACAAACTAATCAAAACAATTTTGAGGATTACCTTGTTTATACTGGTATGTTGATTTATAATATTTTTGTTTATATGTGTGTTTAATTAATTAACTATATATGTATTCTATTCTTTTTACTATATGTATTTACTATGTCTGGGTCATGATGTGAAGTTTAATCCAATGTTATATTTTTCAATGGCTGAAGGTCCAATCCTTTCAGATGTTTAGTATCCATATATATCCATAGTACAAACTTTGCTTAGTTTAGAGGTCAGATGGCGCTGGGGGTCATATGTAGGACTATCATTTCATTTTAAATATAATGTCTTTTCAGGTGTAAACTACCTGGGAAGGAAGATAGCTTTAACTTTAAAACCAGTACAGAGCTTGCACCGGAATAATGATGGAACTTACACCTTCAGAATAACATCTTCGTATTTCAACTGGGAAATTGTGTTCACACCTGGAATCGAATTTGAGGAAACAAAACCAGATGGGTCTAAGGTATATTTAGATTTTGTTAGACCAGAATGGACCTTCATCCATTATTATCCAATATTTTAAATAACTTTTTTAAAAATTAATTGCACTGTTAAATAACCTCTAAGAATGATAAAGGTAGATACCTTTTTTGTTTAATTATTAGATTAATGTTTAGTTGTATGTTTAATTTAGGTGTAGTTACATATAATAATAATGTATTATATAAATATATATATTAATATTGTCACAACCATATATCTCATATGATTATGTTAATATTATACTTTGCCCAAATATGTGTAGTCCTGATATATTAACTATGGCCTGCCCACAAGATGGTAATTTTTCCTTTCAAATTTGCCTCGTTTTCCCAGGCAAGGCCGACGAGAGATGTATCAACGTATATTTTAGTCTGATCATTAGAGAATCCTTACAATTGTTGTGTGCAAGTATACATATACGTATTGTGTAAGTTATACAAAGATAAATTTGTCCGCGATTAAAATTGTTCAAGGCCTTTTAGGTAAAGGCTCATTCTATTAAGTTTTATACTATGAATTCACATAATATTTTTTTTTTAGGTTAGAGCAAAATTTTTGATGAATGACAATATAATGACACATATACAAGTAGATGAAAATGGGATACAATCGAAACATGTTATTGAATTTTATCCAGACAAAAATATAGTGGTTAGTATCCAAAATAGACTAAATCTTGATATTTAGAAAAATTATTGCACATTTAGACAATTTAATATCATGATCGAATTGTGGAACAGTTTCCACTTATATCTGAATAATCCGTTATCTTTTTATTATTGAATTCTGTAAAACTTGTAGCTTTTAATTTAATTTTTTTTTATTTAATTTTTATTTTAAATTTATTTATTTTAAATGAATTATAATGGACTGTTAGTCCCGTCTACGATAATGGTATACGCTGGTAAGGCACCAATGAGTGATGATAGATGAAGATGAAAGGAGGTTAGTTGGCCCACCATAACGAATTCATCAAGAAATTAACAACGTTTTATAGGAGGAATTGTGTGGAGGTTGATCTAATTGTAGTAGGTAATCAAGCTACTTATTCCATATACTAACATTCCCTTCCCACCAGCTGTGTATATGACATGGTAAATGGCCTACTTTATGGAAAGGAATTTAAAATCTATGATGCTCATAGTAGGTACTCTTGTGTTGCCATTTTTAAACACTAATTGTTATGCGAGTGAAAATGGAAAGAACCCGTTTTTTTAATTGCTACAGTCAATTAATGGGTACAATATGAAATTTCATTAAAATATTTTATTATTTTTTACAGACAACAACAGCGACCGGATTGGAAAAAGTAGTCACAAGACATTATACTTTAGTCTCCTGAAGATAGAGACTTAATTACGTTAACTATTACATCGTGCTATTAAAAATAAGTGAAAATATGTATTGTATTATTGTATGTAATGTATCATTTAATCTTACATATATTATTAGTTGTGTTTCGCGGTTTGATCGTATATACATCATATATACTTTATTTATTTATTACAGAATCAATAATACGATTTCGCAAATGGTAAGATTACTTACTAAGACGGATAGATGTAGGTGTAAGTTCAATCTCAGCTTACTTTGAAATTTTACTATTATTTTTTCGACAAAATATTTTAGATTAAAAAAAAAGCAAAAAATAAAATATGCACAATAAATTATTATGTTTAATAATTTACCATTTAAATAATCTTATTAATATCATAAATGTGAAAGTCTGCAAGGATGGATGAATGAATGGATATTTATTATTTTTTTCACGCAAAAACTACTGAAGAGATTTGAATAAAATTTGTTACTCGCGTGCGTTTTATCCTAATTTAGCACATATGATACTCGTACTATATGCATTGATTTACGGTGGTAAAATAGTGGGATATAGGTAGCATTTATTCAATTTTACTCTTGTCCAAATATAATAAAATACGTGTAATTTTATGTTTGTAGACGAAAGTTTTTATTTCACTATCACTACATAGTATAAACAAAGTCGCTGTCGCTGTCGCTGTCTGTCCATCCCTATGTATGTTTAAATCTTTAAAACTACGCAACGGATTTTGAAGTGGTTTTTTTTAATAGATAGAGTGATTCAAGAGGAAGGTTTATATGTATAATACATGTATAATATTGCAGAGAAACACTGATAAATTTAGAGGTTTCTAATGTGACGTCGTAAATAAACACATGTTTTTTTTTATGGGTGAAAATGGTATGGTAACCCCGCCTGCGCTAACGGGATACGCTGGCGGAGCGCCAGTGAAGGGTGATAGATGAGAATGAAAACAGGCCAGTCAGCCCATCATGACGAATTCATTAGGTATTAACCATGATAGTTTCCAGGGGGAACCGCGAGGAGGTTGACCTGGTTGGGTATATTGCTAGCAATGGGATTCTCAGTCTCCATTACTAACAATCCGTTTCTCCCCAATAAACACATGTTTGCGCTTACATTGTAAACGCTGGCTAAAGCCCTAGAGATAAATCAAAATAATGTACTACAGTATTGTACACCTTAAAAAGGTCAACAAAAAAGTCCGCGATGGTATATATCTATCTCTTAAGGATAACCCACAATAACCATTTTTATCCTTTACATTTTACGGGAAAAAAATGGCAGTAGTGTTCTGTAGTAGGTAGGTATATTTAATATCAGCATTGCACCCGTGCAAAGCAGGGGCGGGTCGCTAGTATAAAATATAAAGCAACATGTTTAAAGAAACAAAAACATTGGTATTATTATCTGTGTTATTATGATGAGAGATTATTTGTTACAGATACATATAGATTACACAATACTGATAAGTTGCGATGGAGTTTGATAGTAAAAAAAAAATACAGAATATATTTCTTGTTACTTTATATAAGAAACTAACGTGTTAAATAAGGTAAAATCTAATATTTATAGACACTCCTTTTAAAACTAGAATCACAATATAATAGAAAAAGATACTTGCACTGTGTGTTTGTTTTATTTTGTCATCTCTACAGCATAAATGATCACAATGTTCAAAACGTTAAACAACATTTTTAGTTCCATTTATAGCTATATCTTACTAATATAAAATTGTTACTAGAAAATGTATATAATAAATAAGGGAGATAAATACAGACCAAAACAATAATTTTTAGAAATTTTGTATGCCTGATTTTTGCGGTATCAAGCAAAAACTACTGCACAAAATTAGAAGTTCCACAGTTGTGTTTGAAAGTAAAGTCTGATTAATTTAGAAGTGATTTATTTTATTTGGTTTTCCTACTTCTGAAATGTATGAATACGAAGTAGCGTGCAAAAAACTAGTTGTTAATAGGTATAAATTACTGTGTGGTCCCGGGCAAAGAATGGACCATCTCTTCCTTTCCCGTGGATGTCGTAAGAGGCGACTAAGGAAGCTTAATGGTGGAGGAATGGACAGCAGCGCCTCTTTTATAATAACATCCAGCCTACCAGCGGTTGTTAACCCGCCTGCCAAGCGTGACAACTATTGGCAAAACTCCCTAATAGGGGGAGGCTTATGTTCAGCAGTGGACAGTTAATGGCTGATATGATGATGATAATCAATAGGTATAAATAGTTTTTCTACAACCACCAACCAAATACCAACCATCTGAGCAAGAGATTCTCCCTCTTGTTATTAATGGTTTGGGATTTTTAGTAATGGGGATAAGCAACCTCATTGCTAGCAATAAACCCTATCAGGTCGACCTCCACGCGGTTCCCTCTGGAAACCATCATGATTGATTCGTTGTTGAATTTGTCAGGATGGGCTAACTGACCTGCTTCATTCTCACCTGTCATCCCTCACTGGTGCCCCGCCAGTGTATACCGATAGCGCAGGCGGGGTTACCATACCATTATCATCCATTAAGTCTGAGCAGAAACTTACTGATATATGTATATACATACTCTTGTATATACCAATAGTTAGTTTTCAGCAATAAATACGAATGTACTCTATTACATTAATGTTATTGTGCTTTTTTAATAGTTTTACTTGATAAATACATTAAATCTCCCAATACTGTGTTAGGTATTCTATTCGATAAAGATATTAGCTTTATTAGTGATAAGCCTGTTATCTAAAAGCTCACTACGATTTGTGACATTAGTCATATGCATTCGTATTATCATTATCGACAGTGTATACTTTAAGTTATAAGCTATCTGGTGACAATGGAGGAGTTTTTAGGTAAAAAGTATATGATGACCTATGAGGAGAACTTAGCTGAGTACTTATCATTTCTTGGTAAGTAGACCATTATCTTCATTTGCTTCTCAATTTGTCTGAATTTTTTTGCGGCTACGTTACGCGATTATGTTGCCAATTTTAAACCGATTATCATAATTCTTTTTGTAATCAATGTCTGTGAATAAAATTTTGTAACGACTGAAACTGTGTTTTTTTTACGGAGCAATAACTGCATATTTCAAAGTAAAATCTATTTATACTATACGCAATTCCGCATTCCAAATTCAAATATTTTCCATGTAACGTGTCTTACGAAACATGTCAATTTTATTATCCGTGTGAGTGTGGCGTATTTGTATGTGTACTCTTTTATGCTGAACAAAATTACTTGAATTTATTATTATTTTCGCTATTACGTCTTCAGTAAAAGAGAGACCCGAAATAAGTAATAATACAGCTATAGATATAGAGATAATGATAAGTAATTATAACAATTTTTAAATGATTTAAACATTTAAAAAAGTGATTTATGCCGGGATTCGATCAAGGGATCCCTGTACTCAGTCATAGAGTCATAGCTGTTATTAAAAGTATATATGTTATATTAGGGCTTCATGAAATAATTTAATTAGGTGCTCCAATTGAAAGTGTTCGTATGTTGTTTTTCCTATGAAATCCATATACAATTATTAACAAAAGAAATATTCTTTCCAGGAATAAACAAATCATCACAGAGCTTTTTCATTAGAGTAGAAATGGTGTTTTCGTTGCATCGAGCGTCGAACGGGTCGTACTTTTTCAAAGCGAGCTCGCAGTTTGGCGACTACGAGTTATCATTTAAACCAGGGGAAGAGTTTGATGATTTCGATTTCGATTTTAGAAAGGTATAAGTTGATTTTATTTTTTTAAGCCACTTGCAAACAACGGAAAACATCTCAATTCATATGTATTTTCATTGTTAGCTATGTTATTACCTTAAATTAAATAGATAGAGCATTAAGCCTTCAAAATGAGTCAACTTTTTGTTCGAGTCAAAACAAAACGAGTCAGCTAATTGTCAAATTTGACAATTATTATTTTATATTATTATATAAATGAAATATTTTATCTTAAAGGGAAGGTGCGTCATTACGATTGATGGTCACACAATGACAATGATACAAAGATCTGGTAATGGAAAGATATCAAAAAGTGTCATGGAGTATTACCCTGACAAATTGATCGTTGTAAGTATGCCATTTGTCATTACCGTCTTTTCCCAATTACTTGGAGTCGGCATAGTATATCTTCCTCTTCCGCAAATCTCTATCCGTAGTCAAACCTAAGCTTACTCCTTTTATGCATATAATTTTCAACCGATTCCAAAAAGAAGGTTATCAATTCAGTTGTATTTTTTATGCTTGTTACCTCAAAACCCCATCAGTTACGACCTTTGGGAAATTCATTCGTGGGAAATTCTTTTTTATCTGAATGGATATCCTTTTAAAGTAAATATATGCTTACAGATAAATAAATATATGGTCCCATAAAAACTTTATTAAAATCAGTTCAGTACTTTAATTTTTAAAACAAAATATTTTCGGTCATCCTTTACATGCTTTATATCCATCTACGTTTGTATTTCATTCCTTCTTCAATGTATGCTTTTCATACTCTGCATGATATGCATATATCAGCATATCAGCCCTTAAGTGTCCATTGCCGAACATAAGGGTTTTGGCAGTAGTTGCCACCAGTTTCGCTTTAGTAGATGTTTTAATAGGGACGCTGCTGCCCCTCCCTCGTCTTCCCTTACGCCTTCTACAACACCCTCGGGGAAAGAAGGGGTGGCTTATTCTATGCCGGGACCACATGAATGTCCATATTTAACAATAAATAAATAAAATACATTTTTCAGTGTGTACATATTAATATAGTATATATAGCAAATAAAAATACATTTTTAAGAATACAATGAGTCACCAATTTTTTTTATTCCTTGGACATTATAAGAGACTATTAAGAGGACGAAGTATAGAACACCAGTATAAAAGTAGAAAAATTGGTATATCCTCTTATAAGGAGAGACTCCTGCGCAGCAATGAAACGCAAAGAGATTGTCATTTACATACTTGTATTTTACAGACTACAACAGCACTGGGATTTAAAAAGATTGTGAAGAGGCAGTACACGGTGGTGCAGTAAGCATAACGAAAACATTAGAAGTAATAACCTTTAAAACAAAAAAAAAATTGTCACTTATGATTAATAAAAATATTTTACGTTTTTAAAATAAGCATTTATCTGATTAACTATATATAAAATAGAAAATATTTTTTTAGTTTATGTATATGTAAAATATTTTTTGTTAATATTTAATAAAAAAAAAAAACGTAAACAATATTTATTTTATTTATTTAGAATAATAAAGGTTACGTGAACCTCTCAGAAAATAGATTGATGAATGTGATGAAATCGGAATCTTTAATTTCATGTTTGAATGATAACGTCTATGACTACAAAGTGAAAGGGGCAATTTTCTTAGAAACACGACACCTAAATTAATCATGACATCTGGACACTTCGTGTTAGTACGGAAGGATTAAAACTTATTCCGACACATATATTTTTTGGAATAAAGAAAACAGTACACTATATAGCTCACTAGTAGAGCATAACCTTAAAAACATACTAATTATTTTGAAAACAGCGTTGCCAGAACAGGTATTATTTCATAAGTTTGGGTAAAAATTTGCTTTTTGAAAAAGTGTTTAAGAAACATAAAATTGTTTTCTATTATAATTTATTTTAGTTTTACCGTATATAAACATATGGCATTGTTGATGATGATATTGGCTGTTAACTGTCTACTGCTGAACTGTCTACTTTCCCTTGGGGGATGTTTCCATTAGTTGCCTTCTTTGGCAGGCAGGTGGGCTGGGTTTCAGTTAGGCTTTGGTGACGTTTTAAGATACTGCTACTCATCTCTCGATCAGTAAGTTCCCTTAGTCGCCTTTTATGATACCCATGATGATATGAAAGGAAGGGATAGTCTTTTTTTTTTTTTTTATACAACTTAGAATGGCAAACAAGCTGACGGCCCACCTGATGGAAAGTGGTAACCGTCGCCTATAGACATGAGCAGTACCATGGACATAACAGAGTATACTGTTTCGCCCATGTTACCCCCCATGCGTTGCCATTCCTGAGGATTCAGGTGTTATTCTTCTGTACTCAGTAAATTCACGCCATATCCCACCCTTCAAACCGAAACACAGCCATGCAAACACAGCTGCTTCACGGTTGAAACACGAATGGGACAGAGGTACCCAAGCAATCGACTTTTGTACAAAGTCTCCCTCTGGTTAAAATATATTACTTCTCCCTCTATATTACTTCTATATACCGGAACCACACGGCCTCATTATAAATATATGGCATTGCAGATAGTAAAATAATGTTCATGTAAATAGAAATAAAGAGAATCCTTTTTTTTCCATCGGCATCGTTCGCAGCCGGGGTCTTGGTAAAATGTAGCATAGTAAAAATTTTGCAAATGGTAACATTTAGGAAAAAAAAAATTAGGAAGTGATAAGAAATCACATCAGGCAACACTGTCTGTAAATAAGCACATTAGCATTGTCGGAGATAAGCATGTTATCAAAAGCTCATTGATCTATTAGAGTAAGTTAGCTAATGATATTAGTCATATAAATCATCGCTATTAATCGAATATATTTAGTGAAAATGGAGGCATGTTTAGGTAAAAAATACGTGCTATCTCATGAGGAAAATTTGGCTGAATATCTAACGTTTATCGGTAAGTTGGTTTTAGTTTTCTTATGCTTCCAACAATAAATAAATAAATATGCTAGATGATATATTTCGTCGCATTTTTACTAAAATTATAAATGTGAAAGATTGTCGATGAAACAAACAAGAAAGAAAGAAATGTTTGTTACTAATCACACTTAACGGCTTGACTGATTCAACTGAAATTTATTTATTCAGAAATCTAGAAAGTAGTAACCGTTGCCTACAGATGTGAATAGTAACATGGATATAACAGAGTATACTGTATTGGCCACGATACCCTTCATGCGTTGCGATTCCTGAGGACTAAGCTGTTATGTCGCTGAACCTTGTAGTTTATTACCATAATCCTGTTATGATATTGTAATACTTATAATACTATATTTAGTTTTATGTAATGCATCTTGGAATGGCAAACAAGTTGACGGACCACATGAAGGAAAATGGTAACCGTCGCCTATTGATATGAACAGCACTATGAGGAGAATAATTATCTAATTATTTCATGCGTTATGTTAGAAAGAGGTATTTAAGTACAGCTGCTTGGGAGTAATATGAGTAGAATTAAAATTTTACTTAATGTTTCTATACCAGCCGTCTATATGGACACTTTATATGAATGGAGATGGCTTTTGTACAGTTTTTCTTAAAAGAAGAGACATCTCTTTTTATTCGCTAATAATAGTCTCGTATTTCCAGGGATGAAACAAATAACACGAAACCTGATTTTTAGGGCAGACGCAGTGATGTCATTGAATCGTGATTCTGAGGGACAGTTTACTTTTCGAGTAAGCACGCGATTTGGTGACTTCGAACATACATTCACGCCTGGGGAAGAGTTTGACGAATTGGACATTGACTATGAAGAGATAGTTTTCAGTTTAATAGAAAATATTTGACAACCGTATCAATTGCTTAGTCCCTAAATAGGGAACACTATTATGTTTCTGGTATGAGTATTAAGACCAGAAGGAGATATTGTAAAATATGGTATAAATAAAAATAAATTTTTAGTTAATTAATTTCTCTTTTTCTTCTTTTCATTTTTTTATGTATTAAACTAGTTTTAAGGAATAGTTGTGTATTGTGATTTGTGATGGGTTGGCATTATATAACAAGATTTTTTTCAGAATGACACAACATCTTTGCAAATCTCTGGTTTTTTAACTTGGATGACCACAAAACTGACGAGATTCGGTAACTTATTAAAGAGGATAGTCCCTCGAGACTTCAGGAGTTCTGTGGTAAATTGAATATCGTTTAGAACTTTAGTAATAAGATTTATTTTTAAGTTTCCACATACACCAGATTCTCTAGCTAAGAGAACTTGATATTTATATTAACTGTAGTTTAAAGTATCAAGAGGTTTCGTTTTAAATGCTAAAATATTTTTATTTTAATTTCAATCATACTATTTTTTTCATGGTGAATTAATTAGCATTAATTAATGATTCGTATAATAATAAGTGGATCACAATTTCCAAGGTATTTCCACATTCGAGACATTAGTTTCTTAAAACCTCACTATTCTTACGGATTGTTTAGTTATGCGGTGATTAAGTTATTAATTTATTATAATAAATTAATAGTATTGTAATAATTAAAAATATTATAAGATTGTTAATTTATCTTTGATCATCAATTAGTTGACAGCAATGTTAATTAATACATTTTCGTTTAATTAAAGGGACGATCCGTTATTACGATTGACGGCAACGTATTGACAATGATACAGAGATCCAGGAATGGCAAAATATCAAAAAGTATTATAGAATATTACCCTGATAAAATGATTGTTGTAAGTAATAATTGATATCTGTCAAGAGTTGTCTGTATGGGGTAAATTTATCTCATATGTGTTTCTGCTATGAAGTATCTGCGTTCGCATGGCTGTGTTTCTGTTTGAAAGTTGGGCATATGGCAGTAAAGTGAGGCATAATATCGTAGTCCTCAGCAATGAGAGGTACTATGGACTTCATAGTGTATTTTGCAATGCTCATGGTGCTGATCATATCTATAGGCAATGGTTATCACTTTTCATTAGGTGGACCGTTGGCTTATATGCCATTCTAAGGATCATAATAAATAGCAGTTACTATATCAAAAGAATATTATACTAGAGAAACCCAACCTTATTAACAAAAAATTAACAACAGCTGAAAAACGATAAAAAGTTTTGAGTATATCATATTGACTAATTTCTACGGTGCATTAAGGTATTAAGTAAGTATAAGAGAAGGCTTAAAACTTCTTGCTGTTATAATAGGTATAAGTAATGTTATCATACACTTCTTTACATACTATTTTCTATCATTTATTATTATTACTTTATTAAAAAAAATCAAATTTATATAAGAAAATTAATTATATAAAGTACGGTAGCCTAACCTACATAACACAGGGGGAAAAGGGATTGTTAGTAATGGAAATTGAGAATCCCATTGCTAGCAATATACCCAACCAGGTCGACCTCTTCGCGGTTCCCCCTGGAAACTATCATGGTTAATTCCTGATGAATTGATCATGATGGGCTAACTGGCCTGTTTTCATTCTCATCTATCACCCTTCACTGGTGCTCCGCCAGCGTATCCCGTTAGCGCAGGCGGGGTTACCATACCATTTTCACCGATCAAAAAAAATCCTACATAACACAGGATTTTCCTAGCATGAAGACCAGGGACACTTACTGTAAATCAATAAATTATGATATACATCTTGTAACTGTATCTGTATATTTTGTTGTATAAATTATTATTATTATTATTGCAGACGACAACGGCGTTGGGATTTGATAAGACTGTTAAAAGATATTTCAAGGTGGTGGAATAGAATATACAAAGAAAAATGATAAAGTAAATGATGATTATGAATAAAAAAAAATCTTATATAAGTAATTTATAATAATTTTCATTAATAAAATAAATAAATAAATTCATTAAGTTTTTTTTTTATTTGTCTATACATTTCAAATGTTTTTCTTATAAATTGTTATGATTTTCCTCTCTTTGATGACTGTGTATATTAACATGACATTTTTCACTACATTGAACCAAGTCACTACTACAACAAATGGCGGGGTTTTTCGTAGTGATTTTTTTTTCAAATAATTTCATTTTTTCAAAACTTCTCAAAGAGATTTTTTCCCAAATTCTTCACTAATATTGCCAATGTGAAAGTGAGTTTGTTTGTTTGTAACCTTCAAGAAAGTTTATAAAAAATCACGGAGACAACATACAAATAAATAAAAATCACTCACATTTTCAACCGTCTTTAAAAAGACGGAGCTTCTCAATTCAGGTGCAGTTATTTCATATTTATTACCTCATAACTCTATCAGGTATAAAATGATTTAAAAAAATCTTTTTTATCAGAAAATATATTATTAAAGATTGATCCCAAATAAATAATTTAACTTTTAATAATTCTTGACACAATTGAAGCCGGTTTTTTTATGGAACACAATTTTAAATTTAATGAATGAATG